AGTGCTCACTTGTGGTTGAAACGGGGTTGGTTCTGAACCTGTTGGGTCTTGCTTGCTTCAACCAGAACTGCATTGACAAGGATGAGATTCGTGATGGATTTGTTGTTGGATTCGAAATCTTGGCAAATCTGTAGTTTCGCTTCGTTCGTTCGTTCGCTCTCACATTTTACGTTCCACGCGCCCACACTCTTTGGCTCACATTATACGATTGCACATGTGCTATTTCGTATTTCTGTATCATCCGCACTGGATCATCTCAAAGTCACTCTTGTATTCTCATTCACGCTCAATCCGCTTCCAAGTCATCTCCTTCCTTCTCCTCCTCCTTCTTCTTCTTTGTCTCTTGCTTTCCCCTCCAGTCTCCTTCCCCTTTCTCTTTCGGTTTTTTGCAAACACGCTTTGGCGATGGCGCAGTACGGCCTTCCGTCCGACCTGGCGTCTGGCTTTGGCGCTGGCAATGGTTCTGGTCTGCTCATGCAGCAGCAACAACTGCAACACCACCAGCCACAGCAGCAGCAGCACCAACAAGAGCTGGCAGCAGCAGCCGCTGATCCAGCAGCGTCGTCGGCGGCGAGCGGCACGAAAAATCGCAAGAAGAGCGGTGCCACCCAGGAAGCCCAACGGTCTGCCTCGGCATCAGCACCAGCAGCAACAGCATCAGCAGCAGCAACATCAGCAACGCGACGCCGCAGCAACGGCAACGGCAACGGCAACGGCAACGGCAATGCAGCAGCAGCAGCAGCCGCAGCAGCCGTGTCTTCCGCTGGATCGGATGAAGAGCTGTACTGCCTGTGCAAGAAGCCGTACGACTCGTCGCTGTTCATGATTGAGTGCAACGTGTGCCACGACTGGTTCCACGGCGAGTGCGTGAATGTGACTCCCGCGCAGGCCGACTCGATTGACAAGTACCACTGTCCAGCCTGCGCCAACACACACGGCCCGTCCAAAGGTAAAAGCGTCTCCTTCTCTCTCTCCCCCCCTTTTCCTCGCTTCCCCTCTTTCTGCCCAACCCTAACCCTAACCCTAACCCCCCACACACACCACTCCCGACCTGAGCACGATCCTCCTCCCCCCTCTTCGACGATTGAGCAACGAGAGTCCTTTCTCTCTTTTTTTTTTTTTTTTTTTTTCTTCTTCTTTCTTCCTTTTGTTCCCCTTTTTGCTCTCTGGTTCTGTCGCTGCTTCTGGGCTCGGAGAGACAAGAACGACGACGATTTTTGCAGTCGTGCGACGCTGGTCGGGTTTTCGAGGCTCAGAGTGCGCGGTGCGGTGTCTGGTTGATTCAACCGTAGCAATGAAAAGAAGCGCAGAAAACGCCATTCAAACGCATTGAGCAGCACCATGGTGCAGGGCTTTTGACTCTCGCCGCCCCCCCCCACCTCGATCAACATCCACTGGGGCACAGGGGGGGGGGGCTTTCGTCATGGGAGCGATGGAGCGGGGCGACCCCTTCCCCTCCCTGCGCTCAGCTTCCATCCATTTCAATGGATGCTCTTTTCATCAATCCCAATCCAAATTGTTCCAATTCCATGTTTTCTTCTACCTGTCAATCTTCTCGCATTCAACCCAATTGACGGAGAAAGGTCAACATCGACAACGACTCACACTCACGATTGTTTCGTTTCTGGTTTGGTTATGAATTCCCCGCCTTCCCGCCCTCTCTCTCTCTGCGCAGCGAAACGCAAGAAGGTGAAAAAGCCATCCATCTTTGGCCGACCAGCAGAAGAGTCGGACTCGGATTCCGAGGCCAACTTGGACGCGGCGCTGCAGCCCGGTCGCCGCTTTGTCGACCAACTGAAATCGAAGGCGTTCGCGCCAATGGAGCAGTGCGTGGTTGTGGAAGAGGCCGCGGTGGTCACCCCACTCTACTTTGCAACGAAAGGCTTTTCCAAGCCATTGCTGTTTCGCTCGTCGGCGGGCTTGGACATGATGATGCCGCCGCCATCATTCACAGTGCAAGATGTGCTGGAGCACGTCGGCTCCAGCCGCAAGCTCGATGTGATGGATGTGGCAACTCAAAAATCAGAGACCATGACCATGGGCGCGTTTGCCGCGTACTTTCAAACACCCGCCGCACAGCGTGATCGCATTCTCAATCTCATCAGTCTAGAGTTCAGCAAAACCAAGCTGGCCAAGCGCGTTTCGGCGCCTCGAGTAGTGCGTGAGGTGGATTGGATTGACGTTGCGTGGCCCAGAACTCTGGCAGAGTCCAAGCCCCAAGTCCAGCTGTACTGTCTCATGGGCGTTGCCAACAGTTACACCGACTTCCACATTGATTTCGGCGGCACGTCTGTGTGGTACCACGTACTCCGAGGCAAGAAGATCTTTTTACTTTATCCCGCCACTTCCCGAGACCTTGGAAAAGGTTGAAATTTGGACCAGGTCGCATCAGCAAAGTTCCATCCTTCGTGAGTGATCTCGTTACACGTGCTACAGGTCACCTTGATGCCGGGTCGAAGACCATGTTCATTCAAACTGGTAATGGTTGAGCCTTGTCCAAGGGGGGGGTTTCTGTTGTCGGTTTTACTGGATTTCTGCTTTTGGATTCTGCTTTTTTTTTTGTTTGTGTCTGACTTGGTGAATTGTCCCCCTTGTTGATCAGGCTGGATTCATGCTGTATACACTCCCGAAGATTCGCTAGTGTTTGGCGGCAATTTTCTGCACTATTACGGCATGGATATGCAGATGCGCGTTTACGACATTGAGCGTCGCATCAATGTGCCCAAAAAGTTCACCTTTCCCCGATTTGAAGCATTGAGTTGGTATGCGGCCAACTGTTTACTGTTGCAATGGAACGGTAAGTCTCACGCAACACACAGATGACCAGTAACCTCCATTCTTGTTTATTGACACGTTTTTTTTTTGTTTTTTTTTTTGTTTTTTTGGTTTTGGTTTTGGAAACAACGTGACCGCAACAGCACAACGCTACGTTCCTTCATGGATAGTGCCAGGGCTGCGTGGACTGGTTGAAGGCCTATCCAACTGGATTAGCAAGAAAACGTGCATGGAGAATGTACCCGCCGACATTTGCCCTCAGGCTGTCGTTGTCGGTCTGGCTGGATACCTTGACGTGTGCAACGCTTTGCTGCCCCCTTCGGCGCAAGCCACGGCAATGCCCACGATGATTCGCATCGACCCCATCCAGCACAACCAGATTGCCTCTGCTCAGATGCAGGCGCAAATGCAAGCCCAGAATTCCTTCTTGCAACAATCGTTGCAGCAGCCACAGTTTCAGCACTTGCCGCAACAGCAATCACAACACCAACCACAGCAGCAACCACAACAGCTCCTACAGCTCTCGCAGCAACCGCATGGAACATCCGAGCAGCTCCTCTTTCAACAACGATTGCAAACACAACAACCGTCGCAGTATCCTCAGCCTCAATTTTTCGCCTCGCGGTCTGGTCCTTCCGCTGGGCTGTCTGTGCCACAGCAACAGCAACAGTACCCATTCTCTCAGCAGCCGCTTCAGATGGCGCAACACATGCCCATGAAGCTTGACCCGTCACTCCAATTCAACCAGCTGCAGCAACAGCCCTTCCAATCCAATTCCTATCTCACGCACCAACCGAATCAAATGCTCCAGAATTACCAGACACAGCTGCAACAGCAGCCTCCATTCTTTGGAGCACAGCAACACGTTGCTTCCATGAACAACAGCAACAACAGCAGCAGCGGCAACAGCAGCAACAATAGCCCTGACCCTAATCTTGTGGCGAGCACTTTTTCTCGCGCGCACACCGCACACGACGTGGCGGCGCAGCTTGCTCAAATGCACGAGCCACGCGCATCGCGAGGAGATATCGAGGAATCTGCTGCGGCCACGCTTGCTGCTTTAATGGGCACTCACGCTTCGCCTGCGCTCTCACAAGCCTCTCTGGGGCCTTCTGTGTTTGGCGAAGCGGCAAATGCCGCGCCCCATCGCGTCCGGCTGAGCTCGAAGCGCTCCGAGGCTGACGAGAGTGCCGACAACAGCAGGCTGGCACTTGCCAGCGCTGGCGCCGGACCCACGCGACTCAAGCTCACTTCCAGACGCCAGTCAGAGAATGGCAGTATCGGCTCGGCCGATCCTATGAATACGGGAGACGAGTCAGATGGCGAGGACACACCGCGAAACTCGGAGTCTACCAAGCTGCACTTGAAGCGCGAAAATGTCAAGGTGCGTTTGGTTCGCCCCCGCACACAGAGTCAGACGACCGCCGGCACTACCAACCTGGACGAAGAAGCGGAATCCCAGGAGCCTGCTGATGACGAACATGCAGAGAAGGCCCACAGCGACGACGAGGGCCAGACCCAGCGCCGGTCTTCCCGCCGTTCCTCGTTGCCAGAACGCTCGTCATCACGCCTGCGTCCGCGGACCCCTTTGACCAAGCAAGCAAAGCGTCGCGGAAAGTCTGCTGGAGACTCTGACAGCGAAGCAGGCACCGCCGAAAGCGACGAAGATGATGTCGACGGGGCTGCAGACGCTGGAAAGACTGACGCGGACGATGACTTTTCGAGCGAGTCGAATGGAAAGACTTCTGACAAATCGCGTCGTGCAACAAGGAATGCTACGCACCAAGACAAAAAGACCAAGATTGCCGATGACGCAGCAGAGTCTCCTGCTTCTCCCAAGCCAGACACCAGTGCCCCCACTACTACCGCTAGCAGTGCACCAACCACCACTACCAGCACCACCACTCCCACCACTGGCAGTGCACCACCCGCCGCTGGCAGCGTGCCAACTACCACTGGCAGCGCACCACCAGTTGCTGTCGCTCGCCAAAACAGCAGCGGCAGCCTCACTGGCAACTCTTCAGCCCAGAAAAAGCCTGCCAAGAGTCTTGATTTGCGCTCAAAGTTGGCACAAGGCATGCGCATGGGCCGAATCTGAGAATTGGATTGATTTTTTTTTCACTCTTTCTCTATTTTTCTCGTTTTTTTTTTTTCTTTCTTCTTCTTGTTGATCAATACATATCCAAGCCTTTGAAGTGTGCATTCTTTATCTATCTTCACACTCCCTGCTGTCTTTGTTTGCCCCGCGTCGTTTGCATTTTGATTTGGCGCGCAAAAAACGCAGTCCATTTGAAAAACTGTTTGAAACACTTTCATTTTGAAACAGTTTTTTTTTTTTTTTTTTTTTTTGCTTGCACACCATGACCGATACGAGCGATGCTGCCGCGCGGATTCAACGCCTGCGCACTGAGCTAGACGAAGTGAACAGCATTCTGCGTGCCAAGGAGTCTGACTTGATTCTGTCTGCGCAGCTTGGGCAGGCGCTGCTGGAGAGCAACAACCAGCTCACCGCCCAGCACGACCAGGCCGTTTCAGAGCTGTCGTCCCGCATCGCGGGGCTCGAGAACGCCAACCACCAGCTTCAAGTGCAGCTGGAAGCTTCGAGCCGAGGGCTGGCCAACGCTCGACGCGACCTGGACCGCGAATCCGTGGTCGCCCGCGAGGAGCTTGAAACAGAGCGACAAGAGCTTCAGCAACGCGAGCGGCGCCAGGCTCAAGTCGTCCAGGACCTGACGACCCAGCTGGAACTGGCCCAGGCCGACACGGAGGAGCAGCGGGCTGCGTTTGCAAAGCTCCAGGCGGCGCACGAGCAGCAGGGATTGGCGCTGATTCGCACAGAGTCGGCGGTTCGAAATGCTGAGCTCGCCCGAAAGCGCATGCGAAGCAAGTGGTTGCGCCTGGCGACCGACCCGACTCGAGATTCAGAGCAGTCGCCGCCGAGTGCGCGGGGCAGCGCGTCGAAGGATGCAGCAGACGCAGACGCTGAGGACCAAGTCCACGACGAGAACAACAACAACGAGAATGAACCGGACGACGACGCGGATGACTTTGCCATTCAGCGTGTGTACGAGCTGGAAGAGGCCCTCCTCAAGACCAAGGTGCTCAGCGAAGAGCGACAGTCGCGCATCCAGTCGCTGGAGACGACAGTTGCGACTCAACTGTCCGAGTCCAAGCACTTGAAGGCCAAGATTGGCGGACTGATGGGAGCCGCCCAAGAGCACGAAGCGCAAATCATTTCGCTGACCAATACGATCGAGTCCCAGCGTCAGCGAGTTGAAGATCTCGAGTTGGAGTGCTCTCTTGAAGCCGACCGGCGCGCTGGCAAAATGCAGACCGGAAGGTCGGTATTTAGCGATGTCGAAGACCGCCGTGCCGAGCTGGAGCGTCAGCTCGCATCCACCACAAGCACCCTCAGACAGCTCGCCAAGAGCTTTGATCTCGCTCGCCTGCAGAATCAAAAGTTGAACGCGCAGCTGAACAACATGCTCCAGATGCAAGGCAGCAAGGCGGATCAAGCGAAAATGACGCGCCTCGAGCAAGACAACGCGCAGCTCCAGAGCGAAACGCGCCAGCTCTGCCTGCAAATCGAGCTCTTGGAGGACGATAAGAAGCACATCCAGTCCCAACTGGTGAAAGCTAGGGCAGTCATGGGCACTGGCTCCTCCTCCGCCAGTTCCGGATCCAAGTCGTCGTCGTCGTCGGGCCGTGTCATTGGAGAGTTTGGTGCCGGAGGCCTCTCTGCAGAGCACAGTGCCTACATTGAGTACCTGGAGACCGAGGCGGAAACGGCTCGAGCGGCCCTCGCGACCAGCAAGAAGGAGCTCCGCACTCGCCAAATGCTCCAACTGAACGACATCAACCGGGTGCGCGATCTCGAGACGCAGAGCTATCGCCAAGCAACTCAAATCGAAGAGCTCCGCAAAGAAAACGTGCAGCTTAAAATCAAGCTGGATGAGACGCTTTTGATGCAGCAGGTGGAGTCGTCGACAAACGGCATTGAGCCGCAGCAATCGCAGCAATCGCAGCAGCCGCAGCAATCGCAGCAACTCCAGCAGCCCCAATCACGCCCGCACGAAGCACTTCCATCAAAGGAGGCGGCTGATACACAAGCTCCATCGCCACCCACGGTTCAATCCAAGACTTGCCCCATTCCTGACTTGGAGAGCGAGAATTTGAACGCTCCGCAGCTCGTCCAGGCATCTAATCCCCCAAATGCAACTGCAAAGAAGAGCATTGCGAGAGCAGAAGAGCCTTCAGCACGAGTGATTAACATTAAGCAGGCCAATGTCCAAACCGAGCCTGCTTGCGTTCAGCAGTAACAAGTAGCTGTTCACTGAATTTCGCATCATTACGCAAATTTTTTGCTGTTGTTGCTGTTGTTGTTGTCATTGGGTACTACTGATGTCTCGGTCCAATACAAACTATTGTACATTTTCAAATGGCTAAATACAAGCGAAGCATAAATGGAGCAGATATCAACAGAGCAGCGAGAGTCAGAAAAAGAAAGAGAAGAAGAGGAAGAAGAAGAGGAAGAAGAAGAAGAAGAAGAAGAAGAAGAAAAACAAAACAAAGAGAACTAAGACACAGACTTAGAAACAAACAACAACAAAAAAAAAAATCAATCTCAAACATCGAAAATCTGTTCAGCAACCAGCGAGAGAATTGCAGAGGGAAAAAATCACACGAGGTTCATGTCCTTGGTGAGGCGATCAGTCATTTGCTTGTAGCGCCAAAGCTCGCCAGCGGTGCGACGGAAGACAATGCCGCTGAATCCGTCAAGATGAGGGAGCTTGCACACTTCAATTTCCCAGCTGAGGTCTTGAGCGGAGCAAGACACGATCAGACCAAGGATGGTAAAGCGAACCTTGTTGTGAACCAGCGATGCCGTCACGCGGTCGAGCAATTTGGAAGGGGAGAGGGTGGTTGTGGTCGCCACACCAAACTTGCGCGCATGGGCTTTGCGAGCACTGTTTGAGAGCGACACTTCAACCTCCTGCATGTGGAACGCCTTGCTACGGCGATCGTTCTGGGCATTCAAGGCAGTCAGCGGATCCGCCGTGGAGTCGGACGAGTTTCGGAAGCGCTGGATGAAGCGGGTAAACGAAGCACGTTTGGGTTCGTAGAGCTGCGAGTCGGGCGAAAGAGCAGAGTCGCTTCGTGGGGTCAAGGCGGCAGTCATCCATGATTTAGGCTCAGAGACTGCTGGCGCCCCAGTCGATGCTGCACCGCCGGAAATTCGGTAGGCAGAGCTAGGGTGCTCGCCAAAGCGCATTGGCTCTTCTGACAGCGGACGAGCCTTGCCGCTGCGCAAGGACAAGCGTGGCGACGGAAGAGTAGTAGCTGACCCTTGGGGAGTCGCGTCGGCGGATGAGGTGCACATGTCTGCAGACTCTGTGTGCGCACCAATCGTCGACGAGGAGGTGGTGGCATCGTCAAGCTGCAGTTGAGCCACTTTGGCAGGTTTCGGCGGGCTCTGGTGGAGCTGTTGATCAGTGGCACGGAATGCAGTGGAGCTAGCGGGTGCAGCAGGAGACTGGGCCAATGGAGTGGCCTCATCCGCGGGATCGGCAGGGAGCGCGAGCGTGTCGTTTGCGGGAACGGGCATGGAGAGAATCGTTTCCTCAGCTTCGGCGATGGACCAGAAATCAATGACGGCTTGCACGTCCTCAGGCTTGGGCACCGGTTGAAGCATGACTGTCTCATTCGGCTGTTGGTGGTGGTGGTGGTGGTGGTGGGCGTCAGTGTCGCAGACGCTTAAACGCGACGAACGATTGGAGAGCTTGGGGCTGGTGGGGTTGCTCTTGGAGGCCGAAACGTCTTCGGCGGTGGAGCTGCGACGGAAGCGCTTGCGCATCCAAGCGGCAAGGCGTTGACCTGTCGTAGGTGAGGTGGCGCAGGGCGATGCCGGCTCGCCATTGCTGTTGAGGCTGGAGGAGCTCATGTTGATATCACTGCCAAAGCCAGAGTCACGGAAGAATCGGCGCCCTGTGCCCGTCGTGTTTGCCGACGATGGGGCGGATGAGTCGTCGTTGGTGTCGTAGCCAGGCGTCGGAGCCGGGGACCCCGATCGCGGCGAGTGGGTCGCGTAAGGCTTGTTCTTGGACGAGCCAAATCCGAAAGCACTCGCGAGGCCAATGCTCAGACGACGATTCGCCGACGGCTTGGGGATGGTTTCTTCCTTGCGACGATTGACGTCCAGATATGCTGGTGCGCCGCTGCTCCGCGTTCTTGTGCGCGGTGTGCGATCAGGCTCGAGCTTGTGGGCCAAGTCATACTCTGCATTGGAGTGCGATTGGCGCGTTTTCAGCGTGGTGGTGTCCACCGAGAAGCGTCGATGGCGGTTGGCAGCGGCTGGTGGCCGACCAGAGTTGGGCGCTGGCGGCTTGGCGTAGCGCTCGGCCAGTTGCAGAGCTACCTGCTCAATCATCGCGTTCATCTCTGCCTCTTGCCGCTGGGCAATCATACGGCGATTGAGCAGCAGATAATCAGCCGTGGCATGATTGACAGACTGGGTTTCCAGGTGAGCACGCAAATCGCCCACAGGACGACCCATGCGCGCCAGCTCGGCAATGACAGTCTCATCAATCTCGCGACTTTCGCCCTGGCAGTGCTCGACGGGGGTCTGCGAAGGCCCGAGAATCCAGGGGTGGCTGAGAATTTGCTCAATGGTCGGGCGCTCTGATGGCACGACACGCAGAATGCTTCGAATCAAGTTGCAGAACTCTGCGTAGCAACAACCATGATTGTTGGTAAGTTATCAGCAGCAGCAGTCCGAACAAACAAGCAAGCAAACAAACCCAAACGCAAACAAGCAGCGTGCTCCTACTCACCGCCAGACAGCTGGATCTCGGGAAGAAGAAAAGATCCAGCAAGAATGCGCGAAATCATCTCGCCTTGATTGAGCGTCTCACTGGCGAACGGGAGACGACCCATCACCAGCGTAAACAGCAAGACACCATAGCTCCACACGTCGGCGGCCGGCCCGACGTAGTGTTCGTTCTTGATAATTTCTGCGAGTAAAATCGAGGGATGGGGGAGGGGTGGGAGTTAGAATGTGCTGGATGGAGGCGTTCAAAGCAGCAATAAAACTCAAACATTACCCGGTGAGGTGTAGGCGAGGGAGCCGACAAACGTGGACTGCACAAACAACAAGTTGCAAAGGAAGAGTGTGGGTTAGCAGTGCAAAAAAAATTCTCAAAAGCAACCTGCAATTCTGCTGCACTGTTGGAAACGCACCATCAGCTGTCCAGGCGCAAAGGCGTTCGCAAAACCAAAGTCTGCAATTTTGACCTTGCCCTCCAAGTCCATCAGGCAATTTTCAAGCTACAAGCAAGGAGACAAAAAGAGCACCAAAAGGTCAAAGTGAGAAGGCGCCATCCACCTTTCAACGACGAAAGCAGCGAGGAAAACTTGCTTTGAGATCACGATGAACGATGCCCTGCTTGTGGCAGTAGTGGAGCGCCGATGCCAGCTGACGGGCAATCTTTCTTGCTTCGTGCTCGCTCAATCGTTGACGCGCAACGATGTGATCGAAAAGCTCGCCTAAGTTAAGGTAGCAGCATTTTTTTTTGAGGTTGTTGTTGTTGCGAATTGAGAACGCAAGAAAACGAGCTCAGAATACACACGCAGCTGGTCATGCAGCACATACCTCCTGGCATGTACTCGAGAACAAGGACTACATGCTTGGACGTCTCGATGACATCGTAGAGTCGCACAATGTGCTGGTGATGCAGCATTCGCAACGCACGAACTTCGAATGCGTGCATGTCAAACTCTTTGCGCGGGATGAACTTGAGCGCGACCTGCTCAACCAAGGGGCACGATTCATAATCACAGCAGCGCAATTTTGTTGGATGCGGTGAGTCATTTGAATGGTTCTTAAAAAAAAAAAAAAAACAAAAAAAAATCCCCCGAATTTTTCCAAATCGTTTGGTTTGTTTTCGTTTTTGTTCGTTTTCGTTTGCTTTGAGTTTTTTTTTTGTTCGTCTGACGCCCATCCGCGACACCATCGTTCAAACAATGGGGGAAAGCCGACAAAGAAGAAGAAGAAGAAGAAAAATGTCAAAGTCAAAGAGGAAGAAGCGCAAGGAGCAAGGAATACAAGAAAAAAGCGAAAAAAAAAATCAAAATAAAATAAAAGCGACAAAAAAAAAAAAAATAAAAAAATAGACCCAAAAACCCCACAAACTTTTTTTTTTTTTGTTGATAAGCAACAGGTATTCGATTTTTTTTAATATGACTCGCACTCGGTGTTCACTGACTGCTGCCCTCCCAACCTGGAGTGGCTCGAGCTGCCATCCACTTCTCCACCCTTCCCATCCCCACCCCCACACCAGCTTTGTTGGCAGCGCAGGCCAGAAGCGGGGGCTCCACGCACGAGCGAACAAGCCCAATTTTCCGCCTTTTTAGGGTCTGAAAAGATAACCCTCCCCTTTCCCCCGCACGTGCACCGCCTTCATTCGGGCTGCACGCGGCAACAAAAAATCCGACAATGAGCAGCAACAACAAAAAAACTCACCTCTTCGTTGGTGAGGAGGTGGTAGCCGAGGCGAACGTAGCCGTGGGCGCCCTGGCCAAGCTGCTTGTCCAGCCGATAGAATGATTCGACATCTTCGATGGTGCGAGGTGTCGCTTGCACGCGGCCGTCCTCCTCGTCCTCGCATTCCTCGTCGTCGTCTTCGGACTCGGACGAGGCAGAGTCGTCGCTGCTATCGTCGCACTCGTTGCGGTCGCCGGAGCTGGCGACGGTGCTGAGCGGTTTGTTGCCCGTTGGGGCGGATGACGACGAAGAGGCGTTGGCTCGTTGTTGACTTTTTGAGGCCCGATCCTCGAGCGGTCCGGCTCGTCGTGTCGCTGGGCTGCTGTCACTGCTGGCGCTGCTGAAGCTACTGCGAGGACTAGCGCTGTTCGTGTAGCTGCTGCTGCTCGGTCCGCACGCTGTGTGCTCGCCGTTGACGTTGAAATCTTGCTGTGATTGAAGATGCGTCATGGCTGCCGTTTGTCCTTGTCTGGTCGTCCCAGCTGCGCCGTTGCCACTGCTGCTGCTGCTGCCGCCGGGTGTGTACGTCTGGGTCATGCGCAAGTCGTCGACTTTGGTCGCGGCCATTTGTAGGAACGCAGGAGAGGAAAGGTGCTTTCAAAAGAAAAAAAAAAAAAGAAGAAAAAAAAAAAGGAAAAAAAAAACCACCCAGATCTGGTTCTGATCTAACAAGCCAGCATCAAAAAAACCAAAAAAAAAAAAAAAAAACCCGTGAGTCTCGCGCAGTTGACTGTTTTTTTGGATTGTGGATTTTGTACCAGAAACAACACCTTTTTCACGCACTCAAAAAAAAAAAAAAAAAAAAAAAATGAAGAATGAAAAAAAGTTAAAATTTATTGAAGGAAAAAAAAAAAAAAACCAAAAAAAAAAAAAAAAAGCCCCATTCAAGAATACAAGGTCGTGATAATGAGCTTGCTGGAAGTGCGATGCGTACATCAGGATTTGCGTCCGGATGCCAAAGTGCATAGGATGGGCTTATTTTGTTGAACGAGCCTTCCGGAAGGGATGTGCGATGACAAATTTGCTGGAGTCGGCGACACGGGGAGGGCCCAGGTCGAGTGTGTGCGATGGTTGTCAAGCGAAAAAAAAAAAAAAAAAAAAGCGGCGGCTCGAGCTCTCAATACGAAGAGGTGTTGGGCATGAATGCCAAAACGTTCAAAACGCACAAGGGTGCAGTGGCCAGAGCCACCGGCTGTGAAACGATAGGAATGCAGACAGCATTTCTGCCTTCCCCTTGCGCCATTGCACCGACGAGAAGGAAGGAAAAAAGACGCCAAAAGCGAGGAGGTGGTAAGAACCCCGCGAAAAAAACAAAAAAAAAAAAAAAAACACACAAAACAAACGAAAAATTTGGTCTGGGTCTTTGGTTTCTGCGCACCGAACGCTCACTGGGACTGCTCGGACTGCTCATACATGACACAGCGATGAAGATGCGACAGGAGGAGGGGCTGGTGGTGGTGATGGAGTTGGGAGTTGGTCGTGGAGCAGAGCATGCACGAGACGCACTCACCCAAATTAATTGATTTGAAAAGCAATTGTTTGATTAAAATCGAAAAAAATAAAATAAAATCGAAAGCAGAAAAAAACAAGAATGATCAGACAAAGTGCGTCGCCGAGCTATGCAGTCACAACGCAACGCGACATTTTTCCTTAGACTTTTGACAGGGACAGAGGCACGGGGCGCAGGAGCAACGCAGACACGACGCGGAATGGAGATGGAAATCAGACAAAAACAAAAATTGGAGGCAGGTCGAGTCAGGTCCCGGCCAAAAGTTCGTCGATTCGAGCGGATTTGGAAGCTGAGGAATGGGTTGTCATTGCGCATTGCGCATGTTGTATCATTCAATCGACGTTATTCGGCCAATAGCGAACGACCCAACCCGTGGGATTCGGAGTCTCACAAATCGTATGCCTCAATCAATTCACACCTTGTGCTTGTGGTTAAAGCAGCTAAGAGGTGTGAACCGAAGCGCACGCTCAGAGATGCGAATTGCGACCACCTATAGTCCTCTGCCGCGACACTCGATGATTGAGGCAGACAGCATGTCCGCACCGCTCGAGGCGACAGCTCACTTCGAGGCGTTTCGCGCGTGTCGGTTTGTTTCGCCGATTGCAGCGGGCGAATACTTTATTCAATCCATTGCTAAACTAGGCTCTTTTTTTCGCCATTCTTTTCGGCAAAAATTGTGAATGTGCTCAGCAACCGTCACCGGAGATCTGGAGTGCACGATGCACCAATGGTCACCCAAGTTTGAAGAAGCTTTGTCATGCAGTTCGGTTAGTCTTTGCTTTTTTTTTTTTTTTTTTTTTCATAAGGCTTCCGTTTCCGCTTGCCGCTCTGATTCATTCGACGCCAGCGCGATTCGAGCCCCCCTCCCACTCACCGCGTCCCCAAAGACACTCTTGTTGCTCGTCATCGTCCATTTTCATTTTGGGGGATTAACGTCGCGCGCCTGAATCCCCTGTTGCCCCTGTTGCCCTTTTCATTGATGATGACTCGGACTGGCGGCAAGAAGGCTCACGCGGGTCGGCAGCGTCGCTCGCGCGCATGGTCGAGCCCAGTCACCATGCCAGCCGTGGCTCTTGCAGTCGTCGTGATGATGCTGGCCTGCTCGCAAACGATGGCCGTCAAGGGCCCCAGCGTCCGCGGAGGAAGCCCTGCGGCCATGCTCGGTGCGACGCAGACCGGCAGCAGCGAGACTCATGGCGCGGCTACGTCCGTTGCTGCTGCGCTCGCCCAGGCCCTTCCAACAACGACAATCCACACTGGCACGAACAACTGCACGGGCATCCGGCTGGACATGCCGGGCGTGCTGCTCTCGGGTGTCGCCTTCTCCATCAATGTGACTCTGCCGCCTTACCTGGAGGGCAACCAGATGTGGCCAATCGCGCTGCCATATTTGCTCGTCGATGTCACTCAGAACGAGATCTTGGACAATGGCACCTTCATCACGATGGACGCGTCCCAGTCCGCCCGCATTGTGCTGCAGTTTGAGCTCGACGGGATTGTTGTGTCTGGAAACGGCGGCAAGACCTTGCATCTGATTGTCGACCAGTGTGCGCCCGTGCCGGTCAAGCGCAACACGATTCCCGACTGGGCATCGCTCTTCCCCACGATTTTGTGCATCATCTTGGCCGTGGCGCTGAGGCAGGTTTTGTGCGCCCTGCTGCTCGGCACTTGGCTTGGCGCCTTCTTCATCGAGTCGTACAACCCGCTGAATGCAACCCTGCGCACCGTCGATCACTACATTCTCCAGACGTTCGTTTCAACCTCCCACGCGGGCATCATCCTGTTCACCTTCCAGCTCGGTGGCTTGATTGGGCTCGTGCAAAAGAGCGGCGGCGCTCTTGGCCTCTCGCGCGTGTTTAAGCGCATTACCACCACGCCGCTCCGAGCCTGCCTCGCCTCCTTTTTTCTCTCGCTCATGATCTTCTTCGACGACTACAGCTCCATTCTGATTGTGGGCAGCTCGTTGCGCACCGTGCTCGAGTCGCTGCACGTTCCGCGCGAAAAGTTTGCCTTTCTCGTTCATAGCATGGGACCCGCACTCACCAGCATGTCGCCCGTGTCCAGCTGGATTGCAGTGCAACTTGGCTACATTACGTCTTCGTTTGCCGGCTCGCATGTCTCGGTCGACGCGTTTGTCATGTACCTCGAGTCCATTCCGTACCGCGCCTTCCCCATCTTGATGATTGTCTTTGTCTTTCTCGTGATTGTGACACAGCGCGACTTTGGACCCATGCTTCGAGCACGTCCGCACGCCCAGGGCTTGCTCCTGTCCGACCGCGGGGCCGAACCGCTGACCGAGCCGGTTGGCGGTGGACGCGGGCGGTCGTACAGCTCTGCCAGTTACGTGCCAATCGAGCCCCACAACCCACTGAGCCCCAAGGATTCGACGCCGCTTCGCTGGTTTAACGCAGCCATCCCGTTCGTTGCTGTGATTGTCTTGACGTTCGTCGGCATGTACCTGAGTGGCCTGAACACGATCGACCATATGCCTGCCAGCGATCGGCCTCCAACCACTGCCGAAAACATTTTCTCGAACGCAGACAGCATGGACGCGCTGATTTGGAGCTCGCTTGCTGGAGTGATGATTTCGCTGATTTTGGTGTTGGTTCAATGCATTTTGAACCTGTCGGAATCGCTTCAGGTGAGTTGCCCTTTCCAGCCTTTGAGCTGTGTGGCTTGATTGATTTTGGGGTGTTTTTTTTCCTTCTCTCACAATTCCCTGACTGTTTGGCTGCTGACCCGCTTTGTTGGTTGCTGTTACGTTACTGTAACGTTCCCTCCCCTCCCCTCCCCTCCCCTCCCCTCCCCTCCCCTCCCCTCCTTGTGCACGCAGGCTATCATCTGTGGTGTCCGTGAAGTTGTCGAGCCCACCATGATCTTGGTCCTGGCCTGGGCCCTTGGCGATGTCATCAATCAGTTGCAGACAGGCAGGTACTTGTCGCAGCTGATTGGCACTGGCATTAATCCCATCTACTTGCCCACGATTGTCGTGTTGGTGGCCTACCTGATGTCGTACGCGACGGGCACCTCGTTCGGCAGTATGGGAATCTTGTTCCCGCTCGTCATCCCGATTGTGTGCGAGTTGACGACAAGCGACGACTTGCGCACACAAACCGCGGCCGCCATTATGGGCGGCTGCGTGTTTGGCAATGTCGCGTCGCCGATTGCCGATAACACTATTCTCTCCACCATCGCCACATCGTGCGATCTCAATGCGCACATCAAGACTCAAACTCCGTACGTGCTGCTCGTGGGCGCCGTTTCGGTCTTGCTCTGCACGCTCCCTGTCGGCATGGGCGCCTATCCAGTCTATGTCGGTCTGCCTCTTGCCACGCTGGTCCTCCTTGCCATTCTCCTCGTTTTCGGCGCGACCGATAACGAGTCCGATTCGCTCTTCGACCGGGTCGTGTGCACGCGCCTCTTGGGGCGATCCAGCAAAATTCGCTACCGCTCCGTGACGGCCTTGCCAGATCCCATGGATGAACCATCCGACCCCATGCCCACCCGCCGCCGTCCATGGTGGTCTTCACTCCGCTTTTGGCAGCGCGAGCCCAGCAGCAAGCCAAGAAGCCAAGGGTATGAAGCGATCAATTGATTTTTTTCATTTTTTCATAAGTTTCGGTGTGTACTTTTATTTGGTTTTGCACCAATGTGATCGTTTGAATACAGTACTGGCCTGCATGATGTTTTTTTTTTGGTCAAACACACTCATGTCCTTCCATATGAGAACGGGGACTCCATCATCATGCTTGCATTGATTCTCAGACCATCATGAATAATAATCGTTTTATTATTTTTTTTTTTGTTTTTGGTCGATTCACTCTTCCGCCCGCCAAAAAAACAAAAAAACTTTTTCTTTTTTTTTTCAAAAAACTAAAAAAACAAAATGTCCAACACTACCATTGCTGCCCAGCCTGCTGCTGCCCCCGCTGCTGCCGCCGGCGCTGCCCCGGCTGCTGCCAACACCACCACCGTCGTTGCCAACGCCGCTGCCGGTGCCGCCCCCAGCTTCCCCTCGGGCTCGCTGTATGTCGGCGACCTCCACCCCGAGGTTACCGAAGCCCAGCTCTTCGAGATTTTCAACAACATTGGCCCGGTCGTCTCCATCCGTGTCTGCCGTGACGCCATCACCCGTCGCTCCCTCGGCTATGCCTACGTCAACTTCCACGCCGCCGTCGATGGTAAGAGCAGCGGAAACGGACACGGGGAAGAGCCAAACGAAAAAAAAAAAGAAAAAAAAAAAGACAAAAAAAAAAAAAAAAGAAAAAAAGAAAAAAAAAAACGAAACGAAAAGGCTGTTGTCGCACGACGCAAGCGCACATGCGTACTGCGCACCCAGCCACCTTGCGAGTGATATTGTGCAGCTCGAGCAGTGGTTCCTCATTGCTCCGCGCCATGGTCCGTGCTGGTGGTCCGACACATGCGCAAGAACGGTTTTTTGACTTTCCATCGTGGACATTTAAACGCCAGCCACGTGCGTTTGTTCGCGCTTTCATTTTTATTTTATTTTGAACAAATGCGCACCAACGTCTTGCTGTTGTGTGGGCGCCATATGCGTGCGCAAGTATGGGGGGGCATTTGTCCAGTGTTTTGCTTTGTTGTGTGTTGGGTTGCGGCGAGGACAGCCACGTCAGAACTGCAAGCAGAGTTAAAAAAGAAAAAAAAAAAAGAAAAAAAAAAGAGAAAGAAAAAAAAAAAAAGAAAAAAAAAGAAAAAAAAAATAAAGAAAAAAAAGAAGAAAACCAACGTGGCGTCGTTTCTTCGTTGCGTGGTCGTTGCTGCTTTGTGTGTTGTGGTTCTCGCTCGTTCGAACTGCTTTCGTCGACCTTTTTTTTTATGAATTTGACAAGGACATGCTTGTTATTCGGCCGGGAAGTCTGGGGCGGAGGGGGGGGGCGGAGCTTGAGAGCATGCACAGCTAAGCTCGCCCGATGTCGCAACGCTGACGCCATTTCCCGGCTTTTTTTTTTTTCACTTTGACCCTTCCAACTCATCCATTGTTTTTGTATTTGTTGCGCAACTCTTCAACAACAGCCGAGCGTGCCCTCGACACCCTCAACTACAGCCTCATCCGTGGCAAGCCTTGCCGCATCATGTGGTCCCAGCGCGACCCCGCCGTTCGCAAGTCCGGCCTCGGCAACGTGTTCATCAAGAACCTCGACAAGACCATTGACAACAAGGCTCTCCTCGACACCTTCTCTGCGTTCGGCAACATTCTGTCGTGCAAGGTCGTGACCGACGAGAACGGCTCGAAGGGCTATGGCTTTGTCCACTACGAGACCCAGGAGGCTGCCGAGACCGCCATTGCCAAGGTCAACGGCATGGTCATCAACGGCAAGCAGGTCTTTGTCGGCATCTTTGTGCCCCGCAAGGAGCGCGTCGAGCTCGGCGAGGGTGTCACCAAGTTCACCAACGTCTTTGTCAAGAACCTCCCTGAGGACACCACTGACGCTGCCCTCAACGACATGTTCAGCAAGTTTGGCAAGATCACCTCTGTTGTCATCATGAAGTCGAGCGACGACGACAAGTCCAAGGGCTTTGGCTTTGTCTGCTACGAGAAGGTCGAGGACGCCCAGGCCGCCGTCAACGCTCTGAACGGCACCGAGCTTGCTGGCAAGACCCTGTTTGTCGCCCGTGCCCAGAAGAAGGCCGAGCGCGAGGCAGAGCTCAAGCAGCGCTACGATGCCCTCCGTCTGGAGCGCATCAACAAGTACCAGGGCATCAACCTGTACGTCAAGAACCTCGACGACGCCATCGACGAGGACAAGATCCGCACCGAGTTTGCCCCCTTCGGCACCATCACCTCGGTCAAGATCATGCGCGACGAGAAGGGCAAGTCCCGTGGCTTTGGCTTTATCTGCTTCTCGAGCGCCGAGGAGGCCACCAAGGCCGTCACTGAGATGAACGGCCAGACCATCCAGGGCTTCCCCAAGCCGCTGTACGTCGCTCTTGCTCAGCGCGCCGAGGACCGTCGCGCTCAGCTTGCTGCTCACTTTGCCCAGCAGCGCGGCAACATGGGCGGCCGCATGGCTGGCGGTGTCATCGCTGGCATGCCCCCGCAGTACATGGCTGGCCCCCAGATGTTCTACGCTGGTGTTCCCCAGAACCGCGGCATGGTCTACCCCCAGAACGTCATGCGCCGTGGTGCCTGGCCCGCCAACGTCCCCGTCGGTGTCGCCGCTGGCGCCCGCCCCGGCTTTGGCCCCTTCATGGCTGTTCCCCAGGGCGTTCCCCGCCAGGCTGGCAACAACTCGCGCGGCGGCAACCGTGCTCCCCGCGCTGGTGCCCCCGGCATGATCAACCAGCAGTTCCCCCAGCAACAGCAGCCCCAGCAGCCCCAGCAGCCCCAGCAGCAGCAATCCCTCCGCGCTGGCCAGGCCGCTTCCGGCGCTCCTCGTCAGCAGGGTGCCCAGCAGGGCGCCGGTGCTCGTCAAGCCATCCCCAAGACTGCCGGCCGCCAGGGTGCCTCCGCCACCGCTCCCGCCCCCAGCGACGAGCGTCTTGCCAACCTTTCCCAGTTCGACCTTGCCACCCAGAAGCGCGTTCTTGGTGAGACCCTCTTCCCCCTGATTGCCGCCACCCAGGCCGACCTTGCCGGCAAGATCACTGGCATGCTCCTCGAGATGGACAACACTGAGCTTCTCCACCTCATCTCCGTCCCCGACGCTCTTGCCGAGAAGGTCCAGGAGGCCGTCACTGTGCTCCAGACCCACGGTGCTCAAAACTAAAGCCAATCTGGTTTCCCCCTTTTTTTCTCTTCTTTTCTTTTTTGATTGATTTTTTTTAAATTGTCGGGTTTCGGGTTTGTTTCCTTTTCCCCCTTTGCCTTCTCTTTTTCAAACCGCAGTGATGTCGTCCTTGTGATCGGAGCGTCTGATCGGCGCTGGTCCGAGTTCTTTCCTTGCCATCATGCGTGTCCTTCTTTTTTTTTTCTTCTTTGCTGCCATTCATTCCCACACTTCATTTATTGGGCGGAAGTGTCGAATGCAATTGTGCCAGTGGTCAATCTTATTTTTTGCCAGCTTGTCCACTAAAAAAAAATACACACAGACATTCAAAAACACACCACAAAACACCACAAAACCATTGCGCATACTGTTTTGTTTCCCCCTAGTGCTCAACTATAGTTGTTCAGCGAAACCGGTCGAGAAGCTCATCAGCAGCCAATCCAGGCGCAACTAAGCCCTGCATGACTTGCTGCTCTGCGCCTGCGATGACACGCGAAACTTCAGGGTGTGCTTGGAATCTGTGCAAACACGAGCAACAACATTTTAATTTTAGTTGAGGCAATCAAAGGAGCAAAATCATCAAGCCCAACTCATACCGTTCCAAAATACCATCGGAAACGTGCTTCCACATCAATCGTTTCCGCTGTTGGCTGCGCTTGAGGAAAAACTCGCCCCCTTTCTGCAAAGAGAACAAAAGAAAAAAAAAAAAAAAAGAAAGAAAGAGAGAAAAAAAAAATCAATGTCCCAAGCCCAACTACCAAAATCACTCAGTCAACGTTGGGTTCATACCATCTGACTGTCATAAAACTGAAGCATCAACTTCCACGCATCGGCCAAGCCCGTGGAATCGAGCGACGAAAGCATCGCAATCTGTAAAAAACCCCCACAGTCAATCAGCTGTCGCCAACTTGATCTGCAATGTCTCTCATCAAGGCTGCATACCTCAGGGGTCCAGGATGCGGTTCGAGGCCGCAGCAATTTCATGGCGCTGGTATATTCCGATTTGGCTTTTCGCGCAGCGGGAAGCAAGTCTCCGTCGGCCTTGTTTACAATGACAAAGTCCGCCAGCTCGACGATGCCTTTCTTGATACCCTGTGACCCCAACGAGCAGCAAAAACAAAAAGAGCAACAAAAGCAAAATGTTTGCACAGTTGTCCCGTTGTCTCGCCTTCCAACAAGCGTTCAAGCCGAGCTCGACATCAACACCAAAAACAAAAAAAAAAAAAAAAAAAAAAATCGCACCTGAAGCTCGTCGCCACCTCCTGGGGGCACAATCAAAGTAAACAAATCAACCATATCCGCCACAGCGGTTTCGCTTTGGCCCACGCCAACAGTTTCAATGATAATGACATCGTAGCCAGATCCTAAATACAAACACGAAGATGAGCAACGTTGAACCGCGTTGGCCATACAAACGCTCGCAGTCGAAAATAAGTTTGCAGTACCTTCGCACAGCACGATGGCATCGCTCGTGTTCCGCGTTACACCACCAAGAGAGCCGCGAGAGGGTGATGGGCGAACGTAAGCAGCGTCATTTCGGGAGAGCTCTGTCATGCGAGTTTTGTCTCCGAGAATCGAACCACCCGACACTGAGGACGAAGGGTCGACAGCCTAATCCCAGAACAGTAGGATATGAAGATGAGTATTCCCAAGCCCCACCCCCTCAGCACAGCGACATACCCGCCAAAACAACAACAACAAGAAACAGCCATCAAGGTGGCAAGAACGGGCATGATGCAAATCCTTCAATACATACCAGAACGGCGACTCGAAGACCCTGGTTGACAAGAAACATGCCAAAGGTTTCGATGAACGTCGACTTTCCAGCACCAGGGGGACCCGAGAGGCCAATCCGGAAGGGGGTGGGAAGGGTAGTCGTGGTCTGGTTGTTTTTGAGGGTAACTGTCGACACTGCTCGAGATCCCAGGGATTGGACGTGACTCCAGCGGTCGTGAAGCACATCCAAAATGCGATCGAGCAGATTCTGAGCAACTCGGCGGTGGTCACGGCGCCAAGATTCGACTGCAAGACCGAATCGAATGGCACAACATGCAAAGCAAAAAGCACACAGCGATTCGTGGATGAGTAAAATTCCAGCTGCCCAGCTGGGCATGAAGCTTCCAAACACCTGGCATGCAACGCTCGGCAGCAGGGTCGACCAAGCAATGCACTTTACCAAGTGTAATTCCGCGAGCCAACGCGCTGCGATCTTGCTGCAGAATGCCGTCGTAGAGCTTCTGGAGCCATGCCTGATCAGCTTCCTTGAGATGCAACAAGTGGTCGACGTTGAAGGCATCATTCTCGGTCTTCTTTGCAGCTTGAGGTTGAACCGGAGCTTGGACAGTGACCGGCGTCGACTGCGTGCTGACGGATCGCGTTGGGACACTAAGACGCGCGGAGCACTCCTCTCGCTCTGTGGCGGACATACTCGGCGTGCTGCTACTGGTTGCATGCTGGTGCAGTCCGGCGCGGGTCGAGGGAGCACTCGGAAGCGAGCCAAGACCAAGACACGGCCGCGTTCCGGATGAGCTCACGCCGCGTCGTTGGTCATTCTGCAGAGGCGCTGCTTGAGCACGCGTCCACGACGAAGCCGTCAGCAGCGCCAAACGAGTAGAAGCTGTTCGTTGAGCACGCAGGAGCGGCGTTGCAGCACAAGCCAGTTTCGACGACGCCAGCAGCATTGATCTCTGAATGAAACAAACGACTGAACACAAACGCTCACCACACTCATCTCAGAAGCGACAAACTCTCTCCTATCAATTTCGATTCATCGTTTATAGTTTGGTGCTACTCTTTTATTTTTGAGCAATTCTTCTTTTCCAAAAAATGAGCAGTCGAGGCAAAGCGTAAGGCCCAATAGACGGGGGATTAGGGGGATTGGTGTGCTCGGCCCTTGCCGCCGCGACCGCATCGGGGGTCTGCTGCCACACCAAGCCCTCGAGGGCTCGTGGCTTGGTCACGGCGGTGGCGTTGGGCGACGCGACAAAGAGGAGAAACGCTGGAAGGCCTTTTGGCGCCAAAAACTCAAATTTTCTCCCGCCAACGCTTGCTTGTTATGGTCGCGCGCCTGTTTTCAGAACCGGCATTGCCGCCCTGTTCGCAAGGCAAGGAGCGAAATCCAAGGACACGACACAGGCATCCTCAGCGACTCCAGCGCAGAATCCCGCGCCGTCTATGCAGGTGAGTGCGCGATTGGCTTCCCGCCACCAACCGAGCTTTTCCCGCCTTTTTTTTTTTTTATTTCATTCGTTTGTTTGTGCTGCATTTGCAACTGCCTGATCTGTCTCGGTTGCTCACTTGGTGTGGTCGCGATGCGCTCGCAACATATGTCTTCCACTCTACAGGTTGCAGAGCAGGCATCAGCGGCAGTCACAAGCAAGCGATTGGTAACGCAACCTCTACTCTTTTTTGTTCACTTGTCGTTTCTTTGTTCGCGTTCAATGGAGTGCTGCATGACTTTTGCTGACTCGGTTTCTATTTTACACTCTTCTCATCACCTTTTTTTTTTTGATTCTAGGCGGATCCCGTCGAGGAGCCCCGAGTTGTTGCAAAGTCACCGAGCAAAAAGCCAAGAATCGTGTCTGAGCGCGATGAGGACATCACTCCCTTCGCAGCGCCGCACACCAAGGTGGTCATCACGAGTAACAAAGACAAGGCTCGACAGGCAAGCAGAGAGGCCGAGCTGAAGCGTCTCGAGAGCCTGCACGAGCCAACGGTGGTTGTGCCGGTTGTCGCTTCGCTCGAAACTCTAATCACGCCGCCGTTGTTGGTGGCTGATGGAACCGAGGACATGTCTTCTCAGAGCTCGTTCTTGGGCGTGGCACCCCGCGCAGCGTTTGCCATTGCCATGCCTGCACTCGCCGTCCCTGAAGGTGCCGAGGACATGTCTTCACAAAGCTCCTTCTTTGGCGTGGCACCTCGAGCGGCGGTTGCCATTGCGAGGCCTGCACTGACCGTTCCTGAAGGTGCCGAGGATATTTCGTCTCAAAGCTCGTTCTTTGGCTTCCCGGTCGGATCTTCTTGTGTGATTTCCTCTCCTCCGAAAGTGGGCGCCGCTTCCACTCCAGACCTGGTCGAGGCTGCCGAGCCGATGGACGTTTCTGCCGACGAGGGCACCCCAGTGACCGAAACCAACAATGGCGGTCGCCCACGGCGCACAGCTGCCAAGAAGGCTGTCGATCGGCTTGCGAAAGGAGAGCAAGACGACGGCCTTGATGCCGAGCCCGCAGAAGAGGCCACAGAGGCGGCAGACGCAGAGGAGCCTGATGCCAACGAAAACCAAGATGCACGCGAAGCTCGCAAGCTTGCCGCTGCCGCCAAGCGCGCCGAGAAGGACGAGGCTGCCAAGCTGGCCAAAGCCGAGGCCGCCCGCCGAAAGGAGGAGCTGCTTCGCCAAAAGGAAGACGCAAAGCGGCAAAAGGACGAACAAAAGCTTCAACGCGAGCTGGAAGTGCAAAAGAAAAACCAAGAGCGCGAAGACGCCAAGAAGCGCAAGGAGGACGAGAAGCGACAAAAGGACCTTGCCAAGGAGGAAGAGCGTGTGCGCAAGGAGGCTGCCAAGGCCCAGCAGGAAGCCGAGCGGGCCAAGCGCATTGCCGATGAGGCCGCCCTGAAGGCCAAGCGAGAGGCAGACAAGGAAAACAAGCGACTCGCGGATGAGGCTGCCAAGGCCAAGGCCATTGAGGACGAACTGGCCAAGAAGAAGCAAGCCGAAGCTCGATTTTTCGGAATGCTCATGAAAGGCAGCAGCGGCGCACCTCAGACCACCAACCCTGTGAAGGCTGTGTCGGAGGAGGCAACGGTCGAGACCAAGGCAAAGGACAACAAGAACAAGCCCAACGAGGCCCCCTGCGTCCGCATCAAGTGGACGGCGGAAGATACCCAGCGCCTTGACACCCTGCTGGCACTGCAAGCTTCCGCGACACCCACCTTCCTTCACGAGGCCAAGCTTCGTGCTCGCGAGTTGAAGCGTCGTTGGCACGCGAGCCGACGCGAGTTGGTTCGTCGACACACTTCTATTGCTACTGCTGCCGAAACAGAGGCGATGGCCGTTGACAATGACGATGAAGTCGCACCAGTGACCGTTTGTCCCGAGGTGACTGCTCAACTCGATCGAATTCTTGGTCGGCCTGTTGTCGCCCGAACAAACCCTCCGCTGATCCATGGCGACCGGATTGTGCAAATGCGCCACATCCAACACGACGGCTCAATCCGTCCGCCGTACTTTGGCAGCTGCATGCACGTGCCCAAGTTTGCCAACCCTCGTCGACCATTCCTGCCCGATCCCGAGTACAACTACGACGATGATTACGACTCGGACCAGGATTGGGACGAGGCGGATGCCGAGATTGGCGAGTCTCTCAGCTCGTGCGAAGAGGACGAGGAGGAAATGGAGGCCACGGCTGGTCTGGGCGAGTTGAGCGACTTTGCTCCTCGCTCCAAGAAGGCCGAAAAGCGCAAAGTCTCCCGCGAAGAGGACGAGCTCGCCATCGACGAGGAGATGGACGATTTTGTCGTGCCTCATGGCTATCTTTCTGACGACGAAGGCGTGGACGCCGCTGCCGACGAAGATGACGCCGACGACGACCTTGGCGAGTTTGCCGACGACGACGCCAGTGACGATGAAGGCAGCGACGACGACACGTCTGCGGATGACGCCGACCAACCCACCCCCAGCAAGCCTGCCGCGTCACGCAAGGCACAGCCCAGCTCGATGCGCGTGGATTCGGACGACGAGAGTGCAGCGGCGCCGGCTGAACCACGTCTCTCGACCAAGCGCACACACAGCGAAAGCCAGAGCGGCGAAGCAAACGCAGCCGAGGAGGCTGCAGCGCGCAAAAAGCGTCACCTGCAAGCGGCCGAGCTCGAGCTCAAGAAGCGAGCACAAAACCTAGTTTCCCTCAAGATTGGTGTCTTGTTTGCGCCGTACGCCCCTCCTTCCGACGAAAGTGTCATTGCTCGTCTTCCCGCAGGATTGCCGGCCAACAAGATCTCGCGGGCTGTCGCCTTGTCCAAGCAAAAGACCTTGCAGCAGTTCCACTTCCTGGCCAAGTTTGCTGTCAATCCCCTGTTTGACTTTGGCGCTGAGGGTGTTGATCCCTTCAACTTTGCCCCTCCCGCTGCTTTTGTCGCGGCAACCACCGGCGAGTCGGCCAACCCAGCCGAGCCCGGCGAAGCAGCGACCCTGAATTCCAACGTGAAGGCTTTCACGGACGACTTGCTGCCCGAGCTTGTGCGCATGGTCCACGGCACGAGTCGCGGCGTGGATCCCATCGGAGCCGAGTTTGTCACTCGGCATCCCGAGGTCAGCAAGCGTCAAACCATCAAGAAGCTGCTCGACATTGCCGTCAAGGAGGTCCGGCCAGCCATCTCTAAAAAGCCACTGTTCTTTGTCAAAGACCAGATGCTTGCCTCTCTGGGTTTGGAGTCGTTGCAGCCCGCGTACTTTGCCGAAACTGCTGCTCGCAAGGCCAAGCAGGAGGCCGAGCGGCAGCAGCGCCAACAGCTGGATGCAACCAAGGAACCACAGCAACCACAAGATGCGCAGCAGCCCACGACACCGATGGATTCAAAGCGACAGCAGCTCACGCCGCCGACCTCCGGTGACAAGCAAAAGCGCCCCAGGAAGCGCCCGTCGCCTACCACTGCAACGACCAAAGAGCTCTTCCCGCTTGCATCATTCCTCTCATCAGCTGGCACGCAGCGTCAAGCCCCGAGTCATTCCGAGCAGGCCATGACGATCGAGTCCGTTGTCGAAGGCAGCCAAGGGTTGATCACTCCTGCCAGCAGCCCAGCAGGTCAAAAGGTGATCGCCTTGTGAATTGTGAAGATGTGATTTGTTGGTTGTCGTCGTTGTTGTTGTTGTCGTTGCTGTTATTGTTGTCGTTGCTGTTATTGGTTTGTGAGGAGCGGAGCTTTTCAAGGTGCGCATTGTTTTTGTCGTGAATTAAAATGCCAAACAAAGTACACGAACTGAAGGAAACATTGCATTGAAGAAGCAAACACCAAACGAGCACAAACAACTCCCCGCCCCGACTACCGCTCGTGGGGTTGGTAGCTCCAATTGGCAGAAGAATTATCAAAGGATTGAAGAAGAAAATGAGAATTCAGGGCCGCGTACCGAGCCTGGTTCAAGAAGAGCGGACGGCCGCGTCGAAGGTCAATGTCTTCCTCGCCGAAAACATCCAAGTAAGGCGAGCCCCAGGAGCACGTCACTTGACTTCGGTAGATCTGAACGGCGGAGGATGACAGAATCAGAATGACTGCCAGGCCTGCACAACACGACCGGGAATGCTACACAGGACAGGTTGACAGAGCCGGGACAGAACAGGGACACAAACAGGAATGAGTAAACAAGCACTCTCAAGAAAAACTGATTCAAATCAAAATAGCCAAACTCACTCACCGCAACGATTTCGCTTGTACGAGCCACAGTACAGCAGTTTAGCGCACTCGAGCGCATGGGCACACACAAAAAGGTGCCGCAGATCAAGCACAGCGCGCCCTGCGCTGGTACGCTGTGACAGTTCCCACAGGTCATGCCACGGAAGGAGCGGAAGAGATCGTCGAAACAGTTTGGAAGCGGAATCAACTGGACGGGGCGAGAGGGAACAATACCAATGTGCATGGTTGGGGTGGTTGCTTGACGCTCACCCGGAGTCGGAAGAGCTGCCGACAACAACGCGAGCCACTGCTCAGTCTGCTCTCCAAATGCAGCGGGCAGCACTTCCCGCACATCGACATCAGGGTCGGCCAATCGGGCAGGATAGCATCGAAGCGCGGGATGCGCAATCGACTCAAGAGAGGGAGAAACGAGGGCGAGCGCGTCAAACAAGGCGTCCGAAAAGAGATGCTCGCGCGCCAATGGCTGTCCAGCAAGATAGTTGCCAAGAAGGTGCACGCCGTGAACGTACGGCTGCAACAACCTCCGCGTGACTGCGAGAAGGTGTGCAATGACGCGCTCACGCACACGGACAGCGTCACCAGCGTCCAAGCCCACGTCCTGATCGGGATTGGCTACCGACTCCATCGAGGGAGAGGCAGTTACAGGCGGCAAATCCGCTTCTGGCATGCCAAAAATGTCGACAGACTTGTCCAGCATGACCACCGCCAAGTCTAGCGACAGGCCGCTCACCAGGGCAGACTGAGTCGCGAGAACCCTGCAAATTGTCTTGGCGAATTGGAGCAGCCAAGTGTCGATGCGATCGGAGGGGTCGTCAAGAGTCTCGAACGTGGTTGCTGCCAGCGCGTCGTCGACAACTTGAGCGACAGCGTCGGTCGACAGCGCAAACTGTTGACCTACGTGCAAGAGCGCCGGGATGAGTGCCTGAACAATGGACAGAGGGAAGACAGTTCGCCCAAGTCGTCCGATCTCGGCCAACGTGATCGCTCGCGGCCAAAGACAAAGTAGATGGCACAAAACAGAAAGGGCATCACACCCGAGCGGGTTGCGCGCAATGAATGGCGGGTCCGCGCGCAACAATTCGTGTGCCAGCGTGCTCAGATGCGCAAAACCAGGACTAGGTGGTGAGTGCATCTTGGAGGGGGGTGTTGGTGTGCGGCTGCTTGAAAGGTCGGAAGGTGACTGTTGCGAAGGTTGGCAAACCAACGCCTTCCAAATCAGCGGGAGCAAGCTGTGACGCATATCGTGTTCCATCAGAGTCGTCCCCTTGTTGTTGTCGTTGCTGTCGTTGTCGATGTTGTCGTTGTTGTCAGGTTGGTTGCGGCAGCAGCCAAAGAGCATGCGGACGAGTTCGCCGTAGCCCGTCATCTTGTCCAAAAGCTCACGCCGTCGGGCCGCGTCCTGAGACACACTGCTTGCTTGGAGAAGCGCCGACCGGATGATATTTCGCATGGTCGATGCAACGGTCGCAAAACTGCAATCCTCAAACCTGCCGCCCAGCCGCGACGCTTGCGTCACCTGACGAATGATGCTCGTTGCCGCAACCACAGCGCGCATTTCAGAAACGCCGTTTACGTTGGCGGCTGTAGCGTCATCATCCAGAACTTCTGGTGACAGCGCACTTTCCGTCCATGCTGCATCTGCGGCATCTGCTGCCTCGGGTTGCTCCGAGTCAACACCAAGGCCGACAGCAGCGACATCCGACGAACATACTGCCGAGACTGGAAGGATGGGAAGAAGCACGTTGGCCACCCGACGGCACGTTGTGCACGAGTACATGCCGTGACTGGTATCAATGTATGCACTGACCGACGGAGTGTGGAATGTGTTGCAAATAAACTGCGAATAGCACTCAAAGTGCATACAGTGTCCACAAGACCGGACCTGCAGACTCACAGCCTGATCGCCTTTCGTGGTTTGAATGTCGACGTGTTGTAGCATGTGCAGTGGATGGCGGTCTGGTTGGTGCTCAGCAGCGAGAGCATCAACACTTTTCTTCTGCCGGTTTGCTTGCCTGAAGAGCCTGATGGCCACGGGATCGGTGGATGCTACTGTCGCGTGAGAATCGAGTGCTGGTGGTGTCGGTGTCGTGGCGCTTTCGTGCTCGTTGGCCCCAGCACCCACCGCTTGGTGCACCGCTTGGTCCACCGCTTGGTCGACCTCATTGTCCAATACGCCCGACGGGAAAACCCACGCCACATAGCCCATCGGTTCAGCAAGCGTGGATGGCGTGCTGGTGAGGCAAATGACGCACTCGTACACTGGCGCGCTCGCGTTATTCGCATCAGACCCGTCCACGCTCATCGGAGTGGAAGAGACCGAGTCCTCAGTCTCGCCGACCTCTGTGGAAACTGCAGCGGTGGCGCGGCTCTCCTCGGCTTGCGTGTGCTGCACAAATGCACGCTGGCGTGCGGAAAACTCATTCATGATGGCGAGTTTTCGCTGACTGGCGGCTTGCTTGCGCTTTGCAGAGGACGCCGCATCGGACTCCGCCTGTTCTGCTGCGGCATGCTGCATGTAATCGGTCAAGTCAGCGCCATTCTTTGGTGGAGACTGAGCGCAGGCGGAATGGAGAGAGCTGGCAGCCGCGTCTTCGACAACGGCCCGTACGGCATGTTCAAAGGGAGAGTCGGAGGTGCCGGACCGCAAAGCAAGGCAGTAGGCACGACAGCCAGACCATGCTACGATGCGGTCCATGACGGCACTCAAGTACGAGGCATGGGATTCCATTTCGGGCATGGTGCAGAGTGCGTTCAGCAGGGAAAGGATAGAGGCATTCATTAAAGGCGTACCCGAGCTGGCTGTAAACGATCCTCCGACAGAAATCCTAGGAGGGACGACGCACTCAAAGCACATGTTGACGACAATGTCGCTAGACGGCAAGCCGAGGTCAAACACCGAGCTTGCGACGCGGTGCGGCCGAACGGCTGCAGCTGCAGTCCAGATCGCCCGAGACGGGCCAACGCCCACTCCATAGCGGGTGTCGTGGAAATCCAGCGCGCATCGAAGCACGTGCATGGCCTCGAAAAACGAGGCTTCGCACGCCGTGGTGCTTGGACCCGCCGCGTCAGCTGCTCGATCGCGCACTCGCCGGTCACATTCGATTGCATAAATTAAGCGATACGCGGCAAAGAACACGAGTGCATGGAGCAGAGGATCGTCAAGCATTCGCAGCAGTCCCGCAAATTCGTTGGAGAGTGGCTGCAGACGCCTGTACGGGAAACGCGTCGCCCAGACGGACGCGTTGGAAGACCTTGCCGCCGCGGTGCCGCCTGTGTGGCCCGGACTGGTCGACAGTTCACCGCTGCCTGAGGCAGACTCTGCAGGTGTGAGGAGGCCAGCGGTAGCCGTCGCCGATACCAGGTCTGGCCGAGCAAATGCCATTCGCTGAATTCCTTTCGCGATGGTGGACTTGGAATAGATGCGCGCGACCAAGTGAGCGAGATCGACCTCATCCCAGCATTCTCGGCGCAGCGAATAGAATCCTTGACGCATCGAAAATGCAGTGTTTGCCGGGGCGTGGTAATCCGCAACTTGCTTGAGGATTTCATCAAACTGCTCGTCCGCACCCACACGATGGGGAAGGCTTTCAGTCAGGCTGGAGTGGGTGAAATCATCGACGGCCAGGCGGTGGATGATTTCCATGCGGACATACTCGCCAAAGCTCATACCGAGGAAGGTGCGCTCTGACAGCATGGTGATTAACAAGCTGAAAAAGTCGGCAAACAAGTCGGGAGTGTCGCCCACGCGGAACTCGGGGGCGGAGAACGAGAGCTCTGAGGCGAGCCCAAACCGCATTGCCATCGACGTCAGCAGCGTGTTCGGCGAGAGCGCGATTGCGCCAAGCTGAGCGAGGAAGGAGAGAGCAGCAAACACAAGCAAACCAATGAACAACAAACAGCAAAATCAATAAATGACACAATTCGGCCGACAGCCACCAGAAACGAACGTCTTCTCCCCTCCTCCTCCTCCTCCTCCTCCTCCTCCTCCAATCTTGCTTCGTGCTTACCTGAAGCGCGAAAATGTCTGGATCGACAAAGGTCTCTGCAAAGCTTGGATGCATGTACATCCACACTTGCTGTGCGAGTGATTCGCCGTTGCGCCGCCACATGCCAGCGCGCGCTTGTGCCCGAAGCACATAGACGCGCAGCGGGAACTCAAAGAACGCCGCAATGAAACTTTCCATGGCGGGCAGGCTTTGGTGTTGAAGCAACACATCGGAATAAAACCCACGACTTGAGGCTCGACGGGGAGCTGAAACCAAGCTCGCAGCAGATGCACTACTCGACTCAAGCTTCATGGCTGCACGAGATTCTTCCAACCAGGCAGTCATCTCGCTCTGTTGCCGATCACGCTCAAAGTCTTGAGCAAACTTGTGGATTTTCGACCAAAGAATGGGCCAGGTGAGGCCCGTCCAAGCCATTCCGCGGCTGGCAAACACTGCAAACCATCGGTGCAGAGGGATGTGCAGCGTGATGGGACGCACGTCGACGGCAAAGTCGAACACGGGTCCGGCGCTGCGGTTGTGGGGCACCTCCCGGCGAGTCATGCCGGCGCGGCTGTGCCAATCCACCAGCATTTGCGCAAGCGCGGACAGCGCAGGCAGGACATGCTCGAGTCGTTCAGCGCAGAGGCTCTCCCGTAACGATGCGGGTTCGAGACCTGGCAGCAGCAATTCTCGAACTGTTCGAGGCTGAGAACGAGCCTTGTTGAGGGCAGGCGCGGCACTGGCGGCTGCGTTCACCAGACGCGACTGCGTGCCAGCAAGCTGGGCTGCAGGAGGGAGAAGTGTTTCCAGTGCCGCCCGGAAATAACCCAGAAAAGTGCCACTCGCCTCGATTTCGAGTTCAAAGGCAGTCGAATACTCATCAGGCTCGTACTCGATATGCACAGTCGTGCAACGAGTGTTGTAAAATATGCCTTGAATCAAGGACACGATTTGCGCGAGGGACCACAGCGTCGGCGCTTTCCCGAGCATCATGCACGCCACTTGCGGGTGTGTCAAAATGTTGACAAGATCACTGGTTACAGACCAGTACTGGTGCTTCTTGATGAAGGGTGCATTAATGTTCACAACCACGTCCTGGTTGACCCCGAGATCTGCCCTGCCCGCGAGAGGCGCGTGTTTGACATTGCTGCCGAGGACGTGACACAGGGATGTAGCCAGCTTGGCAGAGCAGTTGTCGCGTTCCTCGGACTGCAGCGCAAGGCCAGGATTGCTAAACAACTGGCAGCTAATATGGACGACGCGATTGCAATAGCGAGCCGGATCGTGACTCTGGGGCATGGCTGTTGTCAGACGCAAGTAATGGCAGCTGAATGCGTGCGCGGCCTCGTCCTTGACACGCTGGAACGGCAGGACATAGAGTGCAAAGGTAACAAATGTTTGTGGCAAACCGACGAACGCCGAAGCAGCCATCAACCAATAGAGCAAGGTGTGTGACGGCGCGGCAGATGCGTTGCTGGGCACTCGATGCGCATCAAGGGATTGGCCCCATGCCGAAGGACCACCTGGTGGGTAGATTGGAATGCCAGCTATCGTTGGACAGTACGTGGCAGACGCGGCGGAAGCTCTAGCAACAGAAGTAGTCGATTGCGGCTGTGGAGTGCTGCCGGGCAATGAAGAGTGCCCAGTCGCGGAGGTGTGCGTCACCGAGTCGTCCGAGGAAACCGGCCACGAAGGAAGAGCGTTTTGCGGATTGGCTTGGAACAACATTTCGGCAACCAACGGAATGTCCTCCGAAAGAGCAATCTCCTCCAGCAGAATGTGACTCATCACAACACGCAAATCACTACTGGTCGACATCCACTTGAAACACGCCGCGAGTATCTCGTCTGCCACCATGGCGGCACGCGCACTGGCGTCCACAAGACCCAGAGTCCGGGATGCAGAGGTGTCCGAAACAAGTGCAGCTGAACGCGGGGATCGACGCGAGGCGGTGGCGTGGGGGGCGGTCTGTGCATACAGATAGAGATGCAGGGCATGGCGCACAAGCCACGTCAAGACACGGCGGCAAGAGAACTGGGAATACGGCGAGAGCCAGCTTGGGAGCAGGGCCGCTTCGCGCTCCTCTTTCTGGCGTCGGGTTTCGGGATCCGAGACGCAATGGTCGGCGCAAAACCCGCTCGCTTTCATCACACCAGAGTCGCCACAGTCGCACGCACCGCCAGTGAACGAGCGAAACATGGAGTAATCATGCCCGACATGGTTGCCCTTCTCGAAGCAGGCTGCGCAAATGGACGTACAAGGCGACAGACCACACGTTTTGCAACGGTACGCAACGTAGTCTGCGTCCCACAGAAAGAAGCACGAGGTTGCTGCCGTTGCATGCTTGTCCGCGGCGAGTCTAGTCCAAAAGTCGTCCGACGACGCCCCGCCAGCGATAAGCACAGAGCACCAATCCAAGGCGCTGTTCAAAGCATCCAAGTCGAGCTCTGCCGGGGTGGTGTTATCGACAGGCCAGCCGTTGGCATTGGCTGGCGCTGCTGGTAGACGACGCCTTGCCATGGAAGCTGGCCTGTCGCGTGTTGTTGGGGGGAATTGAGTGCCAGTGCTGGTGCCAGTGCTAGTGCTGGTGCTGGTGCTTGGACTGGGATGGTTTCGGCGTATTGCCGAGTAAAAGTTTTGCAGCAAAGTGAAGCGATGGGGAGCTGCTGCCTGATCTGCGCCATTCCGGGCTGGTTCCGACGCGTCTTGAGCGCTGTCTTCGTAGTCCTGACCGTCGTCGCTGATTTCTTCCTCGTCATCGCGCTCGTGGCCGTCGGATAGGAAGGCGTGGTGCATATCTGCAAAGAGTGCAGCATACTCTGAATCCAAAGAATCGATCGACATGCCATTCTCGTCCTCGGAGTTGGTGTCGACCTCAGAATCCACAGTCGGGGCTTGGCGCCCTTCCGTCCGGGTAGCCGTTCGCCGCTGGAGTGTTGGCGATGGAGATCGACGGTGTCGTCGACCAGTTAACGCGGATGTTCGTCTTGGATTCGGTGATTTAGTTTTGATGAGTGTCTGAAGCAAGGCAGACATGAGCGCAAAACAAGTTAAAAACTCGGAAGAAGAACTCGAAAGTTGAACAAAATCAACACACAGACAAAATCACAGAGAAAGAAATGATAAATACAAAAGTTGGCAAATTTCTGAAACGAAACGTAGTTCTCGCCATCCACAACAATTTAAGGGGGAAAAGGCGCTCACCTGAGCAGAGAACAGCGTGGCGAGGAAGGTGTTGGTGGTCGCTGCGTCTTCGCGGACGGCGAGGAGGCGCGCAACAGACTGACGCTGAACGGCGCTGGGCGGCTGGTTGTTGCTTGGCAGGAGGAGCGACCGCGCATCCACACCGCCGATATGATGCATGAGCGACGATGGCGACCGCGATGACGCTTCATGTGCACCAGAAGCAGTAGCAGCAGCATCGTCACCATCACCATCGGCAGCAGCAGCAGCAGCAGCAGCAGCAGTGGAAGACGACAAGCTTTGGCACAGCATGTCAACGCGCTGAGCAAGCTCAAGTCGCTGTGCAAGCGTCATCGGAACCGGGGCGTCGGCGTATCCGCTCAGTCCGCCGTCCTGGTTGGTCGCGGTCAGCAGACTCTGCAGCGACTCGAGATCTTGACGTGTCTGTGCAGTCTCGGCGCTGCTCGGGCTGCCGTTGTTCAGCAACCGACTAACAACCTGCGTAAATGCAGCCGCTTCATTGCCTGTGCTCGACGCCATTGAACGTGATTGAGCGTGTGTGCAGAGGAAAAAAAAAAAAAAAAAACGACTGTGTTGAACTAGGCTTGGTCACATTGCTGTTTTGAATTGTCGAGTTTCAAGGAACGGGACGGAGGGAGGGAGAGGCCAAAAGATCTCTGAGGTGACCAAAAAGTCATTCTCAACGGGTGATTCGCTCTGCAGCGTTCAAAAAGCAAAGGGAGCGTTGAGGATTGTTCTGTACATTCACCCACACATTATTCAAGCTCGAGGTTGGACGGTCCTGGGCGAAGTCTGAGTCCGTTTTCGAAGGCTGCCAGCTTCGTTTTGCGACAGATCGCTCCTCCAAAATCCCTCCGGTCCCCGATTACAAATCTACCGCAACAACCACATCTACACACACACATACACGAAAACAACTACAACAGCAAAAAATCTCTTTCGAAAAGTACAGGGGTTGGTGTTGAATAAACACCGAATTGATAATTTTTTTTGGTAAAGTAAAAAGAGAAAAGAAGAGCGCCACGGCTCCCGAAGCACAAGCAAGTTGTTGTTTTTACTTGGCGCCGGAAGTGTACTTGGTGACGGCCTTGGTGCCCTCAGAGACGGCGTGCTTGGCAAGTTCGCCGGGGAGGAGGAGACGGACGGCAGTCTGGATCTCGCGAGACGAGATGGTCGAGCGGTTGTTGAAGTGGGCCAGACGGGACGCCTCGCCAGCAATGCGCTCGAAGATGTCGTTGACGAACGAGTTCATGATGTTCATGGCGCGGTTGGAGATGCCAGTGTCGGCGTGGACCTGGCGGAGGACCTTGTAGATGTAGATGCCGTACGATTCCTTGCGGCGCTTCTTCTTCTTCTTGTCCTTGTCGGCGCCAGAGGCAGCCTTGGCAGCGGCCTTGCCGGCGCGCTTCTCGCCCTTCTTTGCGACCTTCGGTGGCATTGAGTTTGTTGGTTTTTCAGAAAGTGAAAATGTAGGAGTGAGCTCGGTTCCAAATGCGGGAGCTCGCTTTTTAACACGAACGAAAATGGCGCGAAAAAAAATAAAGAAAAAGGTCGTGGCCAAAATAGGAAGCTGGTTTGGGATTGAGATTGAGTTGCGCGGATGGTTTTTGCGCCACAGCTCGGCCCCTGCTCGTCCGAATCCCCCACGCCCTGCGTCCACAGCACACACGACATGCGTGAAGCGAGGCAGTGAAGAAGCGGGGCCGACAGACCCACCCACGTCTCCAGGAAAATCGACGAACGCCGGCCGTCGCGCAAACTCAATCCAAATTCACGTCCCGCTTTTGGAAACGCCGCGCTTTTCCCGTTCTTAAAAGCGCTCCCCGTTTTGGAACGGGGTCACTCCTCACTTTCACACTCCTCACTCCAACCAACAAACACAATGTCCGGTCGTGGCAAGAAGGGCGCCGAGACGGCTTCGTCCGCCGCCGCCAACAAGAAGCAGAAGACGCGCTCGACGCGCGCGGGCCTGCAGTTCCCCGTCGGTCGCATCCACCGCATGCTCCGCAAGGGCTCGTACGCTGAGCGCGTCGGCGCTGGTGCCCCCGTGTACCTCGCTGCCGTCCTCGAGTACCTCGCTGCCGAAATCCTCGAGCTTGCCGGCAACGCTGCCCGCGACAACAAGAAGACGCGCATCAACCCCCGTCACCTCCAGCTCGCCATCCGCAACGATGAGGAGCTCAACAAGCTGCTCGCCGGCGTCACCATCGCCCAGGGTGGTGTCCTCCCCAACATCCACACCGTCCTCCTCCCCAAGGGCGAGTCTGAAGCTGACGCTGCCCCCGTCAAGAAGGCTGCCAGCGGCAAGAAGGGTGGCTCGCAGTCCCAGGAGTACTAAGCGTGCTCTTCTGTACGCGAGTAACTTTTTGCTCTTCTTTCTTCCCTCTTCTATCTATCTATTCAAAATCCTTAAAACTACTACAACAATACCTGGTGTTTATTCAACACCAACCCTTGACTTTTCACAGAAGTTTTTTTTTGATTTCGTCGATTTGTGTTTCGTTGCAGTTTTAGTTTTTTGATTGTGCAGGTTGGTTGTACAGGCTGATTTGGTTGACAGAGTGTCTTGTTGATACCTTGGTGAGAGTCTTGCGAGCAAAGGAAGGACTTTGAGTAATTCCCATGCAAACGTACCATCAATGCAGCAAAATCGCATCTCCTCAACGAACGTCTCGTCAATTCCGACCAGCCAACAAATCCTTCCACTCTTTCCATTGTTTGCCTCCAAAAGCCCACATCATAATCACTTGCTCAGTCTCTCAATTCTACTTACTAGTTGTCTCCAGTCTGTCTCTACCTTCAAGAGGTAGGTGCGCTTTCTCCATCCTTTTCCCAGGTTCGCTCCGCCTTTCTTCTCCCCAATGCAACTTGCCCCCCCCCCTCTCCGATGTTCGGGCCGTACAAACACAACAAACACGACAAACACCACTCTGCGCAGTGGCTCAGTCCGTGTGTCTCCCTCGCGTGCATGTGTGGCTGGTCAACGTCGGCGGGCAAAATTGGCTGCTGCTAAATGACCCTTGCCTTGGATACCGCATTTTCTCCATTTCGACTCGTTCATTTCAGACGCCTCCCTCGCTTCCGCTTCCGCTGCTGCTCTGCATACAGTATGCTCTGATATCATCTCAAAACTCACTGCTCTCTTCCTTGCTCGAGCGACGACAGGCACAACCAATCTCTGCCAATTTCATCCTCAAAAACCGCAAAATCGCCCCTCGCTTGGCCTTCCAATTTCGTCTCTCAGCCACTCAAGCACTCAAACGAAGCGCTCAAGGTATCACGCCCTAGGACAGCCAACAAAACAAGCATCTTCATCATACCCGAAGCCCCTTTCCATAAGAAGATGTCCTTCTTCAAGACCCACTTTGGTCCTTCCCGCTACGTTTGGGGGCTGCACGCAACCAATCACGCCGTCTTCACATCCAGCACGTACCTGCCACAGTGGGCGTTTGTGCTGTACCGCTTTCTTCAGGCAGGATACTCGTTCGGCTGGCTTGTGTCCCTCATCGTCCATTCCGACGACAATCGATGGCTCATCTATCTGACAAACTGGTCGTACCTGCTCCTCGCGACCTACTTTGCCCTGGCGTTCATCGGCGCCGCCTTGCACTGGTTTCACGGTTGGCCCACTGCAACGGACCAGTTGCACACATCGACCTCTCAGCTCTCCCCGGACAGCGAAAAGAGCAACCAAATGCGCATGTCCGAGCCAAACTTGGCCGCGCCCACCGGCACACGCCCGACCGTCGCTCAACGGCTGCTGTGGGTGCTCTACTTGCTCGCCACAGACGCGGCTGTCACCGTCGTCATCCTGTACTGGGGTCTGGTGTTTGACAGCGCCACGACGGATGTTTCCGAGTACAACATCAGCGAGCATGCCATCAACGGAGTCCAAGCCGTCGTTGAGATGCTGGTTGCTGACATGCCGCACCGATTGGCGCACCTTTACTTTCTGTTCACCTACGGCATTGCGTACATGATTCTCACCCTCATTTGGTGGGGTGCCGACGGTGTGACCGATAATGGCACCACGTAAGTTTTGGAGTGGAGTTGTTGCTTGCGCGCCCCGCAATCACCCGAGTTTCTCACGTTGTTTCTTGGTCTTCCCCACTTTCCCCCCCCCTCTTTTTTTGGTTAGATACATTTACAAGGTTTTAGATTACGATGCCACCCCAGGCAAGGCTGCCATGTACCTGTGCCTGGTCTTGTTGATCGGCCTGCCCGTGATACATTTCGTCTTGTCAGGCCTGGTAGCAACTGTGCGCGAGCGCTTCCTTCGTCGTCAAGTGCCGAGCGTTCCAGGAGGCGCATTCACCCCGCCGCAACACGGCCAGTGATGCTTGGGTCGACAAGATGTGAAAACATGTCCGAACATGTCCGGGAGAGGGGTCGAGCTACGCTTTTCTGTGTGCGTCAGGTGGTAAATTCTATGGCCACCAATGTAAGCTATTAGTGGCATCCATAAAACAGCTACATTAAAAGTCAGTTGCAAGTGGTGAGCCGAAGGGCGACCACTGTGATTCGTCGTGGAGTCACATACAGTTTAGCACACTCCAACAAATATAATGCGGCGTCCCGACCCCCTGCTTACGCCCACTATCAAAATTAAGACAGAATATTGCGTGGTTGTTTCAATTCCCCCCCCCCCAAATGCTGCAAGTGGACTTGACAGAAGCACAGTCTGGCGGCAATGCTTTTGTGCAGTCTTTTTTTTTTTTTTTTTTTCTCCTTTCCTTTCCCCTCAACTCTTCCCTCTCTTCTCAATCAAATCACCTCCGTTCGCGTTTGATTCATTCCCTGTGCTGTCGACCATGTCCGCCATCCCCGGTCTTGTGACGATTAATCGCGATCGCGTACGACACAGTCTGCCCCTCTTCTTGTCCTTTTGCCCTTTTGTAGTCTCAGTGAACCAGCCGCGTTTTTTTTTTTTCATTGCCTTCTTTTCGTCCTTCTCCTTCCTCTTCATCCAGCGCTTTCATCGTTGACGCTCTCACGCTCGACGAGTTCCTGCTGACCATCCAGCACAAACCCGTCGCGCTCGGATGAGTAACAGCGGGAGAGCCAAATCACAAATCCAAAAACAACAAAAAATGTTTTTTTTTTCTTTTTCAGTCGACAACCAACCCCGTTTGATCCACATGCGACCGCCTGCCGCGATTGCCAAGGGCACTTGCGCATGGCTTTAGTCTTGGGGGCATCGGTATGGTGTGTCTCGTGCCGCACGGGGACGCCTCCCGTCTCTCTCCACCTCGAATGGACGGTTGGCCAATCTGCGAGGCCTTTTTTTTTTTTTTTTTTTTTTTTTTTTTGTGGTAAAAGCGGCACTTTCGCGAAATCGAGTGTCGCTGCATGCGCGCTGTGTGGCTGCAGCTCGTGCTACTGCATCGATTTGGACAGTGCGCGTCCCAGTTTCGTGATGACGAGGCGCAAAAACCGCAGGGTCCACGCTGGAAGCCAATGTGAACCCGTGGACGCAAATATCAAAAGAGGAAAAACAAGCCACCAAAACAAAAAAAAAAAAAAAAAAAAAAAAAAAAAATACGATTTATAAAATCGTCAAAAAAAAAAAAAAGATAATTCAAAAAAAAAAAAACGGATAAAAAAAAAAAACAAAAAAATACGAGATAACTTCTGCAAGGGCGGACGGCGAACAAGCCGAGACTGCATGTGCGAAGATCAACCACGACAGCGCTGCATGACGGGACTCAAAGAGCCCCGCCTCCTCACCCAAAGCCGACGGGGGTGGGAGAATTGGAATGGACAGATGTTGTCTGTGGTCAAGGCTTGGTGCTCGCTCGTTTTGTGGTTGGTCACGCTTTTTGCCATTTCCCACATTCTCGCTTTTGAGGCTTGTTTTTTTTTTGTTTTTTGAAGGTTTTTTTTCTTTCCTGTCTTTGCCTTTTGCGAGGGCGGGTTTGGTCAAACATCCAGCTCTGTCTCTCGTTGTCTCGTTGGCTCTTCTGTTCAACATTTTTCGCTCTCCGTGTCATCAGCCAAATCGAGCGGTTGCGTCGTGCCACAAAACAATCAAATCTCACCTTGGCCTCTTTTTTTTTTTTTTTTTTTTTTTTTCCCTCCTTTCTTTTCTTCTGTGTTTGCCTGTTTTCCGGTTCCCACCTCCCTCCCTTCTGTCAGGTTCAAGGGCTCTTGAATGCATACATCCAATATGACGGCGCATTCCTCGTTCGACCCAGCGAGAGCATTGCCGGAACCTACTCGATCGGCGTCATGTAAGCCAACACCTTTCTACCCTTCTGTGTGGGTAACTTTTGTGTGACAGCTTGCTCACTAGCGTTCCATCATTTCACGTTCATTTTCTCGTCGGTCGTGCCCTGATCGTCTTTCGTCGTTCCTGGACCAGCTCGAAGGGCGTCATCAAGCACTTTAAGATTCACGTTGACGATTCAAAACAAGTGTACATCTCCAAGAAAAAGTTTTCCTCCGTGCCCGAGCTTGTGCTGTACTACATGCAGCGACCCATTCGCACAAACAAGTCGGACGACCCCGTCATTCTGAAGGTGCCAATCTCGACCGATCCCGCGAGCGCCAACCGCAACGCCCTGCTTGTCCAGCAAACCACTGCGACCCGAGAGCGCCTGATGGCCGCCGGACCACAACGCACGACCGCCAACAACAACCCACCGCCGGTGCCTGGCACACAGCGACCCCCTTCGACCATTTCGAACGGTGGCGGCACGCTGCGCCTCAGCGGCGGCGTTCCCCCGCCCAAGGCCCCGCGCCCGTCGGACATGGCTGGCCCCGCACAAGAAATGCTGCTGCCTGGCCAGCGCATGGCATTGCACCAGCCGATCGTCAACACCACTGGGCGGTTGCCTCGCCCAAACACAGAGTCTCCTCCACCGCTGCCCCGCCGCCAGTCTGTGCGCGGCGCGAGCTTTGGCGCCGAGGAGCAGGCACCTGTCATTCCGCCAAAATCGCTCGTGCATCGCACAGCGTCTCTGCCCGAGGAAATTGCACCCCCACGGCCACCAAAGCCAGGCCAAGCCGCACCGGGCTCGCCGTCCGCTCCCGCGCAGCCTGCTACTCCCCCAGTAGTGATGCGCAACGCAAAGCCTGCACACCTTTCGGTCACGCCGGGCAACTTTAACTCAGTTATGGCCGCTGCTGGCCCCCACTCCCCGCTGCCTTCGTCAAACAATGACATTGCGCCACCCCGGCCAGCGTCCAAGGCGCCGCCACCGCCGCCGTCCGCTGCAAGCGCAGTGTCCCAACCGACCAGCAACGAATTCAAGCCGCCACGGCCAACGTCGATGGCGCCCGCGCCGCCAACGCAACCTCCGTCGGCACAAACGCCCCTCGGTACTTCACCGGTCGGCACGTCTCCTGCACCTTCGGCTCTGCCGTCGCTGAGCTTCCTGGACGGCCCGCTCGCCCAACTAGACGAGTACATGAACATGGACCCCATTAACGCACCAGCGCCTTACTCGGATGCTGGAGAGGACATTTACGGCACGAGCGACGACGTGCACCAAACAGAGGAGCAAAAGCAAATCATTGAAGAGTACTACATGTCGCGCGCAGAGATTTACGTGGACAGCAAGTCAGGCCAACAATTCTTCATCGACCCGGCAGTGTTTGCGGCACCGGCTGCCGCCGAGGCCGAGCCCGAAGCCTTGGCTGAGGTGGACGAGACGGCTGATGCTGATGCTGCTGCTTCCGCCGCGCCGCCAGCGCCGCCGTCCTTCACTGCCCCGCCCCCACCGCCGCCGCCCATGATGGCCATGCCCGAGTTTACGCCCTTGGTTTTGCCACCACCCGGTGAGCGCAGGGAGATTGCGCCTGCCGTCCCCGATGCTCGCGACAGTCTGCTGAGCGCCATTCGAGGACACACTGGCCAACTCAAGAAGGTCGAGCCGGCGCCCCAGCTGCAGCGTCAAAACACCGCCTCCGCCAACAGCATGGCCGAGTCTCTTGCCAAGATTGTTGCCCGGTACGACGCTCTGGGCGACTCGGACGACGACGATGAGGTCGAGGAAGTCAACGACGATGATTGGGATTGAAGCAGCACAGCCTTGATTCATCTTGTTTGTCGTCTTCCTCCTCGGCGATTGCTTGGCCTTCTTTTTGTTGGGACTTTTTTTCTTTGTTTCAAATAGTTCTTTGATGTTTGTTTGTCGTCATTGTGGTTGCCCGTCCACCAAGCGATGTCTCGCTGATCGTTTCAATTGGTGGACTTTTGTCATTGTGGATGTGTTTTTCTTCTTCTTGTTTTTAATACTTTAATCTGCACCTCGCTTTTATTCAAATCAGCAATGTCCGATTCATCGCGAGCCACGCTTCGTCGGTGGGGGGGGGGGAAAAAGGAGATGCGTGGTGTTTGTTGACGTTGCTGTTGGAGTACTTTGGTGTTGTTTCCTCAAAACAAACGAATTTTTTTTTTTTTTTTTTTTTGCATCCCTTGACCTGTGTGACATCAACGCCCTCAACAATGGACAATCTCAATGCGAGTGAGTAATAATTCCATGTGGCTGCTGCGCGGTCGCGCGCCCAATGCAAAGATCCATCACTTTGGCTGGGCGATGTCAACATGATGATGCAATCGATGCGTTCTCGTTCGTCCCAAACCCTCCAAATCGGGTCTTTGGCTCATTCTTTAAATCCAAGACAGAATCGCCACAACACTTTGCAGACAACACCAAGCACCAAACCAAACTCCGGTCCTTCTCCTCCTCCTTTTCTCTTTCTCCCTTGTCCTTCTCTTCATCGACTATGACGAACCAACCTCGTCAGCGTTGACCTTTTTCTTTTTTTTTTTTCTTTTTTTTTTTCCTCGTGTTTTCTATTTTTTTTTTTTTTTTTTTTCCTTCTCGAACTTTCGCCTGCCATCCGTTCGTTCGCTCTCCGCTCCGTCTCAAGCTGACTTTCGAATGGACTTGCCGTGCCGCCAGCAGCAGAAGCAGCAGCAGCAGCAGCAATGCGCCTGCTTGCTGTCTGTCCGCGGCGGTCGCGGCAGCATCTTGAACGCATGGCACTCCGATTCTTTCATTGGCTCCGCTGCTCCCTTTGGCACTTTTGGCTCGTCGCTTCCGCCATGCCGCGCCCGCCTCTGAACTCTGTGTTTCTCTCTCTCTCTCTTTGTTTTTCTCCTTTTTGTTCTCCCTCTGCCTTTCCACACACTCCAAGCTTGTCGTCAATTTCTTTTGACTTGACGTCATGGTCTCCAAGTTTGGATTTACTTTGGCTTCCGTGTTTTTTTTATTTTTTTCTGAGTATTTTTTTTTTTGGCCAAAGTCCGAAATCGCTCGCTCTCTATTTTTGCTTGAATCGCCGCTCGGAGCCGCTACCCTGCAGCTGCGCTGTTCAGTATGAACACACTGGTGCCGTTCGCTAGCAACGTCGGTGCCCGCACCATGGGTCTACATCAACTTTTCCAAGTCTGCACAAAACGCGTTTAACGCTTCCTTGCCGCTTTTCAGCAAATCTGAGCGATTTTGCCACCTTCCCGTCCCGACCTGTCGTTGGACCAAAAAAAGACCAAGAACAAAACACAAGCTCAAGAAATTGAAAACATCCTCACACCCCGAACTCGCTTCCCGCTTTGACATTTCTACTCTCTACCGGATTCTCCCCTCCCCCTGAAGCTTCTTCCTGGTTTCTGGTCTTTGGCCTTTTGTTCTCCTCTTTTCTGTTCCCCAACTCTGTCGGTTTTGGCGATTTTTTATTTTCAAAAAATTGCCAGACAAGTCAGATGCAAGAAGCAAGAAGAACGAGAACACAAAAGCGCCCTCCAAAAACCTCGGTTTGAAGTTTTACAAACCCCGTTTTCACAAACAACCCCCCCCCCAAACACCAAAGCTACCACAATATCAACTACATCAACAACAACAACCTGTCATGTGAGTACCCCGTTTTCCCTGGCCACGGCCGCTTCCCAGCGCGCCGCTTCGATTCTCCCCCCGTCGTTCGATTCCGTTTCTTCCCCTTTGTCCACCTTGTCATCGCCTCCCTCGACCTTGGATGCTTGCGACGACATTCCCGCGCCTACTCCTGTCGCGGCGTTCTATCTCCACCAGCTTCTCGGCTCGTCCAGCAAGGAGCGCGATGTGGACCGGCTCTTGCACCACCCCGACATGCTGTCTTACCTTGCCGGGCACTCTGCGGCCCCCTTCCGTCGCGCCTCGACTGCTGCCACCAAGCGCCCCAGCTCGGAGGCACTTGCTTCGCCGCCTGCTCAGCGCCCACGCCTGGATGATGGCTCCCATTCGAGTGCTGCTGCTGCTGCGCCGCCCTCCTCTGCTGTCGATTGGTTTGAACACGCATCCTTGCGTGACATTCTCAACGACGAAAATCTCGTGCTGCACCTTGATGCACCGTCCTTGTCCATGCAACAGCTCGACCCGTCGCTTGCGAGTCCTCTTCCTGTGCAGACGCAGCCAGTCGCTGTGCGCCTTGACGTTCCGTCTTCGCCACCAGTCCTGGCCTCCATTCCGCTCGTTCCGTCGGCCACCGACCTGGTCACCCTTGCTGACGACCACCACCTGCTTCTCGCCGATCATCCTCGCTCGCTTTCGGTTGAAGGCTTGCTGCTCAAATCCAGTCCTTTGGTTTCCTCCCACGATCACAATCTTGCCGTCGCTCCGTTGCTGCTTGCAGGCGACAGCCTTCCCGCAGGCTCTTGGTCGCTGCCCGTGTCAAACTCGCACTCGGACACTTCCCCTTCTCGGGCCCTCCAGAGCCTGCTGGACGACTCGAGCGTCGAGCATGCGTTGAACTCGTCCAGCGTTGCGAACGCCCACTTTCCCGACTTTGCAGGTCTCTTCGAGTTTGACGACCTCTCGCCGTTCCAACCTCCCGCGGCCTTCTTTTCCGAGCAGAGCTTTAGTCCTGCGTCGCCGTTGAAAGAGTCGACGCCCCAACCTTCGCCGTCCGCTGCTGCTGCTACTCCAGCTGCTCCAGCTGCTCCAGTTGTCGAACAGTCCCCGATTAGCAAGCCGCGAGCTGCTTCCTCCCGCTCGCGAGCGACCACACAGCGTGCCGCTGCTTCCAGCAACAAGCCTGTCAAGGCCAGTGCCGTTGCTGCAGTTGCTGCCGAGAAGGCTGCTGCTGCTGCTCCTTCTGCAAGCAGTGATTCTGACGGCGCCCAAGAACTCGACGCTGGCGATCTTCCGCAGCGCAAGCTCTCTCGACGCGAGCGCAACAACATTGCTGTTCGACGCTGCCGCGACAAAAACCGCGAAAAGTCTCTCGCTGCAAAGTCTCAATGCGAAACGGTGGCGCAAGAAAATGCCAATCTCCGTGTGCGCATCCATTCTCTTGAGCAAGAAGTCAGCTACCTCAAGTCGATGCTCTTGTCGCAAGTCATCCCTGGCATGCCGCTTCCAAGCGCTTCACGATGAGATTTTTGTTTGAATTTGTGTCAAAGTGTCGGAACCCAAATGCAGCAATTCGCACCAAAAGCCCACCTGTGCAAATTTCATGTCATGCAGTATGAGAATTTGCGGTGATGCACTTGTTTAAAATAATCATGATGGTGAAAAGTCAAGAAAAAGAAAAAGAAAAAACGAAAAAAAAAAAAAAAAAAACCCCCGACAAAATCTCACATTCCAGGTCGGGAACTGTACCTCAGAGGTGGGCGTTCTCGTGCCACGATTCGCTTGGCTTGTGATTGTGATTTTTTTGCCGTCGTAACACGGCCACGAGATGCGAGTGAAATATCGCAGAGGATAATCACAATTTTAGATTTCAACGGGTAGTCATTTTTTTTTTTTTTTGGGAGTAACACGACCAACCATCAAGCTGCATTGCGAGACATCAAAAGAGACCCTGGCTCGTTTTGCACCCATGACGGCACACACATGCGAGCGATCTGGCGACCATGGCGACCATGGCGATGACCGCGAGCTCCTCAAGCGTGCCATGCTCTGTAAAACCGCCGACGCCGACGCCGACACCGACGCCGACACGCGCGCCGCCATCAGCGCAAGTCCTGCCGCTCCGGAGCAGCCGGAATCGCCCGAGTTCTTCGAAGGCACCGAGAAGCTTCTTGAGATTGAGTTTGCCGACAGCCCGAGCTGCGACGACCGGGTGAGTTCTTGGCTGAAAGAAAAGACAAAAAAAAAAAAAAAAAAAAAAAAAAAAAAAAACGGTGATGAAACAACGCTCACGCTGATTCTTGGCGGAGTGCTTCAAGATGATCGCATACGAGTCGATGCGTTGACTTGCCTCTCTACCTGCATTTCGTTTGCAGTTTTGCAAAAGGGATTGAGCGTGAGGCAGGGTTGAGGGAGAGAGAGAGAGAGAGAGCGACACACATGGAAACTGCCCTTTCGCTCTGCAAATTGCATGAGCATGTGGCGATCGATAACGAAACCACACACACACACACACACACGCATCAAGCCGAGCACTATCCACTGCGGCATTACATACAACACAGCCAGCAGTGAACAGCGTGTTCTCATGTCTTTGGGCTCACTGCGCTCTTTGTCGCAACAGGGACTCCGAGCCGTGACCGCCGACGAGTGGCAGGTCGTTTTGCGGCTAGTCAACTGCACAATCTGCCGCACATCCGCGCCCAGCAGCGTCTACAATGCCTACGTATTGAGGTACGATGCTCTTGTGTCTCTTGCAATGTCTCTCTGCATGTTGCTGGCGTGTGATTTTTTTTTTTTTGGGGTCGTTTGCGGAGCTTTTTTCTTTTTTTTTTTTTTCTTTGTTCGTCTTGGCGTTCGTTGAGCTCACCCGATCATCTTTACTATGCTGCTACTTTGACCGTGACCACCACTGCTGGCCATCGAAATCACAGCGAAAGCTCCATGTTTGTCGCAAGACGCAAGATTGTTATCAAAACATGCGGAACAACACGGCTGCTTCCGGCACTCCCCGAATTCATGCGGATTGCCCGAGAACGGTGCGGACTGTCCGAACTGCAGGACTTGTTCTTTTCTCGAAAGTCATTTTTGCGGCCAGAGGAGCAACCAGAGCCCCATCGCGGGTTTGACGAGGAAGTGGATTATCTGCGCTCGCTCTTTGGCGCCCAGAGTGGCGTGGTCATTTCCCGTGATGATTGGCATGTGTTTTGCCTCAATCCAATCTCCAAACGTGCCTCCGGTCATGCCGAGGTTGACCAAACGCTCGAAGTGCTGATGACCAACCTCGATCCGGTCGCCATGCAGCAATTTTACCGCACACCTGCGTTCGTCAATGACGCGACGACAGACTTGACGACTGGTGTTGCAGGGATTATCCCCGGAACGACCATTTGCAGTCTCCTGTTCGATCCCTGCGGCTACTCCGCCAATGGCATCTTTGACGGTGACTGTGCTGGTGTGGAAGACGACGAGACGACGAGTCGACGGCGGGGACGGCTACGGCGACCTCCGCACTACTTTACCATTCACGTTACTCCGCAGCCCGAATGCTCGTTTGTGAGCTTTGAAACGAACGCGCCGCTCCATCTCCACAACGAAATTGTCGCTCGCGTGCTTCGGGTTTTCCGACCGAGCCAATTCAGTGTGTCTGTGTTTGCAACACGAGCAGCTCTCGGCGCAGTCTCCCGCTGCCCACACGCCGGCCCCGAAGCGAGCAATAATACTGGTGACGACAACAACTGTGTGCTAGAGGTGGAGGTGGACCTCCAAAAACAACAACAACAACAACAACCACACTTTGCCGAAACCGAAAGCCTGTGCTTGCCCTCCGTGCCGTGCACCCAGAGCGCCCACACCTGGCTTGTGCCCGGATTCGCTGTACAGGATGTCTTTGACTGTGATGCCTCCCTCCAGCGCCACATTGTTCGCTATGCAAAATTTGCCCTGCCACCGCGATGACATTTTGCCGCGCTCTTTGTGCACCGTCTCGGCTATGCGAGGTTTAGTCCAAACTCCAATGTAATAAATGTACTGTACTCTGAGTTTCCGCTCTATTGTCTTTTTTGTGGCTTGTTTGAGTGAGAAAGCGGCAAATGAAATTGGTGCGTTTTGCAGCAAAACGAGCTGCGGCAATTCCCAAACCAATGAGCTCACACATTGAGAGCTGCGTAGGGAGATTTAGTGCCGCTGGAAGACACAGCACCAGAGAAATCAAACAAGGAGCGCCTGCGCGAAAACCTCTAGTCCGACTTGCACTGTTTGATTGATCCACAAGCTTCAAACAAATCCAAAAATCTTTTTCAATCCTGTTAACCATGGGGTCCCAAAAACAGTGGGAAAACAGTGAAAAGATCATCCGCGCACACACAATCGGCTGGACCCTCGAAGAGGGGACGGCTGTTGTGCGTGCAGTCCACGTCGGGGTAGATCTAGAGCAGATTCATCTTATAGACGTGGATAAAGATTTGAAGACGACATGCCATGCGCTGTTTGTCAAGCAAAAAGCGTGGGATTTCTGGCCGGCAGACAGCAAAACCGAAGAAGCAATAATGTGTGAACGTGGAGGTTATCTGAATGTGTGGACTCTTCGGCATAGTGAGTATATTCATAGACTTCACAGAGAGCAGTCAAATTTTACCGCTTTCACGAATTATCATGACTTCTACCATCAGGGGAAAGAACCACAGGAGGAAATAGCATTTGCTGGTCTCGTCAATAGAGATGAACTGAGCCGTCGAAAAAACGAGTTGCGCTGTGATATTCTCAAGGGAATCACTGAGGATCTTTGCCTTCTCTTGAGGGAGCGGGAAGATGTTCTCCGGTCTAGAAGGCCGATTCCAGTTGCGATGCTGAGAGTGAGGATGAAGTTCAAGTTTGACATGGAGCTTGAACAGGAGTACGACTTGAAACCAGCACAGGGTGAAATTGCTTCTGTTGGAAAGTTCAAGTTTGGTCGCGATGACAATTCCAGCTGGTTCTCTCGACCTGCGACACTGGAATTGGAATATCCATGGAATTCCAGCTTTCAGAGAGCTTATTATGGGTTGTAACGTTGTTCTTGATTTATGTTTCAAGAATTATTAATATCCATAGCATAGAAATGAGCATCCGATGCTTCAAACAGAGCTGGTTGCGAAAAGCTTCCAAAAGCTCAAGTTTTGGGATAACTCTAGCCCGACTTGGACTGCACACACAACAGCCGTCCCCTCTTCGAGGGTCCAGCCGATTGTGTGTGTCCGGATCATCTTCTCTGTTACACCCCAACCCATATCTGTTGGCTCAGTGCTCAATATACTTCGTATCTACCTATTCCTCCCTTTCGGGTGTAACATTCCCACTGATTTTGCACTGATTTTGGCACCCCCTCCCCATAAAAAAGATTGTGGAATTTGTTTGAAGGCTGCATGCAGTCTTGCAGTCGAACAGTACAAGTCGGGCTAGATGTAGATGAGGTGTCCTTTGTTGTCGAGGTGAAAGTCTTTCCATTTGTTAGTGAAACGGGAGGGTGAAACGCCTGTTGGAACTTTCCCGACCTTTTTGTTCGCTGTGACATCACTCAAATCCTGCCTAGTAAACAGACGTTTGGAAATTGGGTTGATGTTCATCCTCAGTGCTATATGATAGGAAAGTTAAAGAGCTACACAATTTGCGGTCGGTGAATCGAGTGGCCGTCAGCGGCCACCACGCTACTCCCACAGAAATCTCGTCACTTCTCGCCCCAACTTGCTTTGTTTGACTGGTCGAACAAGCTCCGAATAATTTGGGACAATATGATCTGCCTGGATGGAGCACTGAACTAGTCGTGTGACATTCGTTTTTTTTTTCTCGGCAAATCGATCAACTCCAGTACCCGCGCACATGAGTTCGAGCCAGGCCGCACTTGCTCCAGCAAGCACCGAGCAAGCAAGACTCCAAGAAGAGATCGCTCGATTGAACGTTCGTATTGAACAGAACGAAACTCGACTCGCGCGCTTCGAGCAGCTCGCTACTGAAGCTAAAACCGAACAACTAGCGCAGCAGTATGAGACTTGCGCAGACACCATCCTGGCAATCATCAACACGACGAGCGCGGCTCTCGCGGCAGTTCGTCAACAGCTGTTCGCCTTGCTAGCCCCAACCGCAGCCGCACAAGGCGCGGTGCTCTGTATGTCTGCCATTCTCCCGAGATGCTTGTGTTGAACAGACACGGCGTTGAAAATGCTCACTTTCCGTCTTAATTCTTTGGTAGTGGACGCAAACGACCCGCTTGTCCGATTTTGGCGAGCCCTTCTTGACAACCAAGTGACCGAGCAGGTCTTGCGACTGGATCCTAACACCAACCGGATGGTCGCAGTGGCTCATGTTCCTGGGCAGCCGCTTCAAGCCAATGAACCAAGGTTCTTGACCCTGCCTGACAGCGTGTTCTGGCTTGGGAACGAGGAACTTGGATCGGTCCTCATGGTCCGCAGTTGCTACGATGCAATGTTCGATGCGATCATCAATCCACCAGCAAACTCTGCGCCAGCAGCAAACTCTGCGCCAGCAGCAAACTCTGCGCGGCGTCCAAAGCACCGCTGGATTGTCACTGGAAATCCAGGTACCGGCAAGACGTTCTTTTCGGCGTACTTTGTCTATCGCTTGTTCCAGCGACACCCTCGGCTGACCTTGGTTTACGAGCCAGCGCCGCAGCAGCAGCCAGCCACCATTCGCTACCTCCTGCGGCCTGACCGAGAGGTTTTGAGAGGCAGCATTGCTCTGGACAGCTTTTACGACAGTCTCGACGACCGCCGCGCCGATTTCTGGTACCTTGTCGATGGCCATCCCGCTGGTATCTACCGTGCTTACACCCTGCTCGTCACCTTGCCGCGCCACGACTTTTACAAGGAGGTCCAGAAAGACGCCTATCCTAGGATGTTCATGCCAGTGTGGTCGTGGAACGAGCTGCTTGCTCGCCTCCAGCAACGGAACGCGACTCCCGAGCAAGTTCTAGCTGCCGAACAGCGTTTTTATCGCTGGGGTGGCATCGCGCGCGAGGTTCTCGATGATGGGATGACTCTGCCGTATTCCGAACTGCTTTTGAACGAGGCGCTTGGTCGTTGCAATATCCAGACGGTCCGCAGCGCTGTGGGTCAGATTTCTGGTGCGGAAGACTTTTCACACCGAATTCTTCACGTCCATATCCGAGCAGGCGGTCGTCCCTTCTCGCTCTACTATCTACTGTTTGCGTCTGACTGGGTGGCCGACCAATTTTTGACTCTTGCGCTTGCCAACGAACGCGACAACCTCGTCAGCTTTTTGCGTGCGTCTGCCTTCCTTCCAGAGCCTGGCGCGCTTCGCGGGCAAGTGTTTGAGAAGCTCGCCCATCGTCTCATCCGTCAGGGCGGATCTTTCAACGTTCGAAACTTGTCCAACAACCAAAGAACCAATCAGGTCCTTCCGCCGCTCACATCCGTCCGCTTCCTCCAGCTGGACCAGGTTAATCTCAATCTCCCGAATCACTACTATCTGCCAGATCACGACAATTTTCCGGCCATCGACGCCATCATCTCGCCGAACAACAACCGCAACTCGCCCTATGTGTTCTTGCAGATGACCGTCAGTCGGGACCATCCTGTCATTGCGCAACGCTTGAGCGAGGCCATTGCTCTTTTGCCACCTGGAAGCGTCGCCCAGTTGTACTTTGTGGTGCCCTCTGAACTTTTCGATGCTTTTCGGCCGCAGCCCTACCACACCACCGATCATCACGTGTTTCAGACTGCTCAGACTGCTCAGACTGTGCCTGCGAATGTCCGGAACGTCCAGCAATTTGCCTTGCGCATAGATTTCGCGATTTTCCCGAAACAAAACCCTGCTGCTATCGTCTGATCCCACCGATTTTGCATTTCCTGTTATGTCAGTAAAGGCTTGTTTTTATAGAACTCGAAAAGGGTTCGTGGTGCGTTCCTTGCACTGTTTGACTGATCAACAAGCTTCAAACAAATCCGAAAATCTGTTTGAATCCTTTGTAACCAGGGGGGTCCCAAAAACAGTGGGAAAACAGTGACAAGATCATCCGCGCACACACAATCGGCTGGACCCTCGAAGAGGGGACGGCTGTTGTGCGTGCAGTCCACGTCGGGGTAGAAAACCAGAACCAACCAGAACAAAACAAGAAAAAAACACCCAAAAGCGAAAAAAAAAAAGCCTGCACTCACTGAGAATCGAGCTCAGGTCGCCAGAGCCACAATCTGGAGTTCTGCCACTAAACTATGAGTGCCGAGAGAGACTCGGGGCTTTTGCGTAGTCGATCCTTTTTCCGGAGCGTGCGAATGCTGACGGAATTCATCAGCCAAATCTGAAAATCTGATGCAGTCGCTCGAACATTGCAGTTGAAGGGTCCTGACTCGCTTCCATCAAACCTCGTTGTTGTTTTTTGTTGTCTGTCTCTTTTTCCCTGCACTCTTCATTTCTAACTCTCAGAACTCTCACCAATGGAAGGCGGTCTTCCCAAGCGGATTATCAAGGTTTTGTTTCCATTCTGCTCAATCCTTTCTCGTTCCGGCCCCTCCACCCCGTGTCCCCCCCTCTCCAAGGCTTGCCATGCATCTGGCTCTTCCGACTTGACTCATCCGTTGGGCAGCGATCCGAGCACAGCTGCATCATCACCAGTTTTTTTTTTTTTTTTTTTTTTTTTTTTTTTTTCGGTTTCGCTTTTTTTTTTTTTGCGAGATCGCAGCGATTCGACCGCGACGAAGGGCGCTGTTCGGCCGACTTTCGTCACAAACCCCTCCTCGGTCGTTGCACAACGACGCTCCAAGCCATGCGCGTCCCCTTTGCGGCTGGGCTGACCGCAGACCAGTTTGTCGCTGCGTTTAAATATGTTGTTTGGGTCATCTCTTTGGCTGGGTGCTCTTTGGGCGGGCGTCCCCGCTGTCGAGCGCAACGATCTCGGCTGTTTTGCATGACGAGCTCAGCCCATCTCTGAGATTGTCAGCGCTGCCCACGCTGGGCGCAGGCAGGGAAGAAGAGGCGGGGGGGGGCAAGAGATTGAGAGACGTGCTTACAGCCAAACAAACTCTCACTTTGGCTTGTGCTTCAGTCACCAATCGAGCTCACTTTTGCACTTGTTGGGATTGCAATGTGTTGTGGTCTATCAACAGGAAACCCAGCGACTCGTAGCAGAGCCTGTTCCTGGAATCTCTGCAGAGCCGGACGAACAGAACGCGCGCTACTTTGGCATCAAAATCGATGGTCCTCACGAGTCTCCGTTCGAGGGCGGTGTCTTCCGACTTGAGCTCTTCCTGCCCGAAGACTACCCCATGGCACCTCCTAAAGTATGGCACGCTGGGGCTAGCGGGGCTGCTGGGGCTAGCGGGGCTGGTGTGTGTTTTGGGGCATGCTGATGTGTCCACAAGTTGCTCACTGTCTTCCTTTTGGTTTGTTTGATGTGCTTTCTCGACAACTCAGGTTCGTTTCCTGACCAAAATCTACCACCCCAACATTGACAGGCTTGGCCGCATTTGCCTGGATATCTTGAAGGGTACGAGGACTTGAGGGTGTTCTGCTTATTTCCACTTGTTCATGCCGAGCTTTGTGAACTCATCGACCTGTTTGATTCCCTTCCAGACAAATGGAGCCCTGCCCTTCAAATCCGAACAGTCTTGCTGTCAGTCCAAGCCTTGTTGAGCGCACCCAACCCAGATGACCCGCTTGCAAACGACGTGGCCGAGCAGTGGAAGACGAACGAGCCGGCTGCTATCGCGACTGGTACGTTGCATTGAGCATGCCGATGGATTGTGACAGATTTGGAAAGCACGGGAGCAACCATGTATTTACAATCACTCACACGCACATATTTTTTTTTTTTGGGGGCCTCACTCTCCAATCGGAACAGCACGACAATGGACTCGGCAATACGCAACTGGCAAGTGAGCCATTCAGTTCCTGGTTTCATCCATTTGTAGCTGGTCTGCATCGCACGAACTCTGTTGTTTCTGTGTTGTCCAGCGAGGACAGAGTGGTAGTACTGTTGAGCTTCCGTCGTCCCCGTCCAGCTGATGTCCGTTTGGTGTTCTTTTGTTGCTGTTTTTGTGATGTAAACTTGGGCTTTTTCACCATAAAGTCGTCCTGTTGGCATTCACGCAGCCCCGTCATCTTCCACGGTCGATTCGGTCGACGGATAGACCATCCGTACTGCCAGCGAGCAATTGGTGCAGCCGAACAATTCGACACGACCCGCAAAGTTCCGTGGTGTTGCGACAAACTCCCCAGAGCACCTGCAAGGATAGATGTAGCAGCCTTCGCCTGCGACAAGAGTGAAGGACGAGTTGAGGCGAACAGAGTCAAGGGGAAACCTCTCTCTCGCGCGCGTCGACAATCCAAAAAACCCCAAAAAGCGTTTTCGCCACATACCATCGTCAAAGTCCCAATCCTCCAAAACTAAATCCTCGTTAACAGCAGCAACTAGCGAGAGATAGGCATCTGTTTGCCACAAAACAACCACGACCGGACACACGCGAGTTGAGTTTGGCAGCAGCAGCAAAATTCACACGCAGCGCACACCACACTCGTACTGCTTCGCTGGGCATCGTAGACGGCGCGCAATTGGGCATCTCTTAGTGTTTCCCAAGCTTCTTGAATGAGCAGGAAGACGGACGTGTCGCTCGTGCTCGGGTCTGCAGGCGCACGTGTGACGCCCGTCATCATCATCATGGTGTCAGGCTCAAGCGCAGTCGCTCCTGGGGCCGGACTCGCAGTCGCCGCGGCTGCACTACTATCTGCTTGCAGACCATTCACTAATGCTGCCTTGTCCGGATGGTGCTGCGATTTTCAAGCGTGTGAGATCAATGAAACCACCTCACCCCTTTCTCATTCTCTCACTCGCTCAGACACCGTTTCATTCACCGACCCGTAGTAGCAGGCGTTGATAAGCTTTGCGAATGACTTCGATACTATTGTCTGGCGCGACGTTCAGAATTCGATAATAGTCGACCCATGAGGACATTTTACTGTTTGGCTCAAATTTGAAGACTGTGTTCCGTAACCCGATCAACAAAGATGTGTGTAGGTTTCTTGGAGCTTTGTAAAGTTCTCTGAAGGTTGTTTAATCAGTCTAACAGTGCAAGCCGGGCTCGAGGAGGAGGAGGAGGAGGAGGAATCATAACAAAACGAAAAACACAAAATGAAAAAAAGTCGCTAACGAATCTTGCGCGTATAATCCACCCAAAAGACGCCCGTCTGTGGTTCAGAGTAAGGGAATCGGAGTGAATCAATCAGCACGCGCACGGCTGGACGCAATTTGGCCTTTCCTGCGACGCTATGCGCCCCTCGGCCCGTGATAATGCGTAAAGTTCCAGCGTCGCCGCTGTTGTTGCGGTTGCCGCCAGACCTACCACCACGGTGGCTCATGAACGAGTCATCTTGTTTGGCGCGCTGATGCAGCTCGTTGAGCACTGCCTGCACAGCAGCGACCGCATCCGCGACCCCGTAGCCGTGTAGATCAATCGATGGGGCTGTAGAGGAGCGAATCGAGGCGCGCGCCATTTCCACAGCGGCTTGTTGTGCGGCGCGCTTCAGCTCCTGCGTGTGATGATGTGCTTGCTGTGAGTAGTGTCCAGCCACAGACGCGCCTCCGTTCCTACTAGTAGCATTGGCATGGGCGGCTGCAGCTCGTTGCAAGTAGTGCGCGCGTGCATCCTCGTGCACTGCGATGGTGTGGTGTGTTGCTGGGCTAGCGCTGCTCGAGGGGAAGGAGGTGCCAACCCAGGCTGCTGTGTGAGTGGGGACCGAGGGTGACGATGCTACGCCTCTAGTCAAGCCGGAAGGAACGCTTTGGCCGCCAGCCCGAACAGCGGCGGGATATGACGGTTTTCGTTTGGCAGCTTGCGGAAACATCTCACTCAATCGCGCGCTGGAGGCACCAAAGTCATACCCGCACTGGACAAACACTGCATCCACGGTATCCGACGACGCCTCAGGAAAATCATCTCGCAGTTGTGACCGCTTGAGAACCGAGGCTGCGCTATGCAGGGTTCGACTCGTGTCGCAGGAATCGGACATGTCAATCGGCTTTGGAGCCCCTGCAATGGCAGCAGGTTGCACTGCGCTGGCTTGCCTTGACGCTTGGCCCAATGCCTCCTCCCGAGCAGGTGGAAGGGTTGTGCTGTTGGCCATGCGGACGGATCGCGGAGCCCAAGCGCTTACAAACGGTGTTTGCATTGTCGAAGCAGACTCGCGCGGCCCGCGACGGCGCTCTTGTCCAGCTCCTCCATGCCTGGAGGGATGATTCTGGAGAACTTGAGGTGCTGCTTGATCTGCGGCACCATAGGCATCATCATCACCATCATCGTCATTCTCACATTCACCAGCATCAGTGGCGAACTTGTGCTCCTCGTCGCTCGACGAGCTGTCGCTCTCGGCAATCAGGCACTCAATGACATGCTCCGCCGATGGCATCCCAGTGAGCATCTGGGCAAGCACGTCCAGCGGGAAGCTCGGAAACACGTCGGACAGGACAATCAGATCGCTGTCAAACTGAGTTTGATCGCGTACATGGCCTCTTCGCCCGCCACGCGCGTCCTCGACCGCGAACGCATCCATCGCGAATATCCTCCGGCTGCTGGTTGACTCGGGCACTCCTGGATCTCCTACCAGTGTGCCTGTGACTGGGTCTTGGTCTCGTTGGCTGACGGGTGCAGTCTCAGGCGTTACGTCAAGCGCCATGACCGCTGCCGCAGCCTGGGTCTCGTCGTCCTCGTCGTTCGCCGTGCTGGCAATCAGGGCTTCACTCAGCGCGTGGTCGAGCGCGGCGTCCACATCGCCATTGTGGGCTGCCAGGAGCGCTTCGAGGTCGGACGCGCTGCGATCTGGCAGCAGTTGCTGGAAGAAGAGGAGCGCGTTTGGGTCGCTCTGAGCCATTTGGGAAGGAAACTGAGCCCACACACACGCAGCATCAGAGCAAACAAGATAAGTCAACGTTGTGAAAACGATCGATAGCATGGCGAGTTTAAGCCTCACGACTGCGAGTTGTATCGCCTTGTTATTCTGCAACACAGTGGAAATGAAACAAAAAAAAAAAAAAAAAATGAAGAGTGCTTCAACTTTGTAGGGTTGTAGCGAGGAAATCGAAAATCAATTCATCATTCAATACAGCTGTCTTTGTGTTGTTGCAGCTGCTCCATACCACGAAATACCAGTACCAAAAAATCGATCCAAAAAATCCATCCAACAACCTCCTTCATCATGCACGACTGGCAAGCTGTCGCTTGATGGACTTGCGCAGTTGAGCCATCAGATAAAACACGTCAGTCGAAATGTTGGGCGCGCCAAACAGCTCCATGGCAGAGACGTCGCTGCGCGGACCGGCCGGATGGCCGCGCTCAATGATGCGAACAATGGCTGGGAAGGACTGCAAGGGGCCAGACGTCCCTTGTGCCTGGCCGTTGGCATCTGGTTCATCGCCCAGCGGAGCAAACGACATGGCAATGGAGAGTGCGGGGTTGGCCAAGTCGTCGATAAACGCCCGCAGCGTGTAGTATGTGAGACGGAAGAGGTCAATGTTGGGCTCGGGCGCCAGCAGCATGACTTCAGCCTCCTTTGTGGGTGTGAGACTGACAAGAAGCACAGCGCTTCCCAATCGAACACCCAGGCCCAGGGCGGTATGGACGGCCGCGAGATCCGTAAAGTAGTTGTGCGAGAACGATTCTGGTGAATTTCGGGAAATGATATTGTACAGTTCCAGCGTGTTGGCAAGCTCTTGGAAGCGACCTGACAGACAAACAGACCCGTTGATCGAGGCATAGTTGTGAGACCAAGTGAGATTACAGAGATGAAAAGCAATCAAAGCACTCGTGTACAAAAAAAAAAACACACAAAAAAAAAAACAAACCAAAAACAAAAACAAAAACAACAAAACAAAAACTCCAAAAATCATGCGTCTTCATCACGTACCATAATATCGATCAGGAGCCATGCTCAACTGGACATGCGGGTGCACTTGGCTGGCACTGGCTTTCGGCAAAATGTCCCACATGAGGTGTGGGAAGCGGAAGGCGCGATCAGCCTTGTACACTTTGCCAAACCAGCGCATGGAAATTTGCATCAAATCAACAAACGCGGGCTCGTCGAACTTGAGAGGATGGTGTGTTTTGAGCAATGCAAGGCCGTGAAACACTTCGTACTTGAACGCATTGGAGGCTGTGTGGGCGTAGGTCGATTCAATGCGCCCGAACGAGTCGGACGCCGTCATCTGCAGCGGGTTGCAAAAGTCGCACGTGGGTTGCGTTTCATCAACCAACTGTTGCACATACTTGGCAATCTGATCAGGGTCTCCACGAGTCCCTGGGCGCTGGCCACGAAGTGGAGAGAACAGAGCGTGGTCGTCCGTAAACTGGTTGGCGATTGAGACGAACGGCTGCGTTTGCATGGCGTCAAAGAGTTCGGGCTTGTTTCCCAGCCATCCTTTGACCTGAGTGAAGAGAAAGGTGGATTGATAAATAGAGAGTGTGAGAGAGTGAGCACACCACATTGTTTGTGTTCGACGTGTTCGACGTTTCCTCCCTCCCTCCCTCCTTACCTTTTCAACCAGCGGTTCTGGGAAATGGAGCTGTCTTGAGGTCCGTTTCGTGACGGCAATCATCCGCGTTGCAATGGCATGCAAGATGGCTTCATCGCCTTGAGGGTTTTTGTATTCGACAAATTCCGCATCCTTGGAGAGGGAGCCGGCTGTAACCACGCATGCCTTCCAAGCGTCCAGCAAAGCCGGCAGATCGCTGACATTCTCGACAGCTGGAAGTCCACCTGAGCACTACCAAAAACGAAAAAATCGAACGCAAACGTTTTTCAGCAAAATGCATCGTTGTCGCTGTTGTTGTAATTCCCCCAAAAGCACACAAAATGGGGGAGGTGGGGGCAAGGCAATTGGCAAATGCAATGCTGCTCGCTGTTTACCTTGCTGGATGCAGGGAGTGAAGCGATGCGTGTCGTTGTGGACGCCCTGACTGGGACGGCGCCACCTGCGTCCGCAACGTCCTGTGCGGCCACCGCAACGCCATCCATCGTCTCTGCGAGGACGAACTTGCCATAGTCGTCCGGGCTGACGGACGGCGCCTGGAACCGCGGCGGGACGTCGTGCTCGAAGTCGATGTGAACAAGCTTGCCGCCCTGCCGCAGCCGCAGATGGTCGACGAGCAGCCGCAGCGAGGGCGCATGGACCTCGCCGGACGCTGCACCGCCATCCACATTGGCCCCGTTGTTGAGGCTGGCGGACGAGCGAGCCGCGTCATCTGTCGTCCAGGACACGTCGCCGCCGTTTGCGGTGCTGCCCGAAGTCGACGACGACGGCGGCGACCCAGCGAGCAGCGCAGCCCCTGCAATGATGAAGAGCACGAGGAAGGCAGCAGCAACGCCGCGCGAGAGGAAGACGCGGCGGGTGACGAGGTGGGCGCAGGAAGCGAGCCATGCAAAGAGTGAAGGATTGCCGCTCAGACCGCCGCTCAGACTGCTGGCGTTGTCGTCGCCAGCCGGGCTGCTGGAATTGCGGTAGTCACCGACAGTGACTGCAACGCTCGCCGCCATCGCCGGAGCAGCGCAGAAGCCCAGAAGAAGAAGAAGGAGAAGGAGAAGGAGAAGAAGAACGGGAAGGAACAAGAAGAACAAGACTGAGAACGAATGAGACTTGCGGGCTTGGCCTGAATGGCTGCGCGAATGCATCATCGGAGAGTTGTTCGGAAAGGGGGAAGGGGAAAGGGGAAAAGGAGAAGAAAGGAGGAGGAGGAGGAGGAGCGTTGACAATTTGCTCTCTGAGAATTCCGGGTTTTTGCTGCTTCTGAGCGGCGTTGAATCCACCCGTATCCCCTGAATAAAGTGCGTGCGCGTGTGTAGATGCACTTGGTTGCGTATGGACGAGTGGGCGAAACAAGCAAAGTGCGCACATCCATCAAACAGCAAAGCAGCAGTGCAGTGCAAAACGAAAGAAAGAAACAAAAAAACAAAAAACAAAAAAACAAACAAACAAAAAACCACTTTGCAAAGTGACTGAGAAAGATAGCAACAGAAGAACGCTGTGGTCAAGTCAAGATAAAAGCAAAACCACCACCACCACATCAGACGCGCGCGGGATGTGCAGCACAAAAACAACGCAAAGTCGTAAGGCGGTGCTCAAGGAAGAGTCTCTTGTGCGCGCTGAGTAACTCGTGCTGCAAACTGTGTACAGCTGCACTGAGTAATACTGCGAACCTACATTGCGGTAAAACCTTGCGAGCTGCACTTGAAGGCACCGTGGCCAAGTACAGTAGGATCTGACTTCACTTCTCAGTCACTTACAGTCGCAGCGCTGAGACCGTGTACAGTACACCTTTCTGAGACGAATGCCAAACACATTCTTGCTCATCCCATTAGACCTTCCTTGCTCTACTTTGCTTTTCCCCCCCCCCACCTCGCCTCGCCTCATTCTTTCATTCTCAGACAAGCCACAAAACCACACACCAATGCTTTTGGCCAGTATTGCATCGCGGCGATTTCTCGCTGCATCTTCCGTCGCGATGACGGCTCCAGCGCGGATGGCCGTCGCTGCATTCAGCACCTCGGCGTTCGCTGCTGCTGGTGCTGGTGCTGGTTCTGGCTCTGATGCGGCGAGCGGACGCGTGTTTGACGTTACGTCCGAGGCCGACTTTCAGCAGCGTGTCATCGACGCCAAGGTCCCTGTCATTGTCGACTTCTGGGCGGCGTAAGTGTGCCAGCCGATCATCAGCACATCCGTGCTCATCCCGCTAACGTAGCTTGAGTCAGGGGTGGCGGAAGGAGGAGGAGAAGGAGGAGAACCGCAGCTGGAATGGCCATCAGACAACTACTGCTCTGTTGAGGTCTACGATGATACTCCAAACAGCCGATGGACGAGGACATGATCCACAAGCTCGAGATGAATAGAGCACAGACTATATTTCGAGCGATTCGGCGAGCACTTTTGGAAACTTTGATTCAAGCGAAACAATACATCCGACACTGTACAAACGCCGATCGAACGCGACTCGAGCTGATGAGTCAGATGCGAGCTTATTCGAGCTAGGCCATCCGCGAATTTTACAAACCTGAGAGACTCCACCCCCGAAACTGAGAATGGGATTTTCCAATTCGGCGGCAGAGATCCCAACCACCTGACTGTTCTCTCCATGCTTGTGCGTGTGTTGTTTGGATTCTAAAAATGCTGCTTGGATTGTTTGCTTTGACAGTTGGTGCGGTCCGTGCCGTGCATTGACGCCGACGTTGACCCGCGTTGTCGGCGAAAGCTCGACTGAGGTCCATCTCGCCAAGGTGAACGTGGATGAGGTTGGCGACATTGCGGCCAAGTACCAGGTAGGTCAACTTACAGAGACTTGTCGCAGGTTTTGCAAGTGCAGTTGCGGCGAGCGGAGAGCGGAGAACGAAAAAGTTCAGGACTGTCTCCAAAACGACTTGAACCAGCATCTTCAAGGCAGCAATACACGACACCATCGAATCGACAAATTATGCCGCGAGGGAATGCCAAAGAGGGGTGAAGGCGCAGGGGTGGGGGTGGGGCAAGTGGAATCGAGCAACAATGCCTTACCTGCTGTACTCACCCCCTCTGACCCCCCCCCCCGCCTCCTGCCCCAAAATTTGTTTCAATGTAGATCTCTTCGATTCCTGCAGTGTTTGCTTTCAAGAACGGAGCTGTCAGTGACCAATTCGTTGGCGCGCTGCCCTACCCAAAGGTCAAATCGTTCGTCGACAAGCTCGCTTCCCAGTCGTAGTGGATTGACCAGCTTTTTTCGGCACCAGCCTCTTTTCGTTCTCCCCTATATCGATCCACGTCTTTTCTTGTTGGTTGATAAGACTCCTGCATGCCGGGGTGCGCTTCCGTTCACACTCTTCGCACTCTTCGCACTCTTCGCACTCTTCGCACTGTTCGCACTTTTCATGTCCTCCCTTCAAAAGCGCCCTGCCAAATACAAATGGATTGATTCATTCCTACTTTTTTTCTTTGTGTGTGTGCTCCCCTTCTCGTCTCGCTTCCCTTTGGCCCCACTCGCCCAGCGCGTACAAACTTTTGCTCTCAGAAACCAATCTGCAGCGTGTCCCATTTATCAACAATGAACTCCCTTGTCAACGACGTCCGAAAGCACCGCGAGCTTATTCCTTTGGTGGTTATTGTCACTGGAGCCGTATCCTATGGCATCGGGTCCATCATCCACACCACATTGAAGAAGGACGTTGTCGTGGATCACGTCAACAATCCATTTCCGTGGCAGAGCGTCGATCCCAACGAATTCAAGCCCGAGTCGCACCGCCGACGCCCATGATGATGATGATCTGGCATTGCTTGTTGTTAGTTCTGTTTTTATTGTGTGATGCTTGTGCTGCCAGTGTCTTTGTGAGCTTCTACAAAATACATTAGGAGGAAATTGTTTGATTCGGCTTTTGTTGACCCGTGTGGCTGTTGTCGTCCTCTATCCACAATGACGGGTTTACGCATTCACATACACACAACTGCGCCACTTCGACTATGCACAACCATTGAGCGATATTCGGCGACGCAGGCACCAAACCGAAAAAGAAACCAAAAAACCAAATCACTCCATCTTTTGTTTTGCACTTTGCCTCGACTCGTACCTTCAACTTCCAACACAACCATGAGTGCTATCAGTACCGTATTTAGCGACTTGAAAGCCAACAAGGAGCTCATTCCGCTGGTGACCTTTGTCGGCTCTGCAGTGACGTTCGGCGTTGCAGCGATGATTCACACATCGGTCAGCGCCAAAGACGTTGTTTTCCACCACCGCAGCAACCCGTTCCCGTGGCAGTCCACCAACCAACCCGCGACCCCTCCCGTGGGCCACCACAGGAGGCCTTGAAACGTCTCGCTGTCCTGCTCGTCGGAGGTTCCATAACCCTGGAACTTCAAAAGTCTCAAATTCCGACAGTGCAGCGTTCATGTTCTCGCTTTAGGTCACCGTGCCGCGTTTTTTTTTGGCCACTCCGTCCCGCGCTGGCTGTAACTGCACTGCTTCGTCTGCCCTTGGGCGAGCCTGCATTCCCTGTACATAGCTTGTGTCAATACATCTTGCCTTTCTTTCGCTGCTGGCCCAATTTTAATTCCAATGTTGTTTTTCGTCATCTGGTGCAAAAAGTTGATAAATTCGCCATTCATTTCGATCTTGGTCATCACAATTCATCCCCTTCACGAGTCGCTACAGGTCTGTTGTGGTTGTTTGCCGCGAGTATGCTCAGTGGATAGACTTTGAAACATGATTTTTTTTTTGAGTAACTATTACAGATAAACACAAGAACACGAAAAGGCAAACAAAAACAAAAACAAAACAAAACGTGAAACATCACTCAGGCTCAATCCTCAATCACTACACGTCGCATAAACATGCTCGCAATGAGGACTTCGCAGCTTGTGCCGGCGGCACAGGAGGACAATCGCACACGAATATCGTAGCGCCCACGAGGCGGCGCCGACTGGAAGTTGATGCGGTACAAGCCAGTGCCCAAATCCGTAATCGAGTTGATCGGATCCGTCTTGGTAAACGTACGAACAACCGTGAACGGAGCGGACGCCATGCTCATGGTTGCAATGAATGTGTCACCTCCAGTTACGCGCCTGCGGTTGCAAGATTCACGAGCTTGGAAGTGCAGATAACCAGCAGCAAACTCGTACGGTGCCATGAGGTAGCCATCAAGCGTTGTTTTGGAAGAGTCGGTCGTGACTGTCACAAAGCAAGAAGCGGGGGACGGAGCCAAACAAAACAAGGCAAACGGACGAAACGTGAGAAACGTTGCAGCGAAAATTGGACAAAAAGCCGAGAAACCCAAAAAACTACGTCAAACTTACTCTGTTCAAACGAGAACAACGACACGATGTGACCAGAAGCATAGTAGCTTCCCGTGGCCGCCGTCATACCAACGTACGCTCTTCCGGAATTCAGGGTCATCATGCGGTCGATGTCAAAGTCAAAGTTCGAGACACGGCCACCTGTGGCGACTGACATGCGATGCCCATCTGCGTCGTACGTCACAACGAACTGGGTGGTCACATCTTCTGCGTCAAACTCGGCAGGCGTTGACCAGCTGGTGAAGTTTGGCGTGATGACGCCGTTTGAAAGCATGTACATCTCGTTGCAGTTCATCGAGTCAAAGTACACTGCAATCGAGTTGGTGAGACCCTTGTACCCACAGCCAGAGTCGGAGCTTCCGCCGGCAGAGCCAAGCGCGTTCAGGCCATTCGCGTTGTTCTGAATGACAAAGGCAAACCCTTCGCCAGCTGGGTTGGCGAGCCAGGATATTCCGTCCGTAATTTTCACCGCGAACGTTGCACGCCACGAATCTCGGACATTGACGAGCGAGTTGAACCACATGCCACCCACGTCAGATGCGCCGTCGGTCAGCGTAATTGGGAACTTGTTGGAATTGGTCGAAGCAGATCCTCGAACAACCATGTTGGTGGAAGCAACGGTGCCCGAGTAGCTAAACGATGGAGTGGCGAATGTTGGCGTGCAGCCGGTGATGGCAAACTGGCCGCAACTGTCTGTACCAGCAAACGCATAGTTCTTCCAGTCAAAATTGATGACAGCGTTGTAGGTGCACGACGTGTCGCCGACGGGACAGCCATCGGTAGCCATTGCCACCGTAATCAAACCATTGAGCACATCGCCACACATTTGATTCTCGGTCATGTACTGGTCGTAGACGCGCATGGCATTGTCACCGCTCAGCTGGAACGAAAATGGAATCTGCCCGTTGACGCCCACGGGTACAATCGTCTGACCGGTCACAATGGACGTGGAGGGCCCAATTGTCACTGGCGAGATGATTTGGCTGGTCGGCCAAGGAGTCTCGCAATAGCCGAGAACTGAGCATGGGCCGGCGCATCCGTTATCCTGAACGCCGTTCATGTCCCACATGAACAGATTGTACGAGAGACGAGGAATTCTGATGGGCCACTGGAGCTTGTTGTGGATGGTCTTTGTCGCCTCGATGGTGATCTTAAAGCCGTTCGACAACGTCGAGCTGAACGAGTCGCCAAACGAAATGTCAAAGCCGACAACAAACCCAGACTCGGAATACTGCTCAGGCATGGTGAAGACTGTGTGCAACACGCTCGAGTACTGGCCATTGTTCATCGCCACGGACAGCTCGAGCGGCAGCGTCAACGACCAGATAAACCGGGACAGAACGTCATTCGCGAGCGTAACCCCCCAGGCATCCGGCGCTCTCAATTGGAGTCGTGCACGAATGATATTCTCACCGGGCACCAGAGCAAAGTTGGTGAGCCATCCCGTCGCAACGTTGCGCTGCGGAGGTGATGCGCCCGTCATAAAGTGGCCGTAGATGACCTGGGCAGTGACGTTGCCCAGAAGGAAGGTGGTCGAAGTCGGGTTGGTGAAGGCCATCTCGATATCAACGGTCATACCGGTGGAGGACGTGGCAACCAGAGTCATGTTGGACGCCGGCAGCTGACCCACCGTCTCGGGCGTAGGGTTGCCCAGAATGTCAAAGTTGATTTCGACCAGCGAGACCATGTCGGACAGGTAGTTGAATGCAGACGTGCCCGACGCGCTAAAGCTCATGTCCGAGCCCTCCATCATGGTGGTCACGGCCGCCTTCGTGTCGGCTACATTGGAAATCAACACCTGGATGGCGGCTGGAAGCTGGCGCATGCCTGGAGTCAGGAGGATGGGCGAAAAGATGGACACTGTGCCCACTTGCAGGCCGTTGGCATAGAGGGTGATGCTCAAGTTCGATTTGAGTTGGAATGTGACGCCAGGGAGATCGGGAAGCTTGATGAGCAGGCCAGCGATGACTCCAGTCGGCTGGAGAGTCTGCGCAAGGGAGCCGCAGTACTGGCCCAGATAGCACGGCAGCTCAATTCCAGAGCTGTAGCGGTCGCCGCCATTGATGCGGACTTGCTTGAGAGCAAACCCAGGGATGGAGTCATCGTCTGTCGCAGTCGTCGAGGGTGTGTCACGACGTGCTCGCATGAACGCATCGCGACGCTCGTGGCGGGTCGATTGGGAGGAAAAGGCATCACTGCGCTTGGTGCTCGCACGCGCTCGCTGGAAACGCAGCTCACTGGCTTCGAAGGCAGCCTCGTCTTCTTGAGCACGGCGTTGCTCGGCAGTCATCCATGGGTTCCAAGCTGCGGCACGGCGCGCGTTTGTCGGTTGCAACGGTTTGGTGTTGTTCTTGAGCAGCGAAGATGGAATGTAGACATCGGAGGCAAATCCAGTCGGATCGGAGCCGAGGGAGCCAACAAGCCGCATGATAAAGTTGGTGCCGTTGTAGAGCTGGTTGGCCCACACCTTTGCGTACGTCCCGTCAATGACAAGCAAAATGGACGCCTTGGACCCCAACGGTCCGACCAACGTGCCAGGCGAGGTCAGAATGGCCTGACGCACAGAGATCTTGGGGCTGCTGGCCTCCACGTTGATGGCACCCCACTTGAAGTAAAAGTCGAGCTCCTTGACCACGGTGATGTTGACACTGAGGATGGCAGCTGTCGCAGTGGATTCCACGGACGCCGAGATGTCCATGGAGGCATTGGAGGGCGCAGTGTACGAGGGCGTTTCGGTGGAAGGCGGCGGCCGGGTGACGTTCAGCTTGATTTCAGGGATGATCTGGGACAAAAAGTTGGCGCCGCGCCGACGATCGCCGTAAACGACCACGGTGACTGGAATTTCGTTCAAGTACTTGTTGCCGACAGTCCACAAATCCATCCAGCTCGAAAAAGCCAAGTTGGCCTGCGTGGGCAGGGCTCGGGTCGCGGCCTGAACTTGGGGAATGCGAACGGACACGTTGGCAAACTGCTGGCTACCGTCAACATCAGCAAAGAGAAGGAGCGGCGGGATGGTCACGTTGAAGCCGATTCCGGAGGCCAGTGTGATGTTGGCGACCGCCGAGACGTTCGTGCCACGCAGGTAGATGAGCTCCACACCATTGAAGAACTTGATACCGTCGTCCAACGAAGGGCCGGTCTCGGGTCCGGTGGCAGGGCGCGTGAACGTTTCCTGGTTGAACTTGAACCCCGTCGCAATGGGATAGACCTTGTGCCCGTTCGCGCGAGAAGTGAAGCTGCCGTTGAAGCTCAAGGTCACGTACTCTTCATCGAGAAAGTCCTGCAGAATGCCACGGACAAAGGTTCCATTGTCGTTGCCAAAAATGGAGAGCGCGCCCTGAATCAAACTGAGACTCGAGGTCTTGCCAATGTGCGCGGACGGGAGGACAACCTTGCTAAACCTCCGGTTGGAGGAGGAAATGCTCACATCCAAGTCGCCCCAGGCTACAGTGAAGGTCAGCGAGTCGGAGCTCAAGAGCCACGCCAGGGAGGCGTTCACGGAAGACAGATCGGACTCGACAATGAGGGACACATCCGAGTTGTTGGTGAAGCTCAGGTTGGGGTCGACGGTCGAGTTGAACGAGGGCGAGGCGCCGCCCAGCTCGACGGAAAAGTCAATCGAGGAGATGATGGTGCTCAAAAAGTTGCTTCCAGGCCGTCCCTTCACTCCGACAACCAGCATGCTCTCGTCAATGTAGTCCAGCACAGACCAGACCAGCTGTTGCGCGGCAATAATCGTGAGACCGGCAGACACGTTGACGAGCTTGTCCTCCAAGGACACGTCGAGGGGCGATGTGTTGAGCGTGAGCATGGCAGTGTTGTTCAAGGCAATGTCGAGTTCGAGCGCCGGGAACTTGAGCTGCAACGTAAAGCTGACCTCAAGATTCAGCGAAACATCAAAGCAGAAGGTCGTCTGGTTGATACCTTGCAGCTCGATCATGTTCAGGCTGACCCACGATGCAGCGTCGATGGAAGCGTCCGAGTCGTCGTCCGAGTGGTCGTTCTCACTGTCTTTTTTGGGCAGACTGCGAGGCATGACAATGCTTGTCACGAGAGGAGTTGCGCCATACGTGCCCGTGATGTCAATCTTGACGTCAATGTCGTCCGTGTAGTCCGTCACCAGGTTGGTCAGGTGGGTGCCATTTTGCGAGTCAAAGACTGTCAGGTTCAGGGTAATGTGCCCTCCTTTGCCAGCGAAGGGCTCGATGACAAGAGAGCCAATGTGCTCGCTGTTGAACAGGCTCCACTCGACCCGCTTCCACGCAATGTCGAGCGACAGGTAGTCGAGAGGCATCGAAACATCCACAAAGCCCATCACGCTGGGCTCGGTGCTTTGCACGTCGACCGTGACGTTGACACTGTTCAAGGAGGGGTTGTTTTGAATGGGCTCATCGCGGCGAGCAATGCCACCCTCGTCCAAGTGTGGCAGACCGAGAGGCTTGGCTTGTCGTTGGGTGTCTGAGCGCAGCAAGTCCAGCGCAGCCTTGACAAAGTCAGCCAAGGACGAGACTTGACGAGAGCCGCTCTTGCGACGGTGAGGCACCGAGGCGGTGGTCGATGCGCGTGTGTGCATTGAGGACTTGAGCGCGGACGCGAATCGCAGGCCAGAACGTGCGCGAGTGGTCACGGCATCATCCAGAACGGCACGTCGCGCACTTCCACCGTGGCTCGAGTCGTCGTCCTCTTCGTCGCCCGGGTTCATGGTGAACGTCACAGACACGGCAGTCAAAATATCAGTGACAAGAGAAAGGTTGAGCGCCGGCACACCAGTGACATCGCCGATGAGCTCGCTGCTTCCCAGATAATCGAGCGTTGCATCCATGACGACCGAAGCATTCAGCAAGCGGACGGTCACGTTGATGGTGACGTCTGGGCTGAACTCGCTGAGGAACATGGGCTCGAGCTGGATTTCAGCCAAACCGTACTCGGAGACGGTGACTCCAACGCGAATGGGCGGAATGTCACCATGGAAGTCGTAATCTGCCAGGAACTGGGGAAGAGTAATGTTCAACGTGAGACCGACCTCCGAGTCGCTCATCGTGTCGACCGAGAGGCCATTGATGGAGAGCGAATCCCCGGACGACGTCGAGTTGTCGCCCCCAGGCGACGTGGGGTCGTCCACCGTGGTCGAGTTGAGAGTCAATGTCACGTTCAGGCCGGCAAGAAGCGCCTGCACGTAGCAATCGTCGGGATTGCGATCGGCGACGCGAATAACGGCTTGGAGGCTCGAGTTGGTCAGGTACGCGTTCAGTGCATCCTGCACAGGAACCAAGTTGGCCGTGCGCATGCCACCCGTCGCCCACAAATAGGCGCCTTCTTGCCCGTAAAACCCAGGCTCGGAGCGACCAGAGCCCATTCTGCGGGCATGGGCATCGTACACGTCAAACTCGAGGCTCGGGACAGTCGCGCGAACGAACGAAGAGTTGCTAATCCACACATTGACCCGCGGGTTGAGTTCAGTTTGGTAGTTGGCGGGCAGCAGCGAGAGGGCCTTGAGGCCGGAAGGTGGAAACGGCGGAGGCTCCACCTCGCCTTCAGCAGGCGGGCCGTTTAGGACTTGCGGGACTTCAAACTCAATCGAGATGGGGAAGATGATGCCAGTGTGGACTGTCAGCTTGACGGTGACTTTGAGCGGAACCTGGTACTCGTCGAGAAACCGCTGAGCGACAGTCCGGACGGCCACTTCGTTGTCCACCACAAACTTTGACGCAAACGAAAGTGTGAGATTGCCTGGTTCGATGCTCTGGCCGGTGAGGTCTGTGTGGCCCAAGAGGCCATACTCGTCGGAATAAATGTACGCGGTCGTGTCTTCAAAGGAGGCGCCGACTGAGGCCGGATTGTACAGGTATGTTTTGAGTACGAACGGAACGCCGGCCGCCGAGCACAGCTCTGGGAGCGTGATTGTATCGACAAACACAGCAGCGTTGAGCAAGGGGAGAAGCAGGACGAGGACGGCAATCAGGTAGCAAATCAGGGCCAACAGCAGCAGGGCGCAAATCGTCGTGGCAATGCGGCGCTTGCGTGTCTTGACCATGGCCTTGTAACAGCGAACGCAGCAGCTGGAGCGGTGTGGCTTCTCGTGCTCGACTTCTTCCTTGGGCGCGGGTCGGTTGAGTGCGTGACGCAGCGAGGTCATGGAGGATGCGACGGCCGAGCCAACCACGCGCATGCCGTGAGAAGCCTTGGCTCTCGCCGAGTACAGCGCAGTCACCGCAGCATTGGAGCCTGGAGGAGCACCGCCGCCAGACGCCGTGCCGCGCCGGGCCTGATCGGGCACAGTCTCGTCGTCCGGCGTCTCCTCAACGTTCAAGATTTCCACCGAGGACGAGGTGGCAACCATCTTTGGCTTGGTCGCTCGGTTGAACTTTTGCATCTCCATGCGCTCCAACCGGCCGGTCGAGGAGTCGAGCGTTTCGAGCAAATTGTTCAGTGACCTGTCCGTTCGCTCCGATGTCGGGGCACTCGGCGGGTCACGGTATGCCATGCTCGCTGCCAGGGCGCCCTTGTCATAGTAGTCTGACGGTGGCACGACAGGCGGAGTCCGCGTCGGAAGCATTGAGCTGTAGTCGCTCGAAGCGTTCGCGGTTGTCTACGGCAATAAATAATAGTAAAAAATGAAGTAAGATTGAAAAAAAGGAGGCAGCGGCAGTAGCAAAAAAAAGAGGGTGCACACGTACGTTGTAGGCAACGGGAGTTGCCAGCAAGGTTCCATCAAGGCTCGTCTTGGTCGAGAAATACTCGATCAATTCAGAGATGCGCGGAAAGGTCATGGACTGTCCAGCAAACTGGATGCGAAAGCCACCTTCGGCTGCGTTGGAAATTTGGTAGTGGTGGACGCGATCCGTGTCCCTGTCAGATGAGAGTGCAAGGGGTGCGTGCCGTGGGGGATGAGAACAAACTTGCGCCAAGTCTGAAACCAAACAACAAAAAAAAAAACCAAATCGAGTTGCTTACAACAAGGAGAGCGAGTAGCCACCGGTACTAGCGGTACGCAGCAGGAAATCTCCTACATTGACGAGGAGAGCTTCAGCTTGCTGTCTTGTAATGCCGGGGTGGAAGTAACTGCAGCACAAAAAAAAAACCGGCAACGAGCGAAAATACAGAACAATGTTTCGTCAGTTTGAGCGACCAGCTGGATTTTATCGTCGTTGCAGGAAGGTCATGATTCAAATGCAGTATCACGACATTCCAATTCGAATTCGAAGGGGGGAGGGTGAGGCAGGCGAAAGCATTAAAAAAAGTGATCTGGAGCCAGCTGTCCAAAGCCATGTAAGGAAAAGTGGGATTGGAGTGGTTTTTGTTTTTTGCGTTTTTGTCGCTGCGTTTCATGCGGTGAATCGTGTGCACAGTCCGTGAGACGACGAATGAGCGCGTATTCATGGCATCGACCACGCGCCCACTTGCCGAGAGCACAACTGGGTGAGTGGATCTCGCATAAGAAAGTGCTTAAAATTACAAAAAAAAAATCGTTTCGCGGTTTCGTTTTTTTTTTTTTTTTTTTTTTTTCCCCTTCTCCGCAATAGTTGTTCGTTTCTTTCTCGCTCTCGCCAGCCAACTCGGGACCAGTCGTGCTGCAAGGCAATGTAACACTCTGCATCATCACCGTCGCTCGGACTGCGGTGCCTTCCCCCCTACTTCAAGCAGAATGGCGTGGAGGCGAAGCGAGCGGTAACGAATAAGCGTCGCTCGCTCGCTCAATCAATCAACCAAGGCGGGACACCACGCCTGACGCGACTACCGCTGGAGGCCCCCTGCTTGAGCCTCACGTCCCTGCCCTGTGTCGTGCGGCCGCCTCATCCTTCGAACACTCAGCAGCAAGCAGTGGTCTGAGGCGCGGCTGCCCCCCGCCAAAAGAGCGAACATCACCGACGCGATTGTCCCATCTCGAAAAGCTTGCGCGCACCTGTACTCTTCCACGACTTCGACGTCCAGGACCTCGAACTCCATGGCATCTTCCAAGCGTCGCGACATGGCTGCGGGAAGTGGGGGAGTGGACAGGAAGAGCCCCGACAGCGAGACGAACAAAAAAAAAAAAAAGAAAAAAAAAGTTGACAAAGGAAAAACAATGAAAAAGAAGAAGAAGAAGAAAAAAAAAAAAAAAAAAAAGTGCGCAAGCAGAATAAAGCTCGCCTTCCTTTCTTTCCCCCCGTTGAATTTATGGTGGAAATCGAGTCACGAGGCAACACGGCGCAGACCACCGGACGATCGGGAAAACTACAAAGTGATAGGGGCAGGTATCATGGCCAGCTGTGGGATTTCGGCATCAATCAATGGCTGTGGAACTTACCAAAAGGGAAACTTGGATGAATTCAGCTGTCAACAGCTGGCACAAAATGGAAACAAGTGGAGCCCAAATTGCACATTGCAGTGTGACACGATGTGGGAACGGCGAACATGGTTGGACAAATATACATAGACACGCAACAGAGCGAGATAGAGAAAGCAACAGCGGGAGAGAGGTCGAAAACACACACGAAAGAAACGCAGATTGGAAAAACCACATTCGCACGTTCATTCATCATCATTAGCTTTTGATCTACACTGCGCTCGTCTCGGCCGCATCTTCAGAGTTCACAGAGGAAGCAGACCGCGAGTGATTCGGCCGAGCAGTCGCAAGCATAATCGAGCGATCAATCAGCTCGTCCTCGGACATCTTGTTGAAGACGCTGGCGTCGCCAAAGTTAAACTCGCCCCGCTTGATTCGGTCCATGCGATCGAGCAGAATGTGCTTGAAATCGTCGCTGATCTGTATTTTCGGACAAGCGGAACAAAGCGAGCAAAAAACAGTGAGCAGAGAAAACGCCGCAACACCAAAATAACAAAAAAAAAATCTGCCAATCATCACACCTTTTGATTTTCAGCATCCGTCTCTGGAGATTGACCGGGAGGCCGCCCGTAGCGGGATTCCATCATTTGTTTGAACCGTGCGACACGAGTGTTTTCAAATTTGACACGCTCCTGTCGGGGGTGCAAGCGTTCCAGAATTATGAGCAACCGATCAACAAGGTCCGAGAGTGTTCCAAAGCGACAAACCGATCAACAAATCCAAGTCCCCGTGACAAGAATGCTCAAAAGCGACAAACCCGTACCTCTTCCAATCGCTTTGAACTGAGTTTTCGGAAGGTCGAGTACTTTTGTTCCATTTGCGAGCGGAAGACTTGGAGGGTCGAGAATGTTCGGTCGCGGCGCTCGAGATTCGAGTAAATCTCTTGGTATCGTGCCTCCATCAAGCTCTTGACCTTCTGGGCGGTGAGACGAATGCCCTCAGTGTAGACTGTATCTGGGGCTTCTCCTTCGCCTGCGCGACGAGCCGAGCAGAGAAACGCGTTGAGTTGGCGAAAAAGCCGAAACGAGCGAATCTGCGCTGCATCTGCGCTGAATCTGCCTTACCCATTGGTGTTGTGAGATCAAACGTGATGAATTTGGTCGGCACATAGCCAATATTGTTGGAGCCAACTTCAACCTTGATCCAGTCCGAGGGCTCTTCGTCGTCTACAACCCGATCACGTACCAAAAAAACACAAACCAGCAACGCAAGACGTGAGGCTTTTGGAATGGCAACCACATCCGTGCCAAAGGTTGCAAAAACAAACCTGGTGGCGTCAAAACGAAAATCTTTTCGCCTCGTGTCAACGACACTTCATTTTCGTCCACTGCTTTGTAGTCGTAGAGTGCCTTGGCCTCTATGCGATCATTCGATGAGTCATTCAAAATCTCGGCCATTTTTGTGTGCATGCTCGACACCTCGGAAAGCGAGGTGCGACTTACCTTGCTTGACGGCGAAAAAGTAATTGAAATCTTGAATCAAATTGACAAGGAGGGCGGTCGAGACAACCGAGTCTGTAATGAGTTGCGTCGACTCTTCCTTTGATCGCAGCAAACTTGGTGCGAACACTGCCGACACGACGACGAACAGGACAAAAAAGCAAACGCAACGATGAGCACACGCATCGAATCGAACAGAGACCAGCAGACACCACAAACACGAACGCACCAATGGCCAGGTTGGACGGCTCCATTTTGTTGAATTTCGAGAAGCGAGCAACTTTGGCCAAGAATTGCATCAAGAGCTGTAACAACGTGTCAGTTCACCAACGACGATAAGGCGAGACACACTCCGCATCAAAAGCCACCACCTACCTTCAGTCCGTTGAGATTGGCTTCCGGCATCAAATCCAAGGTGGCGAGAATGCGTTCTCGACGAGACTTGGCATCCCCACTCGTGGCTACGCACGTCAACGAAGGGATTGCACAGACAACGAGTCAAGTGAGATTTGGTTGTCATCCCCTTCCCCTCAATGTCACGAGATGCGAAGCAACGCGACAAGACGGCCGACTGCACCTTGCGCTGCGATGAAAACATCATGAAGATCAAAAGTCATGAGCGGCTCGGCAAGCTCTCGATAGAGTTGTTTGAGCAAGCTACGTCAATTCAGCAATCACGATGCAAGTCAGCCAAAAACCAGCATCGAACGAACGAACAAACGCATAACGGTGAACGAACGACTCGAAGAAACAGAGTTTGATACTTGCCTGGCAACATCGTGCACCGAGTCCTCGCGTTGAAACCCCTCTCGTTCGCCTGTTCCAAGTGCATCAGGCAAAAGGGTTTTTTTTTTGTTGGTTGTAAGTTAGATTGAGACCAAGTCTAGATGTGTTGTTTGGTTTTGTGGGCCTGACATCTGCTGGCAACAAAACGTTGTCAAAAGTCCAACCGCTCTTCCCCTCTCACTTTCATGAGCAGGCAGGCCAAGGCGTGCAAACAACAGAATTTTGAATGCAGCGATTTGGGTTGTTCACCACCACCGTCGCAGATCATAGAGTTGCCATGCAAACCAATGCTAAACTCAAACAACCATCGAAATAGATTTTTTTTTTTTTTTTTTTTTTGCCGTGTTTTGTTGTTGTTATTGTTGTTGTTGCTTCCCAACCAACACTTGCACCACAGCTGCCACCCAAACCACAGGGACGAATACTCGAACTTGCCATCGACGCATCAAACCAACGAAAACAGCAGACAAGAGCAACAGAGCAGACAAGGGAGCGAGTTTGAGCAGAGCGAGAGCGAGAGTGAGGACTCACCCCGGTTGATGTCCTTCTTCATCTGCTGGACGGTCGGCACGGAGCCAGGCACGCGGAAGAGACCTTCCTCCTTGAGCCCTGTTTTGTGTGTGTGCGAGTGTGTGTGTTGTGGAGCAAAACACACACACAAAAAAAAAGAGTGGCCAAAGCCAAAACGCCAAGAAGTGATCGAGACAGTCAGGAGAGCAGAAGGACCCGACTTTGAATCCCGCTTCCTGCTGCTCTCTCCAACTCTCTCTCCCTCGATTACACTCAGCCTCGGCGCTCACCTTCTTGCTCGAGGAAGATCATGGCCTCGCAGGCAAGCGCCTCGACGCGGTCGTTGTAGTTGACGCCAAACAGTGGCTTGGACCGTTGGCTGAATCGCCGACTCGCGCGTCGAAAGCCTTCCATTGTCGTGTCTGTGACCTGCGAATGGGAGTGCGCAGCAAGGTGCCTTGCCGAATGCGGGCAAAGAAACAGATTGTTTGTTTTTTGTTTGGAATAAAAAATACTGTGGATGCACAATTGCAGAGGCGAAGAATCGATGGAGAAAGAAAAAAAAATACAGTGAACAAAACATCTTTCTTTACAAGAGGCAACGTCAGGCATCATAACGCAGAAAACACAGCAGAAAGCGAAAATCACACGACGTCGTGGCAATTCCGTGCATTCATTGCCGCGTTACTGGAAGGTGGCAGCCTTGGACTTGAAGTCGGCGCGGCGTTGCTTGGCGGCTTCGAGCTCGGCCTTCTTGGCCTCTTGCTCCTTCTTGATTTCATTCTCAAACTTGTTAGAGTCAGCCAGCTGCTTTGACTTGGCCTCGAAGAAGTTCTGCAGGCGTGGGGAAGGGTGCATGTGAGCGGCAGCATTGTTTGGACCTACGCTAGAAGAACAACAAACGAGCACATCAACACGCTCAAAAGAGCAGCATGCGCTGGTTTCTGTACCTTGGCACCGCCAACACCTTCCTCAGACACATTTACGCTCTCGGCAAGCTTGGCGAGGCCAGAGCCGGCCTCGAGCTCACCGCGAGCTGCCTTGCGGAAGATGAGCAAAAACTAACATGCAAAAGACAATTGAACATTCCCAGTGAGTACACACACACACACACACACACACGCACCTGATGGTTTCAAACAATGGGGGGGGGGTGGAAAAGCACGGTAGAACACGTCAAGAAACGCGAGTGGCCAAACACTCACCTCACGGTACGAGATGGTACCATCGAAATCCTCGTCAACCAGGGCGATCATGGCCTTCAAGGCGACGTGTGTTTGGGGCTCGCCGAGCTGCTCCATAAAGTACTTGAGTTCCTGCAGATCGAGGAAGCCACTGGATATGGAGGAGCGTTTCCGTTGCACAGTGAGCAACCCGACCCGAGTGAGAGCCAATCATTGTCAAAAATCGCGTGCCGTGCTGTGACTCACCTCTTGTCTGTGTCGTACTTCTTGAACATGTCCTTGAACTTTTTGAGTTCAGAGCGCGAGAATTCGGGGAACTCGGTGTACTCGTTGAAAACCTGCTCCAAACAAAGACGTAAGAACGAAGTGAGCGAGCGATGAACTACCAACAGCTCTTGTTCGCACTGCAGCGCGAACACACTTGCAGCATACACACACAAACATTCACACAGATGAGGGTATGCGAGTGTGCGTTGCGTATGAAGGGATGAGAATTTTGAACTGAAAGAAGAGCAACCGCAACGATGTTACTGGTGGCTGTTCGACCCCAGCAGAGCGCGGCATTGACCAGGAGTCGGATGCGGGGGTGGGGTGGGGGCTTTGCTGCTATGATACAACTGACTGATGAGGACGGGCTGTGGCTGAGCGCCTGAGAGAGTTGAGTTGAAGGAACGAGGATATGTGAAGGTTGCCACAAAAGGAAAGGGAAAATCGCAAACAAAAGCAAAAAAAAAAAAAAAAAAAGAAAAAAAGAAAGGGAGGTTCAGATCATGTGTGTGTGGGTGCGTGTTTGAGTGCTTTTGCATGAGCGAGCAGCGGGAGATCGGGGCGGGGCGGGGGGGGGGGAAGCGGTGGAGAGGAAAAGAGTGTGGCGGAAGTGGAGAGAACTTTAACTTTACCTGAGTAACCTTGCCGCCTGCTTCGGCGCCCGAGTCAATGTCCTGGCGACGCTGCAACTTGGATGCGAGATCGATGGAATGAGAGAGAGAGAGAGAGTGTGTGTGTGGTGGTGGTGGTGGTGGTGGTTGGAAAGGGGAAGGATAGAAAATACAAACGATGACTGGACTTGTTGATTTCTGAGAGTATGGGAGAAAACCAAAATTTAAAAAGAACAAAATAACAAAAGCACATATTGGTCTGGGACATCACCACGGGTCTGTGCATGGGGACGTTCGATTGGGTTCGGAAAGAGGACAGACTGCAAAAGTGTTGAACACAACTCAAGAGTCGATCGAAAGTTGATGTTTGTCGAATTGTTGAGGTGGTATTGAAACAAACGAATATCAGAGGGACATGCACGAAGGAAGGTGGGGGAAGGGAAGGGAGGACAAGGCAGAAAGGCAGAAGAGATGCATACAGGCAGAAGAGATACAATGACAACAACCGACAACACAAACGTCAAACCAACAATCACGTTAGTTTGTGATCGACGCGTAGTCGACATTCCCGGTCTGCGTGGAAGGTACGACAGCGACCGTCGCGTAAGAAGTTGGTGAGGACGCGGTTGGCACACGAACAGACGAGGGATCGGGCAGCGAAGGATTGGCGTACTCGACACCGGATGCAGACACGGCTGCGTCAGTATCCTGCAGTTCCGATGAGCCTGCAGGAGCTTGGGGCTTTGAGCCGGCATCTTCGTACACGGCATGGGTGCCAGTAGCAGACACAGCTTCGTAGGTCTGCTCGGATGGTACAGCAGCTACCGTCGCATAAAAAGTTGGTGAGGACGCGGACTGCGCACGAACGGAGGAGGCGTTGGGCAGCGAAGGATCGGCGTACTCGATGCCACTGCTACCTGACGGTTGTGTTGTACTGGATGCTTCGGCATACACCTGTTCCGACGCACCGACAGGGGCCAGGCGCGCCGAGCCAACATCTTCATACAGAGCATGGTTGTCAGTGCCAGACAATGCTGCATAGGTTGGATTCACAACGTTGGACACAGTGTTGCTGGAATCAACCGACTGGTAAGTCTGGTGGCCGTGCTGGTGGTGGCCAATGCCTTTGGTGAGCGGCGACGCCGAAGAGCCACAACCAGCGCAGCCAACAAGATGAGGGCTAACAGGCCAAGAATGACTCCGAGAATAATCGGCCATGAATCTGAGTCACTTGAACTTTTTGGAGCATTCGACGCAGCAGATGCAGCAGACGTCTGCCATGCAGATGAAGCACTGGCGGCTGATGCGGAAACTTGTGAGGCAATTGACGCAAAGGACGTCGAGGCGGCGGAAACGTCAGAGGCAACTGAAGCAGCCGAGGCAGATTGCGTAGACGCGATTGAGGCGATGGAGGCGAGCGGAACACAGGATCCAGTCACCATGCCGTATCCTTCGTAGCACTGAGTGCAGGGATCGGACGAGGTGCAGGTCAGGCAATTGGTCCCGCAACACGAACCGTTCCCTGAGGCATAGCAGGTGGCACACGCTGTATCACACTCTGCCGTACGAAGGATCAGTGAAACAATCGCATGGGACTTGCAGTCAGCTCTCAAACTTACGGTAAGGATAGGATGCATTGCCGTATGTGCTCGGCGGAGCGACAGTGTTTCCACCAAAGGTGAAATTGTTGGGGCGTAGATATAGGAAGAGTTGGAACGGTGAAGTTTCCATGGACAAACACAAGCCGTTTCGCAAGCCCTTAAACAGACCAGGCGGCAAAGTGGTGAAGGAATTGTTATGCAAAGTCCTAACAGTAACTTGAAGTGAGAGGGGAATCAAATACAAGCATCGAGAGTGCTTGCTTACAAATAGAACAGCATAGTCAGGCCTGTGAATGCGTTGGCGGAAATGCTGGCGATCTGGTTGTTGTCGAGTCGCCTACAGATCAATCCGCCAACGAGTGAGCAGCTTGGTGTGTGATTCTTCATGTCATTGCTTGCTTACAAGACCGCGAGCGTCGTCAAGCCGGTGAATGCGTTGGTAGAAATACCAGTGATCTGGTTGAGTGCCAGATCCCTACGGATGGAGAGACAAACGAGCGAGTGTTTGTGTTTGATTCTTCATGTCATTGCTGGCTTACAAGCCCGCGAGCGTAGTCAAGCCCGTGAATGCGTTGGCGGAAATGCCGGTGATCTGGTTGAGTGCCAGAGATCTACAGATAGAGACGCAAACGAGCGAGTGTTTGTGTTTGATTCTTCATGTCATTGCTGGCTTACAAGCCCGCGAGCGTAGTCAAGCCCGTGAATGCGTTGGCGGAAATGCTGGTGATCTGGTTGAGTGCCAGAGATCTACAGATAGAGACGCAAACGAGCGAGTGTTTGTGTTTGATTCTTCATGTCATTGCTGGCTCACAAAGTTGTCAGGGCAGTCAGGTCTGTGAATGCGTTTGCGGAAATGCTGGTGATCTGATTGTCGAGCAGATATCTACAGATGCAGTAGCAAACAAGTGAGCTGTTCGTGCAATGCTTCACATCGTTGCTTCCTTACAGGGCAGCCAGCGCAGTCAGGCCTGTAAATGTGTTTTCAGAGATGCCGGTAATCCGATTGTTGGCCAGACCCCTACAGATAGTGCCGGAAATGAGTGAGCTGTTTGTGTGTGATTCTTCGTGCAACTGTCTTTGCTTGCTTACAAATAGGACAGCGCAGTCAGGTTTGCGAAAGCCAATGCGGAAATGCTTGTAATCTGGTTGTTATCGAGTTCCCTACCGAAAGAATCGCACCGAGTGAGCCTTTTGCGTGCGATTCTTCAGGTCGTTGCTTGCTTACAAGGAAACCAGTGCAGTCAGGCCTGTGAAAGCAGATTCGGGAACGCTGGTGATCTGGTTATTGTTCAGATATCTACAAATACAATCGGAAACAAATGAGCTTTCTGTGTGTGATTTGTGATGTCTTTGCGAACTGACAGGTTCTTCAGCTTAGCCAGGCTGGTAAATGCGGCTGCAGAAATGGTGGTAATCTGGGTGAATTCTAAATTCCTACAGATCGAGTCGCCAATGATTGAGCCGCTTGTGTGTGACTCATGACTTTGCTCGCTTACAGGCTCACCAACGCGGGTAAAGTTGTGAATGCGTTTGCTGAAATGTCGGTGAGCTGGGTGTAGCTCAGATGTCTACAGAAAAAGAGGCAAACGAGGGAGCCGTTTGTGTGACTGTTCCGACTTTACTGCATGCTTACAAGTAACTCAGTTCAGTCAGATCGCTGAACGCGTTCGCAGAAATGCTTGTGATGGGGTTGTCGGACAAATATCTACAGGTAAAGTTGCCAACGAGTGAGCTGTTGGTGAGATTCTTCGTGCATTAGCTTGCTTACAATGAGTTCAGCGAAGTCAAACCCGCGAATGCGTCTGGGGATATGGCGGTGATCTGGTTGCTTTGCAGATCCCTACAGATAGTGCCGGAAATGAGCCGTTTGTGTGTGATTCTTCGTGCAAAGGTCTTTGCTTGCTTACACCTCCTTGAGCGCAGCCAGGGCTGTGAATGCAAAGGCGGGAATGCTGCTGATCGTGTTGTTGTACAGAGACCTACCAATCGTTTGCCAATCAGCAGGCAGTGCTGCAATTCAAGGTCAATTCAACGCCAACACTTACAGGTGCGTTACGCCAACTGGGATTCCGCTTGGAATGGTCGAGAGAGCCCTGCCTTTGCAATTAATAGCAATGGCCGACGAGCAATCGCACACGCCGCCAGTGCCACATGCATCGACTGCTAGTGCCAACTGGACGCGATGCAACACGCAGAACAGCAGCAGCAGTTCAAAGGCAAACCCTTTTGGTGTCATCTTTGCAAAAGGGAGCGTTGCGAATCAATGACATTTGCAGAGTGAGCTCGAAGCGTATTCAAAGATTCAACACAGATTGCCACAGTGCGGAAAGCCAGTTGGGTGGGTGGATGGGTGGATCGATGAGTTCAAGGCCCTTTTATTTTATTTTTTATTTATTTATTTATTTTTTTTTTGTTGGGGGAAAACTTTGCCGCAGGTTTGAATTTTTTGTTTTGTTTTGTGGTGGAACGCATCAGCTCAACAAGGAGATTCAACAAGATTCTTCGATGTCTGACCCTCATTTTGCAGCAGTTGTAGGCGAAAGCATAGTGTCAAACCCCAGCAACGCTCCGCGCTTCACTTTTCACTTTCTCGCGTCGTTTGAAGAATGGAGCTCGAACACACAAGGCAGGGTCAAAGTGCCAAATCAAAACGATAAACAATGAAAATGAAAAGGCTTCTCTGGCATCCGCCCTCTCTGACCGTTGGTCGTGCGACCGGCGTCTCTGATCCTCAGATGCGGCCTGTTGCAGCAAGCGAATCACATCAAGCAGAAAATGTGGCGGTGCGGAAGGGGCTCTGCGACTGTGCTGACAGCAGCAACAACAACAACAACAACAACAACAACAAAGCACAAAATCGACAAAAACGAAAAACAAAAATCACAAACAAAAATACCAAAAACAGACTGATCGGCCACCACAGCTCGATCTGTTCGAATTGTGTTTGTTACTGGGTTATCCTTGCTGGCTTTCTTTCGACTCTGCACCTCGAGCAGCAAGTCCTAATGATGCTTGAACCCTCAGCGTTTGAAACTGCCAGGACACTTCCGCAACGGGCCTGATTCTGCAACGGGCCGTCACGAATGAGCTCGACACGGCTGCGATCGAAAGTTGATGTTCGTCAAATGGTTCAATGTGGATTGAAGCAAACGGATATCACGAATAAAGTACACGAGGATGTCAGAGCAAAAAAAAAAAAAACGGCATTTATGACAGTGGCAGACAAAAACCCAAACAAAACCCACATTAACAACGCATTCAAACAGCACACGCCAACAATCACACTACTTTGCTATCAACGCGTAATTGACATCGCCGATCTTTTCAGAAGGTGCATCGGCGACCGCCGAGTAAATGGTTGGCGAGGACGCGGGCAGCGCACGAACAGACGAGGGATTGGGGAGCGAGGGGTCGGCGTACTGCACCCCGGAAGCGAATGCTTCGGCATACAGCAGTTCCGATGCACCAACAGTAGCCGGGCGCGTTGAGCCGACATCTTCGTACAACGAATGAGTACCGGAAGCAGACAAAGGTTCGTAGGTTGGATTCGCAACGTGTGATGCAGTGGCGCTGCGATCAACAGATTGGTACGTCGGTTCGGAAGATTCGCGCAGTTTGATGGCCGTACTAGAGCGACGACGCCGAAACGCCGCCAACAGCGCAACCAGCAAGAGGAGAGCTAGCAGGCCACCAATGACTCCGAGAATAATCGGCAAAGAGGCTGCATCGCTCGACTCGTTTGGAGCATTGGACGCAGCAGAAGCAGCAGATGCAGCAGACGTCTGCCATGCAGATGAGGCGCTGGCGGCGGATGCGGACGCCTGTGAGGCAATTGACGCTGAGGGCACAGCAGCGAGAGAAGCAGAGGACGCCGAGGTGGCGGAAACGTCTGAAGCGAGAGATGCGTACGACGCGCTGGCAGCAGATGCAATTGACGCTGAAGATGCAGCAGCGAGTGAAGCAATGGAAGCTGAAGATGCAGACGCGATGGAAGCAAAGGACGCCGAGGTGGCGGAAACATCAGAGGCGACAGATGCAGACGCCTGAGATGCAGAAGCCGCAGTAGCAAGGGAAGCAACGGAGGCCGAAATAGCGGAAGCATCGGAGGCGGCTGATGCGGACATTTGTGATGCGATTGACGCGGATGACGCAGCAGCGCGGGAAGCAGCAGATGCCAAAGTAGCAGAAACATCGGAAGCAGCAGAGGCAAACGACGCGCTTGCAGCAGATGCGATAGAGGCAGAAGATGCCGTAGCAAGCGAAGCAAAGGACGCCGACAGCGTCGATGCAGCGGAAACAAGAGAGGCAACAGAGGCAGCCGAGGCAGATTGTGTGGACGCGACCGAAGCGATGGAAGCAACAGAGGCAGCCGAGGCAGATTGCGTGGACGCGACCGAAGCGATGGAGGCGAGCGGAACGCAGGACCCACTCATCATGCCATAGCCCTCATAGCACTGAGTGCAGGGATTGGACGAATTACAAATCAGACAATTAATCCCGCAGCACGCAGCAGACCCAGCAGCATAACAGGTAGCACAGGCTGTATCACACTCTGCGGTACACTTGTCAGCGATATGAGCACAGCAGGATTGCAGTCGCCGCGGAACTTACTGTTTGGTTCGGATACACTGCCGTATGTGCTGGGCGGAGCGACAGTGTTCCCACCAAAGGTAAAGTTGTTGGATCGCAGCGGTTGGGCATATTGGAACAAACGATACGTCAAATACAAGCCATTCGGCAAGCCCTTGAACAGACCGGGTGGCAATGTGGTGAAGGGATTGTCATTCAAGGCCCTGCAAGTACCATCAAGTCAGAGGCAACTCAAATGCGAGCATTTAGAAGTGTGCCTGCATACAATCTCGTCAGCACGGCGAGGCCTGTGAATGTGCTTGCAGAAATGCTGGTGATCTGGTTGTAGTTCAGAAGTCTAGAGACCGAGAGGCAAACGAGTGAGCCGTTGGGTGTGTTATTCTTTGGGGGGGGGGTCTTCTTGCTTACAATTGTGTCAGCGAGCTCAGGTCTGAGAATGCATTTGCAGAAATGCTGACGATCTGGTTGTAGGATAGATCGCTACAAATAGTAGTCGCAAGCGAGTGAGTCGTATGTGTGTGATTCTTGCTTCCTTTGCGCTTGCTTACAGAGAACTCAGCTGAGTCAGGCCTGTGAATGCGTTTGCAGGAATGGTGGTGAACTTGTTCAGAAACAGGTAACTACAGGTAGAGCAGTGAGACGTTCATGTTTGATTCTTCCTGTCTTTGCTTGCCTTACAGTTGTGTCAGCGAGCTCAAGCCTGTGAACATGCTTGCGGAAATTTCGGTGATGGCGTTGGTGTGCAACTCCCTACAGACACGCTCTCAAACAAGTGAGGTTTTGTGTGGGATTCTTCGTGTGTTTGCGTGCTTACAGTTGTGTCAGCGCAGTTAGGCCTGTGAATGCGTTAGCGGGAATGCTGGTGATTTGGTTATTGTTCAGCCTCCTATCGATATCGACCGAGGCCAAATCAGACAGACAATGCCCCAATTCAAGATCAACTGGACGGCAACAATTACAGCAGCGTCGTGGCTACGGGAACTTCGCTTGGAATGGCTGAGAGCAATCTGAAAGCGCAATCGACCGTCGTTCCTGTACAACTGCACACGTCGCAGGCATTGTCTGCTTGTGCCAATTGGGCTTGGTGCAGAGCGCAAAACAGCAGAAGCAGACCAACAGCAAAACCTTTGGGTGTCATCTTTGTGGTGTTGCAAATCAAAGACATTGCCTGAGTGAGCTCGCAGCTTTGTGAGCACACATCGTGCCAGTGCCAATAATCTAGTTGTGTGCGGGTGCGTGAGGGGTGTGCGAGGACATCTGGCTCGAGACAAGTTTTGTGGGGAATCAGAGATGGTGTGATGTTGCCTCGCTCCCCCAATCCCCGCGCGCCCCTGTTCGATCACTTCCACTGCGTTTGTGGACAAATCTTGCCCTCAATCAAAATGTGTGAGTGTGAGTGTGGGGAAGGCGGGTCGAGGCAAGCGGCGGCGTACCAGCTCAGGTATGATCTGTTCAAATGTTCAAAGCGGGTTGTTTTTTGTTTTTTTTTTTGTTTTTGTTTTTGGTTTTTTTGTTTTTTTTTTTTGTTTTTGTTATTTCCTCTTTGGTTCCATTGCGAATTTTTCAAGGCCAGGCGTTGAGGGCCCCGCTTTTTCCTTTCCGCTCCGTCATCGTCTCTTCTGCTTGATTTAATTGGCTTGCAGGACGCATTCGAGGATCAGAGCCGCGGGGTGGTGGTGGTGGTGGTGGTGGTGGGGGGGGGGAGGAAGGCGGGGGAGAACAGACACCAGCAACCTGCTCTCTTTGGTGCTTCGACGTCATTGCGTTTCCATTGCGGGGTGCAGGAGCTCCATTCCCCCAAAAGAAGCGAGAAGCGGTCGATAAAGAAGAGCAGATGGCTGCTTGAGTTTGGCGTGCTGTTGCTTGGGGGTGGAAAAACAACCAACCTCAAAGAGCGGATAACCCAAATGACCAAAAACAGACTGATCATGAGTGATGAGTGGAGCATTTTGGTCATCCTTTTTGGCCTGCTTTTGCGAGCCTGCGCAGGCATCGCAGTTGATCCTGCAGGAATTGCGCGTCACATCTCATCCTACTTGTACTGTCACCGAACAAAAAAGGCCCAAAAACCCCGGCAAAAGCAGCAGCATTTCGCCGCAGAAGGAATCGGATGGATGTGACGATCTGCTGTTGTTGCTGCTATGGTAATGCTATGTACTAATTTCAGATTGACAAATTTCTTGCTTTTGAAAACATGCCGAACAAAGGCTTCCATTAGATCTACTGGGCAATCGCCTTCTGCCACGAGGGGCGCGACGAGATGCGGTTCCACCACGCGTTGACGTTGGGACGCGAGGTGATGAGGTGACCGAACGGGCCGCGAACAAGGTGCTGGCCGTACGGAAGATGGGCAAGATCGGCCAGCGAGAACTGGTTGTTGGCGAGATACTCGTTCTTGGACAAGTGCTGCTCGTAGACGTCGAGAATCTTGGCAAGCTTGGCAGCCTCGGCCTCAGCAACAGCCATGTCACCCTCGATCTTGTAGAAGACGGGCTTGAAAACAGTCTCCTTGACAATGGCGCCAGCAGACGGGTTGAAGTTGGAATACTCGACAGACAGCCACTGCTCAACGAGGGCGGCTTGCTTGATGTCTTCGGGGAGCAAAGTGTTGCCCTGGCCCTTGTACTTGGCGTCAATGTAGTGAGCAATCGCACGGGATTCTGTCACAATGGTGCAATGACAATACAGAGTCAGTGAGTGGGTTGTTGTTTCGGATTGCAAAAGGTTGTGGAAGCGATGCGTGGGCTGATCCACAACATCAAGTTACTCGAAAACCCCCAATTCGGTTGATGCTCCTCAGTCCTTACCAAACACCTGGAAGCCGTCGGCATCCTCGAATGCGGGCATCTGGCCGAAGGGCTGGCGGGCGAGGTGAGCGGGCTCCTTGAGCTCAGTCACGCTGACATTGACAACCTCGAACTCGACGTTGTGCTCGTACAGCGCAGTCATGACGCGCTGTCCGCAGGTGGAGAATCGGCTGCCGTAGATCTTTGGGAGGGACATGTTGCTTTGTGTGGAGGTGTTGTGTTTTTTCAAAGTGAAGTTGAAAGACTGACCTCGGATCGATTCGGCCGAGCGGCGCTTTTATACTGTCGTGCGACGGGGAATTCGCCGCGGTTGCGCACGCTCGCGCCATCACATGTTTGCAATGGGGTCTCGGTTCGTTGTGGTAGCAGCAGCGTCAGGAGTGTGTAGTCAACGCCTGACTTTTGATCGAGCGAGCCAGTGCAGATTCTGGCATGTTCCACAAATCCCAACACCCAGCTCCATCGTTTCATCGTTCGCCCCCCCCTGTCTCCCTTCCGTGACCTTATCGTCCAAAACCACGGGTTTGGTTTTTTCTCGAGACCCTTACACACTGCTTTTACGTCGCTGCGCAGCTGGCCGGATCAAGTGCAAGACACATGTGATGGCGCGAACGAGCACAACCACGGCGAATTTTTCAACCGACAGGATCAGCCGATGTGCCTTCCCCCCCTTGCGGTTTGTGTGCATGGAGCAACCGCAGCGCAAAACGAGACCGCAGTGGCACAACCTTGTTCAATGATGATGCGTTTCAAGAGTGTCAGCCGTGAGAACCGTGTCGGGCTGCGAACAGGAACGAGCAGACAAAAAAGGGCGCTTGTTTGTGATGATGTTCATCGCCAAGGTCGGATACATACAGTAATTTCCGAGAATAAGTGCAATAGCTCATGTGCACATCCATCCCCTCCACCAGAACCTCGAGGTCTTGGTGGGTCGTGTGTAAGATTTCCAATGCGACTGCAAGAAACTCGAACAAACTAACGACTGTAGAAGCACCCCACAAAACCTCACACACACACACACACACCTGCACACTTCAAAAATCAATGAAACAAGATTGCTACAGGATTGAATGCGGCCGACCAAACGCCGAGGAGCGACGCACGCTGGAGTTGTTGGAGTGCAACCTCGAAACCTTGTCGAGCTGTTTTCCAACCGCCCTCCACGTCTTGAGGCAGCTTGTATATTCAATGATTCGCATCTCGTTTGCCCAAGGTACAGGTTCGGGTCTGAGCAGCCGAGCATCGTGTCTCTCAGTCATCTTTTTCTCGCCTCTCCTTCGATGACTTCGGTTGCTCGCCGGCTGGGGTTTGTCGCGCGGCAACTTGCGCAATGGACTGTCTTACTCGCCGTCGCTCTGCTCACTGTCCTGATCGTCCTGCCAGTCGCAGCGTTGGGTGCAGTGCTTGTGCGTGTCGGGCGCTGGATTGCCGCTGCAGTCTCCCCGCCGCCGCGCTCCACCGCTGCCTCCAAGACCGCCGCCGCCGATACCACCATCACGGTGGGCTTCTTCCATCCATACTGCAACGCGGGCGGCGGTGGCGAGCGTGTCCTCTGGTGTGCTGTCCAAGCCGTGCGCGAGCTCCTTCCCGCCGCAATCCGCGCGCGCACCGCGTCCTCATCCTCATCCACACCGTCTGACAGTGGCATCATCGCGAGCGTTCGGTGCGTCATCTTCACGGGCGACGTGAACGCGGCTCTGGCAAGGCCATTCTCGACAAGGCGCGCAAGTCGTTCGGATCACGCCAGCTCAGCTTCCCGACGAGCACATCCAGTTTGTGTTTCTGCGATCGCGGCCGTGGGTGGAAGCTGCGCCGTACCCGTTCCTGACGCTGCTCGGACAGAGTCTCGGCTCGCTCGTGTTGGGCTACGAGGCGCTGTTTGCGAGTCTCGCTTCGCCGGCCGTGCGCCCTGACGTGTTCCTGGATACGATGGGCTTTGCGTTCGTCCTGCCGCTCTTCCGCTGGCTGCTGCGCTGCAAAGTGGGGTGCTATGTGCATTACCCGACCATCTCAACCGACATGATTGCACGAGTGCGGGATCGCACGGCCGCTCACAACAACTCTGCCCTCGTTGCCCGCTACCCATTGCTCAGCCATGGCAAGCTGGCCTACTATCGCGGGTTTGCGCTCTTGTACAGTCTGGTCGGTAGCTGCGCCGAGCTTGTCATGGTCAACTCGTCCTGGACCCGCGGCCATGTCGCACAATTGTGGCACCTCGACCGTCAACCCGTCTTCCGGCTCGGCGACGAACTGCTGGCAGCTACCGAGACTGCGGCGTTCGAAAAGCATGCACACGCCGCCGCTACCGCAAGCAGCACTGGAGGTACCACACGCAGTGGCAAGAGCTACAATACCGAGCCTGCCGCTGGCAGCAGCACCAGCAGCAGCACCAGCAGCAGCAGCAGCGACCCGACACAGCGACTACGGCTGCTGTATGCCTCGCCAGACTCGCGGCAGGACGCATTCGCGCCCGTATTTGAGCGGCTGAACAAGGCGCTACATGCCAATGCCATCGTGCTGTACCCTCCTTGCAATACGACCCTTTTGCGAGCTTTCCCGTTGCAATCGCGATCCGCTTCCCCAGCAACGATTGTGTCTGTCGCGCAATTCCGGCCCGAAAAGGACCACGCCTTGCAAGTACGCGCCCTGGCCGAGGCCTTGCGTCTCCAGCCCCAGTTGCGTGGCAAGGTGCGTCTCGCGCTGGTCGGTAGCTGTCGGCATGCAGACGACCAAGCACGCGTCGATTCACTGCGCAAGCTCGCGCATGAATTGGGTGTCGAGCACGAAGTAGAATTGCTGGTCGGTGTCTCGCACGAGGTCTTGCGGGCTCAACTCGCCGGCGCCGTCGGCGGCATGCACACGATGTGGAATGAACATTTTGGTATTGGCGTGGTCGAGTACATGGCTGCAGGCGCGGTTGCCATTGCGCACCACTCTGGTGGCCCACTCATGGACATTGTCACTCCATTCCGAGGCCAACCAACAGGCTACCTTGCAACCACCAAAGAAGAATACGCCCAGGCGATTCTCGCCCTTCTCGCAATGAAGGATTCAGAGCGACACGCCATGCAAGAACGAGCTCGTGCTAGCGTATCGAGTCGCTTCTCGGACGAGGTGTTTGCGTGCGGCTTTGCCGAGGCCGTTGCCACTCTCGTCTGCGCTCACCGATGAGGCGATGAGCGCGTTTTTTTTATATCTTGCTTGTGTTTGCCTGACTTGATTTGTTTTGTTCCTCACCCTTGCAGTGTCATTATCAAAGTTGTTTAATAACCGAAACCTCTAATACGCTGCACACATCAACCCACCCGCATTGGAAACAAAACAGCACTCCTTCCCCAGCGTGCAAAGACAAACTTCGGCCTTGTTACTGCCCGCTGCGAGCTCGCTTTGCGGGGCCAGCTGCAGGGTCTGTGTTGGATCTCTTGGCAGGACGTGTGCCTGATGCGTCAGTGTCGGAATCACCGCTTTGAGCACCGCCACTAGAGTCGGAGTCGAATTGGTTGATGCTTGCTTGCTGCTGTTTTCTCGCCTGTGCTTTCATTGCTTCGCGCAACGAAGCGGCGGCAATCTTTTGCTCTTGGGTCAGTGGTCGCCCTCGCCGTTTCGGTGGTGCTGCTGGTGCTGCTTGCTGTTGTTGTTGTTGTTGTTGTTGTTGCTGCTGCTGCTGCTGCTGCAGTGCAATCTGCTTCTCCTTTGTTTTCCGCGCGGTTGCTTTGCGAGGCGCAGGCGATTGCTTGCCGCCTTCACTGTCAGTGCTCTCCGCGGACTCTGTTTGCTCGGCATCCTCGTGATCATCCCCGTCTTCGCTGCTGTCTTGCTCGTCGTCGTCTTCATCGACTTCGTGCTCGCTGGCGGCGGCACCATCCTCGTCAGCGTCGTCGTCCGACTCGTTGTTCTCGTCATCGTCGTCGTCGTCATCCTCTTCATCTTCATCGGCAGCATACCCACGCTGATTCGTCTTGCGCTGTGCTGCCGCTCTGGTCGTGGCCGGCCTCCGTGTTGTTGTTGTTGGCGCAGGAGCAGCAGCATGGGTCGGAGGTGCAGCAGCGCCTCCTCGGCCACGACCCCGGCCAGCGGTCTTGGATTGAACTGGCTTGGTATCTTCGGGCTGGGCATTAAACGCGCTGAGCGAGTCAATGCCCAATCCGGCAGGCATTGTTGGCTGGAACAATCTTGGTTGTTTCGGATTGAGACCTGACGCTGTGGCACTGCCACTCGCTTTGCCAGCCGCCAATGAAGGCTGTTGAGAAGGCCGATCTGTTGAAGCATGCCACAATACATTTGTGCAAGATAATTTCATTTTTGTTTGGTCAGAGTTGCTCAGAACGCGTCCTTTGCCAAACAAGATTGTCAAACCTACTGCCAGAAGTGTTCGCAGCAGCAGCAGCAGCAGCAGCAGCAGCTGGAGTCGGTGCCGTTGGGCCACGCAAGGGTGTCAGCAAGGACGTCATGGGCGTTGCGGATGTGACGGTCGATGATGCAGGTCGCGGCATCTGTATCATTGTATATGCAGGAGCAGCAGAGCCAGTAGCAGCAGAGGAAGCGGCGGGACCAGCCCGGGCACCACTGCCAGCAGAAGCAAATCCAGCGCCATGTTGTTGTTGCTGCTGCTGCTGAGGTCGATGGCTCTGCACGAGTCGCTCGAGCTCAGCGGTTGAGTTTGGGTGGTTGGACAGCATGAGGCGGATGGCGTCCAGCACAAGGCCGTCGCCCTGCGATCCCGACGCAGCCATCATGATGGAAGACAAGTACGAGTAATACAGCAGGCAATCACTAGATGAAAGTCAAACGAAGAAAAGTCACCAAGATTGAGAGAACGAGTGGAAGGATTGGTGACAAGCTGAAATGATGACTGGAGCTGAACGAATCTGAGAGACTGAGAAACCAAGATACTGAGATATACTGGATCAATGTCATCAGGGTGTCCATTCCATCGCAAGGCTGTTCAATCACAGCAAAATCGTCTATTGTCAATCGAGCATTGTCGCCTCCATTGAATTTCATCCCTTTGGCCCCTTGATCAACTCTTTCTCTTTCTCTTTCTATTTTGCCTCTCACTCACTCACTCACTCACTCGCTCTGTTCCTCCACCCTTCAATCTCACTCTTACTTGCGTTTTCAAACAAAACCAAATCCTGCGTCATATTCAAACTCGGCGCTCATTCTTCTTCCTTCAGGTTACTTTGACTCTCCATTTGAGAATCGCCTTTTTGTGACTTGCTTTTTCGACTCCCCACAAATTTCAACCATGGCAGACTCGACATTGCTCATCTCCATCTCGGGCGCGACGACGGGCGTCGGCGGGGCTCCTGGCAGCGGCGCGTCGGCCAGTCCAGCGCCAGGCACGCCCATCGCCGCCAAGCTCTTCCAGCAAGGGGGCGACCACCCGCTTGTCGCTGTGGCTGCGACCGAGCCCGTCGTTGTGCCCGACGCAGACCACCAGCACCACGCAGCAGCAGCAGCAGGCGATGCTGCAGCGACCAAGAACGGCGACATTCACGGCTCAACAACGTCGCTCTCCTCCGACGACGGTGAGTTTTTGTGCTGGAACAATAACGGCACACATACGCGCGCATGCTCCCGCGTCTCTCTCTCTCTCTCTCTCTCTCTCTCTCTGGCTCACCGAAATGAATGAGTCATCCAAAAATTAAAAAAACGCTTTGACAATGAAAACGAACAAACTGTGGAGAAAAAAGCAAAAAAAAAAAAAAAAAAAAAAAAAAAGCAAAGAGGAACATTTCGCATATTTTCAATTGTAGAGGTGGTTCTTCTTTTGCCAAGACTCGCTCATGTGTGAGTGTATATGTGTGTGTGTGTGTGAATCGAAAGTGCGTTCGTGTGTTAAAGGCGTGCGTCAAAGTTAGTTGATGGGTCGGTGAACGAAAGAGACACACCGGTCTAACGCAAAAATGACGAACGAGCGAGATCGGTCATCACTCGTTCTGTTGTCCTTCTTTGAACTTGTTCGCCTTCTTCTTGAGGTCGGAAAGTGTCACTTTGAGACAAAGCATCACTCGAATGTTGCTGTCAGTGACAAGGAGAGAGGGAACCCGTTTTTTGATTCCAAATCCTGACAAACCAAAACAACTCGATGAATGCGCGCCAAAATACTTGCGTTCTTTGTTGGTCAATCTCATGCTCATCACCGATTCCTTGCACCAATCTGCATCCATTGCAAACACAGGCAAGAAACACATCTCGCAAGAGCAAAAAGATTTGCTGGACGAGTTGGATCCTTTTGCCGCAAAGTAACGCGAGAACAAACGGGCTCAGATTCTCATTCTTGTTGCCCGCGCTGCTGCTTTTTTTGTTACAATGACCTGGAGTCGCTTGTAATTGTGCATGTGACTGTACATGTGATTGTTTGTGTATATACCGTGCAGACCTGCAGTCGTTCGTCTTCCTCAGCCCCAACCACAACATTGAAAATACAAAAACAAAGTGGAAACTAAATCTAAAAGCGCATTTTTCAGTACATGGCAACAACAAAAACAACAGAACACTCATCAAAAACAATAAACAAAAGTACATCACCACGAATGACTCTTAGTGTGTCAACATGATGCGTCGGTTGGTCAAAAAGCACGGCGGAATCGCAGTCATTGCGCCGCTGCGCAGAGCCTTCATCAGGCGATCCGTCTCGCCAGCAATCTCCCGCGAAACATCCACCAGTTGCGGATGGGCACGCAGTTGCTGCACCTGTGTGAGCGACACGATGGCCAGGTTTGGGTCGAGTCCTGCGCTGCGCATAAACATAAACTCGGCCAGCGCCTGGTTGTGCATCGTGTCCACCATGGACACGTGCACATCGTTCTTGTACGCGCGCCGCGTCACGTCGAGCGCGGACTGGAAGGTCGTGTAGGCTTCCTCGTAGTGTGCTTTGGCAAAGTGGACGTTGCCCAGCGCGTGCAGCACTGCGCCGTAAAATGCGTGCTCGAGATGGGCCTCGTTCGGGACGAGTAGCTGGATGGCCTTTGCGGTGAACAAGAGGAGCGTGAGCGCCCGATCAATTTCGTCGCAGCCAAACGCGTAGACGGCAACGTTGAGCAGCACCGCCGCTTGGTTGATGTGCTGAACGCCACCCAACACCCAGCGCATGCCATTGTACGACATTTGAACACCAAGCAGTTGCTGGTGGTACTGCATACTTTGCAGCTGCTTTTGGTACTGCTGGTGTTGAGCAAACAGCATCTGGGCCGAGTTTGTGCCATTGCTGGGTGCTGCAGCAGCAACACCTGGCGACGAAGCGTGGTCTTGCAAGAGCAAAAGACTCTCGGATTGCGTGTGCTCGCCAGCATGGCCGCTGTTGCTGTTGCTGTTGCTGTTGCTGTTGCTGTTGCTGTTGCTGCCGCTGCTGCCGGGAAGGAGGGAGCGTGAGGCGGCCAGCGAAGTGTCCTGGAGGGAATCGCGGAGCGTCAGCATGGCCGCGTCGGTCGCAGAAATGGGCAGCTGCACAGGAAGCGTCGAGTAGATGGAGTCGAGAATGCGCTTGGCCTCGCTGAGGTGCTCCAGGCCCTGACGCGCAGACGAAGCGTTGGGTGCCTCGTCAGGCATGGGAAGCCCGACGCCAGCTTGGGCCAGCGCCTGGCCCCGCAGTCTCGCCAGCCTGGCGTGTTGAAACTCGCAATCCAGCACAACACCCATGTTCTGCAAGATGGTGGGCACCCACAAATCGTTGCCTCCGAGGCTTGGCGACGTTTCGACGCGATCGCGGGCAGTGCGGAAGAGCTGGTATGAGCGGCCGTACTGTCCGAGCTTGTACAAAATCATGGCTTCGTTGGCGTCAATGAACGAGATTTCAATATGGTCGGCGTGCTGGGGAATTGCTGTTTCGGGAGTTTCCATTGTTGCAATGCCGCTGCCAGTGCTGCTGACATCACTTTGAACGAGATCGGAAGCGGCGAGCGCAACACGCGTCCGTTGCATGTCTGTTGTGGCCTCATACAAACGAGAAAGCTTGTAGTTGATGATGGAGCGAATGTTGAGCGACATTGCAATCTCGCCGTTCAGCTGCTTGCTGCTCTGTGCAGAGCGGAAGCGAGCCTCCAGCTTGAGTGCAAGACAGTCGTCAATAGAGCGGAGGGCCTCATGGAACAGGTTGCGAACAAGATACACGCGCGCAAGCGAGTGATGGGCAGTGGCCAACTCAAAGACAACCTCGCGCTCCAAGTCCTGGAGGGACAGCGTGAGTGCAAACTGTCGGAGCTTTTCCAAGGACACGATCGAATGGCCCAGCAGCTTTTCGGCTTGCTGGAAATCGCCACGACGCCGATGCGCTTTCCCGAGCGCCTTCATGATTTTGAGCTGCCAGAGCTTGTGCGTTGGCGAAGGAATTTGCCCACTGTGCGGAATGGCCTCCAAGGTGACGGCGGCGCGCTCGAGCAGCTGCAAGGGCTCGTTCACGTCCGAGGAGAGCGAGCCAGTGAACTTGCCCAGGTTGTACAAGAGTTGCACAAGGTGGAAGCGAATGACTTGCGAGCGACGGACGGCAGGCACCGTCAGCACGTAGTGATCTTGGCTTTCGTACGCAAATTCCTCGACCGGAGTAAACTCAAACGTGATGGGCGTATCTTGCGCTGAGGCCGTGGCGCTGCTGCGGCCGCCACCCTGACGCTCGTCCACGGCCATGGCGGCTGCACCGACGGCTGCACTAGCCTGGTCGGCATCAAGCAGCCATTGTGCGAAAGAGCTGTTGGAGGGATCAGAGGTGGCAGAATCCGTCCCAAATGGCGCACCGACGCCACCAGCTGTTGCACCAACAGACTGCATGGCTGCCGCCAGGACTTCCTCGTCAAAGCGCCGCAAAAAGTCCTGTGCGTGCTCACTGATCTTCACAGCGTGGAGATATGTCAGCTGACATCTGCGCCACGACGCGAGATTCTTGTAGACGAAATGGAAGCTGTCTCGCGAGTTGATGTGCCGAAGCACCTGCAGAAGATTGCGCTCCTCAAAGGTGACTCCCACCGCACGCGCGGGCGCCCATTTCACCAGCTGTCGCAAGCTGTATCTGACCATCGCAAGACGACTTGGGTGGATGGAGATGGTGTTGCACGACACACCTTGCAGCGTCACCGTACCAGGCGAAACAAAGCCGTGAAACTCTGGCTCGCACAGCTTGTTGAGGTACTTTGTGAAACGCTCCTTTTGGGCAGCATGGCGCTCCTTTGGCAGACGCATGAGATCGAGCTCCATCAGCAAGTGGACGGGAATGTTGCGAGAATCGAGGAAGCACGCGCTTTCAAAGAGTTGCACGCTGAGTTGCTGCGGTCCTTCAAACCCGAGCTCGCGACTCGCAATCACGAGAATCTGCTCAAATGCACGAGCGGCGGCGGGCGGCGGGAGGGGCTCGTGTCGCACACTCGGCGCGAACGCTGCAGCCGACGACGAAGCGCTGGCGGATTGAGCGAAAGGCAAAAGCGACGCAGCAGTGAGCACGCCGACTGTGGCAGGGGCAGGGGCTGCGGCAGGGGCAGGGGCTGTGACAGGGGCAGGGGCTGGGACCGCGGGTTCGGGCAAGACGGAAGTTCGCAGCGGGGTGGACATTGAGAGGGACAATTGCGGTCCAGAGTTGGTCGCAGTGGCGGGAGGTGGCGGCTTGGAGACACTGGCGGTGGTGGGGAGCCGCTCCATCGACGACGACGCGGAATGGGCTCGCAGCTTGGTCTTGCCAGACGACATTGGCAGCGGCTGCGGCGGCGGCTCCGATGGCGCAGCATTCGCAAAGAAGGCATCTTGGGGCGACTGCACTTGGTGCTGAAGCTCTTTCGACAGCAGCTCTACCGAGACCATGTCGCCCGGATGGGGAGAGAGTTGGAAGAGGCGCTGCTGCTGGTGCTGGTGCTGGTGCTGTCGAGCAGCAGAACTGTTTGCATTTTGACTATTTCTCCCAGCGGAATCAACATCGGGATCGTCCAAACTCATCAACGCACCAGAAGAGAGCGAACGACGCGCGTCGGTAAAGAACGGAGCAGACCGGTGCGTTTGTTGTTGCTGCTGCTGCTGCTGCTGTTGCTGCTGCAGCTGAAACTGTGATTGTGCCTGCTGGAACTGTTGCTGTTGCTGCTGGTATTGCGCCGAGGTGAGTCCGGCTGATAGGGGAAGTGGCTGCGAGCTGAACATGGGAATTGCTCCCGCTGAAGAAATGGCACTAGGAGGGATTGACATGGTGGTGGATGGCGCGGTTCCGAACGGCGGTTGCCTGAGAGCCATTTGCAGTGGACTTGAGCTGCCAGGCGAGCCGACGGGCGACTGGCTGAACTGACTGATGCTGCTCGTAGTGCCCAAAACCTGCATCCAATTTGGGGTGAGTCCCAGCATGAGATTGAATTGGTTTGGCGGCGGCGGCTGCGGCATTGCGGGCGGCACGGGCGATTTCCCTCCAGGATATCCGGCAGCTTGGAGCTCTCGATCGAGTGCCGAGCCAAGTGAGCTGCTGTCAGACGAGCGCGTTTTCCGGTTCAGAGAGCCTCCTCGGCGCTGGCGCGACAATGGCCGAGGCTCTGGCACCGCTTCTTCGCTTCGAGGACCACTGCCCTCATCCATAGCGGCGGTGCCACTGCTACTAGTACTACCGTTCGCGGCGGCAGAATCCAGAGTGTCGTGGCCGGCGGTGGAACAGGTGGAAGAAGAGCTCAATCCGGTCTCAACATTGTGCGAATCGGTCGCGACCCGCTTGGGAGCCGCAGAGACCGTGGCTCCTGTTAGATGCAAGTCGTTGTGGTACGCGTGGAAGGGAAGCGGAAGGTGCTGGTAGTTTTTGCTAATGACAATGGCCGCCTGAGACAGCGTGAGGGCATGCGAGTGCGATGCGCAGGTGGGGCAGGAGGCGAGTGCCAACGCGCCTTCGTGATCGCGCTCAATGCCAGAGAGGCGGTGGAGCATGTCCGCGTTGGAGCTGGTGATTTCGTGCTGGGCGACAACAAACCCGGCCACGGTTTGCACGGGCACATCGCCACTATCGGTGCTGACGGTGTCCGAGTGCGAGGCCGTCATGTCCTGCGGCAGCTGCGACAAGTCGAGCTCTTGGGACGACAGGACAATCACATGGCCACCCGTGGGTGAAATTGTGGAAAAGAGACGCAACACGTCGTTCTGGTGCAGATCATCAACAATCATGAGCCAGCCGGGGAACCGCGCAAGCGTGGCCTTCAGAATGTTGTCGTGGACCATCTCGCTGAGGCGCAGCGATTTCTTTAGCTCGCGCAGCTCGTGCTCAATGTTCTCGCCGCTGATGGTTCGAATGAAGCTGTACTTGTCTGCATACAGGGACTCGTACAAGAGCGCCATGGAAGACTTGCCGGCGCCAGACTGGCCGTAAATATTGACGACGCGCGTGGCGAATGTGTTCTCCGCCGCGTGGCTCACGATATCTGGGGCATTGGCGACTCTTCCAAACACGCCGGAATTATTGAGCATGTCCGGCTGGAAGAATTGTCGCAAATCCTCACAGGCCTGCGCAGGCAAGGAGGAGGCAATGTCATGCAGCGATGGCACGGCAGAGTCTCCCCCCGCGGCTTCGATATCCACACCTTGCAGGACCGACGAGAGCAGCTGCGTGGTAGCGTCGAGCTTGCGCTTGCCACCCCGAATCTTTGCAGCACCGGGTCCTGGTGCGGGTGCGGCGGCTGGCGCTGGCGGGGCAACAGGAGATGCGCCGCCTACCGGGAGGACGCGCAGCTTTCGTTTCTTGGGTGCCGATGACATTTTAATCCAAATGTATGTATCTTTCGGACCTGAGAGAGCCCAGAAAGAGCGAGGAGAAGAAAAAGAAGAAGAAGAAGAAGAAGAAGAAGAAGAAGGGAGCAGAAGCAGAAAAGGACCTGAGAGAGCCCAGAAAGAGCGAGGAGAAGAAAAAGAAGAAGAAGAAGAAGAAGAAGAAGAAGCAGAAACAGAAGCAGAAAAGTCGGGTGAGTGCAATGGAGTCAACAAAAAGTGCACGAAAACGCAAGCCCGCGATTGTATTACCTGGGGTGGAGCAATCAAACAGCTCGTAGTAGTGCTCCATGCAAAACCCAATGTCGGGTTCACGAAACGACGCCGAGTAGCGCACATAGGCTGGACGATCTGTTCGGTCGTGTAGCAGTTTGATGGTTGGATTCTTGTTGTTGCCCGAGTGAAACAGGGTGATGCCTTTCCCGCGCTGGTTTGCGTGGAAGAGGGCAAACGCCTTTTCCGGGACAATGTAGCCCATGGTGCCGTCAGAGGGAAACTTTGACCACTCATCGCCTGGAGAGTATCGCGCTGTTCGAATGTCCTCCATTGGAACGTTTCTCAAACGGATGCGCATGGAGTTGGCTGTTTTGGAGAAAAGGAAAAAAAAAACACACACAAACAGGAGCGGGGCCGTCAAACATCAAAATCATCGTCACAAGCAACGCACCACCAATTTGTCCACGAAACAACAAGTGGCATCATCCAATGTACCTGAAACCCATGCAACAATGTCGAGAATAATCAACGGAAGCTTATATCCGGCGCTGCAGTCAATCTCGAACGTCTCAGAGCACCACAGATGCAAGTCTGGATTGTAGACAATGTCCTTTCCACGCATTTCGGGCACGGTGTACGAGGATTGCACCGCTGGTTGTTGTTGAGCCTGAGCGTGTTCAGCAGAGCCGCGCCGTCGGCGTCCCGAGCCGGTGGAAGATGCTTGTGGTGGTTGAGCGGGTATTGGGGTTGCAGCAGCATCAGTCGTGAAGTCTAGTTGCTGAGGTGCTATTGATGGTGGTGCAGGTGCATTCCAGAGCATGGAAACGAGGGTGGCGTCCAGTTGCTCGGATGCGTCTGCGGCAATAAAGTCGCGCAGGAAGGACGATGAGGCTGCAGCAGCCGGGTTGTCCATCTGGTGCTGCTGCTGGCCATACACTTGCTGCCGGATTTGCTCTTGATACCGGAGCTGGAACTCGTGCTGCATGGCGAAGGCGTTAGCTCCGTTCATGCTTGGATCCATGGTGACCAGAGAGAGACAGAGAGACAGACAAAGACGGAGGGAGTGTGCGATTCCAGCGAATCTCAGATCAACGTGAACGACCGACAGCAGCTTGAAGAATCAATCGTGCCCGGCCAAATTTCGCAATTTTGCAGCAAAAACCAAATTCTGTCAGAATGCAACGCAACAACGCAAAGTGAGCCATTTTTTGTTTTCCGCCTTGTGACTACAAGTCCAAGCACAAAGAACGATAAAAAAAAATATATAAGAAAATCGAAAACCTCAGAGAATAGGAGGAAGAGGAGAGGAGGAGGAGAGAAGGGTTTGGCGCGATTCATTCAATCTGTGTCTGCACGTGTTGGCTGGTTGACGGTTGGCTGAATTCGAAAAAGAAAAAAAAAGCATCCTCAACAACGCTTTTCCAATACAATAATGGTTGCTCGAGGTGAGTCAGATGCGTGAGAATGGTGCTGGAAGACAAGGACGAGGTGCGTGTCTAAGCACTCGACGCATAGGGATTTTGACTTGTGGGGGGCGGGGGCAAACAGCTGGCGTCAGAAGGAGCGTCGGATAACCTCTCTCAGTTCGAGGTTGCGGCTACCACACTTCAGCGGTCGCCATCGCATCGCACCACCACCACCACTCGCACAGAGACAGCATCAAGCGAATGCAAAATCCAAGATTAATTGTGAATGAAGCTTTTTTGGGGGGCAGCCATCGCAGCATGACTTGGGAGTCGCGGGCTCACAGTTTACCAACGAGCGTCATCGGGACAATGTTCAAAATGGGACGCGAACACCGACGGCTGTAGTCGGACGAGCAGGCGCCCCAAGCTCGTGTCACCACGCTGCTCACTTGCACCGGAATGAGACGAGCCGACCCAGCCCAAAGCCAAGCCAGCTGGGAGAGTCCGGCTTTTCGTCTGCTGGCTGGAAGAGCGTCAAGCTGTCACTGACACTGAATGCTCCACCGTGACGGCCGATAACCGTCCTCTCTCTCTGGCTCTCCCTCACCTCCCCTGCCGCCCCTCCCTCATCGGCCCTCGCAACAGAGGTGTGATTCATTCCACCAGCGTCGACTTGGTTGGGAGACAGCGTCGCCCCTTTCGTTTCACCCAACAATTTTAAAATAAAAGAAGCATAAAAAAAGATAAAAATAAAAAAACCGAAACATCAAAACATTGACAAAAATCACGTTCTCACAGGCGAAAGTGATTTGTGGACTGTGCGCCGTGTTTCTGTCATGTCGCCGTGGATTGCAAGCAAGGAGAGCGGCCCTGCTTCATGTTACAAAGTGATATCTGCGTGTAAATGACCATAGAATATTGTGATGATCGCAATTGGCTGGAAAATGCAATTCAACTCTTGTGACTGCGAAAAAAAGGAAGCGGATAAATCTTGCCAACTCTCTTGGAAAGAATAGATGGTGAAACGCAACAGCGACAGCGACAGCGACAAAACAAAGAAAGCGCAAAAACTGAAATAACAACCAAAACAAACACACACTCAAAACACGCACAACAAAGCACACCGACAGAGCGCACCGACAAAGCGCACCGTGCTGCCATTGTGTTAATTATACTCGGACGTAATGTTCCAGCGGCGTGCAAGAACATCCTTGGCAGAGCGAAGTGCACCCTCAGACCAGGTTCGACGACGATTGTAGGCCTCGCCCACAAGATAGACGGGCAGGTTGTCGATTGGCTGGGAGGCCCAGTCCTCAATGTTGGTGAGGTTGAAGCCCGTGAGCGGCTTTTGGAAGTGCCATGCGCCCTCGTCCCAGAGAGCGTACTCGGAGGCCATCGAGTCCGGGACTTGCGCGCCAGGGAAGATGTAGCTGAGCTGACGCTTGACGGCCGCGTCCAGCGACGACTTGGACTCGTAAACGATGCGTTGCCAGTGCGTCCCACACGGCCCATCGGCGTAGATGGTGTGCAGAACAGCCTCGCCGTTGGGGCCACGGCCAGTGTAGGGAAGCGTGGTGGTGAGGCACTCGGAGTGGGTCACGTAGCGCTGCAGATCGACAATGGCGACACCCTCTGGCAGCTTTTCCCACCAGGCCTCGGCATACAGCGCGACGCCCTTCATGGCGACTTCGGGCAGAATGGATTGGTAGGCCAGCTGCTGCGTGATTTGCTCGACAATCGAGCCCTCCACCTTGGCGAGCGCGAGCGGAGGCAGGTTGATGACAAGCTTGTCGGTTTCAATGTAGTACATGTCGGTCTGCACGATGAATGTGTGCTTTTCGGTGCGACCAATCGATCGAGCGGGCTCGTTCAGGTAGATGCGCACGCCAGCGCTGTCGCAAGACGCGGTGAGCGCGCGCACGAGTGCGGACATGCCTTCAAGCGGGCGGTACTGATTGGGGCCGTCCTGATCTTCCAGCTGTGAGAATTCCACATACGAGTCGGCGTCCACCTCAAACAGATCGCCCTCGTACGCGCGCACCGACTGCAGGTACTGCCAGCCTTCGGGCGAAAGCTTGTCGCGAAGGTAGCTGCCAAAGTCCGGGTACACCGAGGCGTTCTGGATCAGAGTTGGCGAGGTGACGTACGACCACAAGTCGCTGTCGGACATGTTGCCCAGCATCGGGTGGGCGGCAAACACCGGGAAGGCCATCTTGCGCAGATAGTCGGTCGAGTTGGTGAAAATCCCGCGGGCCTCCATCTTGTTCTCTGCTGCAAAGTTCCACAGCTCGTATGGCACAGAGAATCGATCCGCCAAGGCTCTGCAACACACGAGGAGGCAGACCACAAAACAAAAAACAACCCCCATTGTGTGGTGTTGGTCGGTTTATCAGTGAGCTAAATTTTGCTTCCATCAGCATGGCTGCAGCAATTTACTCACTTGACGTTGGCATGGTTTTCATTGAATCGCCACGCGCCCATGCCTGTTTTTTGACGTGCAGATTTTTCGTGTCGTGGTGTAAGTATTGGTTTCCCCAGAGTTTGTGTCACGCAGCAAAATCAGAATCTGAGCCAACTTTTTTTTTTTTCTTGTTTTTGTTGGTCAAAATGTTTGAAACCGCCTTATTCCCAACAACATGCGCACCACGCCTTTGCCCCAAAAAATTGCGGTTGTTGCTGCCCTCCAACGCACCACCGTGCTGCCTTCACCACAGCCACAATCAATCAATGACAAAGCGATCTACCAAGCCAGCGCTGGGCCGGCGACGACGCACTCACCAGCGACGGCTGTCGGGACTTGCGAGAACACCTTGTCAAGAATGCGACCACCAAGCCACGCTTCGCGCTCGACCAGGCAGACGGACGGCTCCTTGCCCGAGCGCGCGAGCTGGTCGGCCATGTAGAGGCCGCCAATGCCGCCTCCGACAATGACAGTGGAGCACCGCCGGGGGTCCTTGTAGCCTGCTGGGTTGCTGTCGCCGTTGAGGGACAGGTTTTGCAGCTTGTGGTAGTTGAGCAGGACGACAATCAGCGTGGTAATCACCAGAGCGGCCTGCAGTGCCACCGCGCCCAGGGCAAAGCAACGAAGCCTGCTGCCAGCACGTCGTGCGCCGCCGAGCAGCGGTCGCTTGGTGTCTTCGTCGTGCTCGGTGTTGTTGACGAGCGCGCCGAGCGGTCGAGACATGATTTTGTTTTTAAAAAAATGAAAATGAAAAAGGAAAACTGCGCATTCCCTCAATCCAAGTCAGACCGCAGTGTGCCCCAACGCAAGAGAGAGGAAAGGCGAGAGACAAGTAGTAGAGGACAAGTAGTAGAGCGAATCAAACGGTACTTGACAAAGCTGTGGAGGCTGGTGAAGGAGAGAATTTTGCAAAAAAGGATTTCCAAATTTAAAAAGCAAAAACCAGCTACTAGTACATTGATCTCAAAAAGCAACAAGCACAACAACACACCAAGACTACAATGCAACATTCACAGCATTAAAGGTCGGCAGGATCCTGTACCTATCAAGCAAAAGCAAAAAAAAAAAGATGCAAAAACAAAGGGGGGGGGGGTCAGAAACCAAACAGAACTCGTCATGCGTTCACTTTTTTTTTTCCTCGCAACTCACTTTTTGGCTGTCGGAAGGCAACTTGTCAAGGGCAGAGGACAGCAATTGCGCTCGGAAGGACAAAATGTTGGTCTTTTCGATGATATCCTGATGAATGTTCTTGGTGGGGGCGCCCATCACGACGTGGCTGAGTTGCGAGTCAATCTTGGCGTCCATCTTGGCGTTGCGGATGAGGTTGACAATCCATCGCTCGGCATCGTCGGCAGTCATGTTGAGCTTCTCGGCGAGCAGGCCAATGCTAATGACCTCGTGGATGCGGCAGTACGTCTCGAAAATGAGCATGCGTGCGCTCTCGATAAAGTCGTCGAGCAGCGAGCACAGGAAAAAGTCGTTGTTGACCACCTTCTCGCACTCGCGCAGCACAAGCTGTGCAGCGTCAAAGTCGTAGTTGACATAGAGGCACTCGAGCAATTGGGTGATGGGGTCTCGGTACGTGTACGACTCTTGTTGGATGATTCGCACAAGATCCTTCAGCATCGGGCGTCGGCGCTTGTTGGTAATAACAGCGGTGGCGAGGTAGCGCAGCATGTGTGGGCAAGTTGTCTGGATTGCGTTGAGGTAGCTGTTTGGTGGCAGGTGGACACGGAAAAGAATGAGTGAGACGCTTGTGCTGCGAAAACGAACAACGATCAAAAAAGTACACATCCAACATTGCTTACGGTGTTTGGAAGAAGAGGTCGACAATACCGTCACGCCCTCGGGGGTGGTGGAAGAAAATAAACAGAGACCAGTGAATAAGCCACGTTCGTTGTTGGAGCTGGAGCAGTGGTGTTGCGAATGTCTGCACAAGGGCGGGGGAGAGAATCGAGTGAGCAACGAAAGGGTAGCCAAGAGGAATTCAAGAGGAGGCAAAAAGCAAAACAAAAAGCAAAAGAGAAAATGGAAGAAAAAAAAAAGGAGGGAGAAGAGTGGGATCAGCTCTGGTGCCATCACAATCAGCATATGAAACGTTCTAGCGTATTTGTGAAAATGAACGCTTGTTCAGTCTAATATTTGGGATGTGTTGTTCATCAATTCCGACTGTTCTCAGAAAGAGAGAGAGAGAGAGAGGAAGCAAAAAAAAAAAAAAGGAAAAAAACAAACTACCGCGATCATTCCTGCTGAATCCATCAGCCGAATGTACCACAAATGCGAGAAAAAACAGCAGAGAATAGAGACAAGCCGTCGCGCTACTTACCCGTGAGTCGATAATTTCCTTCAGGCGAGTCATCTCCTCAAGAGCAGTCTCCCAGTTGTGCAAAAGAATCTCGCAAGCAAGCTTGCCCCAAAGTGCGCTGAACGTCCGCTCGGTGTCGGTGGACAGCAGATTAAAGTGGTAAAGATAGTCGGCAGCGCCAGTGTAGTTGCCGCAGTCAAACTGGAACTTGGCGTACTCGTATAGCGTGTCCAGCATTTCAGGCTGGAACTGGTGGTGCTGCTGCAAGTACTGCAGGTTGTGTTGCTTGTCCTGGCGGAGCTGCTTGATCACCTCCTCGTTTTGGAAGAGGTTGAGCACGGGCTCGGCGGAGTTGTGCAGCACTTTCAAGCGTGCCACCGTACTTTCGCGCTTCTCGACGAGGTCTGCCGGTGCCTCCTCGGTTTGCTGGATGGTCTTGTAAATGTCGATGGCAAAGTCGACCATATTTGTTGACGAGATCAGATCGAGCTTTCCACGCGCGATTTCCTCGTCGGCGTAGATCTGGCAATGATTGAGAGAGAAAGAGCGAAAGGCATTGTTGCAGCAATATTGCGACATTGGGCAAAAAGCAACGTGGAAAAAGTGAGCGACATGACCTGGGAACTTGGCTCTTTCACCAACGCAGAGATTGAAAAGCATCACAGCATTGAATGGAACGCGAGCACTGCTGTCCGGAGTGAGCAGCAGCCCGTTGAAAAGGCGAGATCACAAGAAAAAAAAAAAAAAGAGGGAAAAAAAAAAGCGCGATCTCGACACTTGTTGCCGACTCTGCTCCGCTGTGGATGCAACGCACCAGCGGCTCTCACTGCTTCATGTTCCACAGACAAATGAACGATGTGCTGCTTCTGTGGCGAACGGGACGCCCACGATTGCTTGCATCGAAAAGCTGAAAACGCAATGGAATAAAAAAAAAAAGTTACAACCGCGTGGCAAAAAAAAAAAAAAAATCAAAGACGTGCTTCCGCGAGTGCCGAGGATGATGCAAGAAGTGGGGGGGGTGGAGGAGAACTCACGCCGCGGGTCTGCAAAAAGTCAAGGAGTGGCAAGACCAAGTGCCGGTCGAGATGCTGGCCGAGGACTGTTGACAGGTCGTAAGCTGCCATTTTGTTAAGAAGAAGTGAATTAAAAAAAAAAAAAAGATAATACAAAAAAGAGACTAGTTTCGATTCGACTGCATTGGGATTGTTAGAAATGGGAACCGCCCTTATCGAGTGGTTGTGTGGTACATGGCCTAAGCCTCCTTTCGTTTTTTTTAATTGGGCATCAATATATCGCGGAAATGTCTCTCACTGCGGAGGTCGCATTGCAAGCCGCGGTAATTGTGATTCTTGTTCAGCCTATCAGAGTGCCTGGGAAGCACTCAGACAATCAAGAGCAAGAATGTACTGCAGCTAATTTTGGTGACGGTGGAAAAAATTACACGGGCACTACAGTACATGTATTGAAGTCTGTGATAGATTGCTGAGAGAGTGGATGACTACGAATAACGTCACGTTCTCAGACGAGCAGAGTGAGCAGTGTGCTGCAGCTTGTACGGCAGATCCTGAACTATCTCAACGCTGCATACAAGCCACAGCCGCTGAAAGAACTGGTCCAAGCAACTACCGCTCCCGAGACAGATCTTCGTGACTCAGTCGAGGAAGTTGTGCAAAAAAAACAAAAAGCAAGCGGGAAGTTTGCGACTTTTGGGCGTCGATCGCTCAAAAAGCAGCCGTTGGTTGTGTGTGATAACTGCGATGATAGCACTTTTTTATTTACGATTCACCAGCTCGCATTTCGATTGTTCGATAGTTCGACGCCTTCCAAAAGCGAGACTTCATGGTTATCGCCATGAGGCTTTCCGAAGCATGGTTCAGGCAAAAGAGAGCACCAGAAACCTCAGAAGATGGGCTCGGGCTCGTTGCTGGCATAGTAGCGCTCATGGCATGCTCGAGATGCGGCCACGAACGGCCCGCAAATGTCGGGGTTGTTCCAGTTGTGTCCCTTCAGCCAAACCAGCGGAATAAACACAAGCTTTTGCCAGAGGGCCTCAGGCCAGTCGCTGAACGCCTCTTGCCAGTCACTGCCAGTGAACATCTCGCCAGCGACATCGACAAATCGGACAGACTCATTCTCGACGATCTTACGCAGCTCGGCAATCATAGCGCGGTCGGGTGTGCCGTAGCCAAACCGATTGCGACGCAACTTGACTGCACGGCACAATGGTAGCAATTGAACAGCCGCGGCGGCGTAAGCCATGTCTGGATTCCGGAGCTCATTGTCAGAGAGGATAAGCGTGGTGACAGCATAGGCCGACCTGGCGTCTGGGAGCAGTTTTTGAATGTAGCACTCTAGTTCTTTTGCCGAAATAGAGCCTGGACGAAGTGGCAGTTCAGATGACGAAACTCGCCCGGAGATGTCGAGACAGTTGCCAACAACTGCAACGTCTTGCGTCGACTTGCTCGATGGTTCTTCAAAGCGGGCATAGATGAGATCGAGCATCAGCTCACACACAACATGGCGCATATTGTGTGAAGTGACGTCGCACAACTCAAAAAGAATGTTGAACAGGGCTGATCGCGGGATTTGCATCGCTCCAACCACTGGCCAACTGCCTGGGGGCGAGTTCGCCTCCAACTTGAGAACGGTTCCAATGACAGGATTGCTGGTTGCAAGGTCGTAAAGTGTCGGCATGGAGGAAAGAGTGATGGAGGAAAGAGTGATCTTTTCTTGTTTTGGGGATCTCTTTCAGTTTTCAAATCATGAGTTTTTTTTCTCTTGATCGGACTTCATCGACAGTCCCTGCCTCGGCATCGACTTCCACAGTGCCTTGCTGGAGAACTATCGATCCGTCCCGTTTGACATCGGCTACATCGTTTTGGGATTCTTACATCAGCTTTTACTGGTTGATGACTGCTGTGGGAGACGAGAAAATTTCTTCTCATTTTCAAGACTTCAGACAAGACCTCATCCTCCTCCTTCGGCAATGGAACGCCCTTTCCAGGGCCAACGCCACGGTTTTACCATCTTTACCGGTCTTTGAGAAGGCTCTTGGTCGAATCAGCAAGGCCGCAACAGCCGACAAAGCGCTGACTGCCTTTGGCTGCGTCAGCGATGACTTGGAAACAGTCCTTAAAACAATCCATGATCTGACCCAACACACTTCAGGACAAGCACGCGGTGACCTCGCCGAACGTCACAATGCTCTGATGCGTTTTCAGAAGCATGTTGAACGCACCAAGAGTGACTTCGACAAACTGATCAGCACCTCGAGCAACGAGAACATTCTGTCGGACTCGTTGGAGAATACCAATCTCATGAAAGGTGGAAACATTGCATCGCTTCATCTCTTTTGTCATGAGGATGCTCTTGTGTACGAGTTCTTCGACGACGCTCAGCTTCAAAAATCCAGCAAGTCGACTAAAAATGAAGCTCAACGCAAGGTTGCTTTTGTGCGCGGGACAATGGAGGTCGACAAATGGTTGTTCCAACAGCCACCAACCAATCGCTTTGATGCAGCATTTCTACTTTCCACGCTCCGGAGTGTTCACCCCTTTCCTGTAAGCCCCGACCGGATTTGTCAAACGGAACCCTTGGCAGCCCGTTATAAAGAGCTTATTGAATGCCTTTATCGAGCCATCCCGTTTCAAACCGACAACTCGACTGCGCGAAAGCCTTCCGCAGCCACCGCCAACCTCGTGTCAACGAGCACCGCTGCTTCGAGCACTCCTTCTGTCAATGTTTTAAGCTCTAATGTTGATGCTTCGAGCACTGCCGTCAAATCGACCACTTCTGCTTCCAACGCATCGAGCTCGGCTGTGAAATCGACCTCGCCAGCCTTCAATGCGTCGAGCACTGCTGAGAAATCGACCACTCCCAGATTGTCCAGTGCGACTGCAACAGGCGTCCGCTCGTCTCCGACACTCACAGGCCTCGTCGACGCCGAGATGGTCGCATTGTCGCATCTTGCACAGCAGATCGACGCTGTTCCGTGGGATGATCGCGCTTCCAAACGCTTTTCCCTCGTTTTTTTTTTCAATGCTGGATGTGTGCGATCATTGTACTCTTCTGCTTTGGCGAGCACGAATTGCCGCTGTACTCCACATCCCCAGGCTTGAAATTGTTGCGGTTGCGTGGGGTCGCTACCCTAAATTGAACACTTTGTGACGACCCTGAAAACAACCCAGATGACGAGCCACTGTGGAAAGAACTTGTCGATGCAAGAAGAGCAGTTTGATTCTGGCTTTCCGTTTTCCTCGTTTCTCTGGTCATTTCTAGCACAACATAGAGTGATCCTCTCGCACCAATGCCATCCTCACTTCGTGGGACAGCAAAGCTTTCGAGGATCACTCTCATTGAATTAAAAAGCTTTCAAAACCCAATCAAAACGAACTGATTTCAAGTGATTTTCTTTGCACCCTTTTCCTTTGACTCTATCCCACAATGCACTGTTTAGACTGATGTTGAAGCACAAAACCCTTCGGGGTTCTGTGCTTGCGAAAATCACAAAATTCAAACAACTCTCCACTGATATTTCATACTCGCTCCAAAAGACCCCAATCCAAAAGCGATTTAAATTCGATTGTTTGATCATTCAAAGAACAGTGTGTGGAGGGGTAGACGAGCGCTTGGTTGGACGGGTGGTGCTGCTGTTTTCAATCCAACAAAAGCTTGGCAATCCAAAATGGGAAAAAACGCCAGTCTCTTTTTCTTTTTGTAAGTTTTTTATGCAATTTCATCTTTATCTTCTCGATCTTCTTCTTCTTCTTCTTCTTCGTCCTCCTGCTCCCTTTTTTTTTCCTTTTGTGACTGGATCACCAAGTGATTATTATAAGCCAATACTCCGATCTTCAGCTTCCAGCATGCTGGGGGCCGATGCATATGCGGATTCTTATCTTACTATTCATACTGTCTGATGGCAAATCCAGTTTCCCCCTTTTTTTTCTTTCTTTCGTCGTTCGTCTCTCATCCTTCCTTTGACCTTCCTTCTGTTCGCTGTTCTGCATTGTTTCCTCTCCCGCCTTTGCTCTTTGCCTGTCTTCACTGCTATATCTCACTTGCTTCCGTCCATGCTGCATTGACCGCGTTGTCAGCTTTTTTTTTTTTAATCGAAACAGAATGCTCTAACCGAGTTTGCCTTCCTCTCGCTTGCCGCTTGGCGATCTTGACGCCGCTACCACTGCTGCAGCATAACCATGTGCGCTGCACTATCACGAATCCAAGAGCGATGCAGCGCCAGTCGACCGAATGGTAGGGATCGTTTTTTTTTTTTTTTTATCCTTCGCCATGTGCTCGACCATGTGCTTTTGGCAAAGCTCTTTTTATTTTTATTTTTTTTTTATTTTTTTATTTTTTTATTTTTTATTTTTTTATTTTTTTTATTTTTTATTTTTTATTTTTTTTATTTATTATTTTCTTTGCCCTCTTCCTTGTCGTCTTTCACAATGATGAAAAATGTTGAACTAAATTATCTGGAATTACCGTACGAGTGTCACCAAAAATGGGGTCACGTTGAGTACAAGTGCAACTCTGATCACTGCTTCTCTTTTATCGCTCTCTTTTCGCGTTCTCTCTCTGACACTCTTGGTTCTGTCGCGCTCACTTTTGCATCTTTTTGTGTTAAACTTGTAGACATTCCGTCGACGGGGCTGTTTGGCCAGCACCATGGACTGAGATGACCCGGACAAGACTTTTCAGGTGTGAGTTGACTTTCGTTGCTTTCCTCCTGCCTCCGCCTATCGTCGCTTGGTTGGGAGCATTCGGTGACGTTAGTGACAGCCTCAGCGTACAATGGGGCCCTGCTACGGCCAATCCCTTGTTGAGGCCAAGCGCCTTTTTTTTTTGTTTCGTTTTCATCTTTTTCATGATGACTCTCACGCAAGTCATACGTGGAGAAAGCAGAGATCTGAACGTGCTTCGGCACTAGTAAATCGAACCTTCTCTGTGGACTCCACCGGTATGAGTGACAATTTGCGACTGTCGGTCGCGGGCTGACTTTTGTTCTTTTTCGTCTCTCTCCCTCTCGAGCTCTTTTTCTTTGACTTTCTTCATTGGTTTCTGCACACTCTCCTTATTGTTTTGTTGGTGTTGAATCACTGTGTCTCACTTGTCCTCTTTTCTCTGTTTCTTATTGTAGATGATCCAGCTCGTAAGTTACATGTTGAGAGGTTGCGATGAGTGTATTCCCTTCAAACAAAAACAATACAACTATTCATTACAATAGCGCTCTGTTTCATACAATCAGGTGGTTCTGTTCTCGATGCCAAGAACTTTTGGTTGTCGGTTTTCAGTTTCATCCGTCAACAACCCATTGTTATAACTGTGATTTCTCGCCATGCAGTATACTGTGCATTACCTAGTATGCTTCAACAGTCTTATTCCCCCCCCCCTTGTATTTCACAATGCCATCCATCGTGTGGTCTGAGCCGACTTTTCTGCTCGCTGCCGCGTCCATTGTTTTCAACCCCGTCGCGTGGAACATTGTGCGTAGTGTGTCCCCTTTGTTGTGGTCGGTGTTGTAGCTGCTCCTCTTGGATGCACGCATCATCTTCAGTCGCCTGCTGGTGATCCCGTTCCGTGAGCGTGCTTTGGCGCTAAAACGGCTTATGAGCGGCACTACTCGTTTTCGGGCCTCGCAGCTGCTCTTGTTCGGATGTGAACTGTCAATCCTCTCTGACTTGTTGCTGCCCTTGTCTTTGGTTGCTGTGTGGCCGTCCCCAGGTCGCTCGGCGCGAGTACAAGACGCGCTTCCTGACCAGAGCACTGGGCGGAAAGTACAACGCGTGCTACTTGTTGGCCTTCTCGATCTTCACCCTGGGCTTGCTGCGCGACTATCTGTACGATTCCGTAGCAAAACGTGTTGAATGCTTGGATGATTGACAGAGTAGAAGCAGTGTTCTGTGATGCTCACACCAGAATGCTGCATTTGCTCAGCTTTGCAATTGCGATGGAGGCTCAGTCGACCTCGGAGCTGCTCAACAACGCTCTGGTTCACGCAATCGGTGCCATTCTGGCGGGTGCTGGCGTTGTCTTTGTCCTCTCGTCCATGTGGATGCTTGGTGTCACCGGCACGTATCTCGGTACGGCCACTTCGACGCGTCTTTTTCCGTGATCTTGTCATGCTGCGTGCGCGCTACCCCACCCCCGCGCTGGACGCTCACTTGATGGGGCATTCCTTGAATGATCTCTCTTTGATTTGATCTGCTTTTGAAACGCAGGTGACTACTGCGATATTTTCCTGGACGCTCGAGTCACCGGTTTCCCGTTCAGCATCATTGAAAATCCCATGTACTGGGGCTCGACCATGAACTTTGTCGGCGTCGCGCTCTGGTACGCCATGAAACATTCCACCGCTTGCATTCAACCGTCGCGTTTGCTGCATGCGGAATTTCTCCCCTAACTTGCGCTTTTTTTGTCGTGCTTGTTTTCTGCAAAATCACAGGAATAGCAGCCCTGCTGGCCTCGTGCTCTCTTTCATTGTTGGCGTTGTGTACAAGATTGCTCTGCAGTATGAAGGGTGAGCCGAACATGCTGCATTCTAGCCGCTGGTGTTTTTTTTTTCGGCATTTTGTTTGGCACTTTGGAGTTTGTTGGAGATTCCCCACCACTCGTGTTGCTCACTTGATCTTGCGGACTTGATTCACCTCATCTACAGTCCTTTCACCAACGAGATCTATCGCCAGCGCGCCATCCACAAGAAGCTGTTGGATCACGAGAAGCGATCGCGCTAAAAAAAGAAGCACGCAACACATTCTGCTCCCTCCCTCCCTCCCTCCCTCCTGACAGTGACCAAAGTTCTTCGCTGCTGTCTGGTTGAATCGCTTCATATGGCATTTGAAATACACATTTGACGTCGTTTGGACTCTTTTGTACTGTACTTTGCGAAAACGGTGCAACGTTTCTGGTTTTCCACCCAACACTGAAGTCGAGCACTTTTCCTCGCCTTCCATCTCACCATTTTGATTTTGATGCGTTCATTTTGCAAACAACCGTGTCTTCAATCCATGACATGTCCAGTTCTCGTTTCTTCATTTTCCAAATACTCATGCTCAGCCGTGCGCCTGCTCGCAAACCTGCTGCTGCTGCCAGCCAACGAAAGCCTGTTGCTGCGACCAGCGCTGCTGCCCGTCGCGCTGCCGCTGCCGCCGCTGCTGCTGCCCAAAACAGCAACGTCGACTCGGACGACGAGAGCACGGACGAGTCGGACGAGGACGACGATCTCGAGGACGGAGTCATCCACGAGGAGGAAGAGCTCGCCCAGGCGTTCAAGGCCGGCCTGCTCCGTGCCGACGCCGCCGTGCCGCAGCGCCCCAAGATCAACAACGAAGTAAAAACAAAGCAACTTGTCAACTGCGAGCGTCAAAGTGGATGGAGGAGTGGCGAGAGCAGGATGATGACTGCTTCAGTTGCAGAGGGGCGATTCCACATGGCGTCCAATCCACACTCCAATGCCAAGCCGACTGCGCAATCTCCATCAGTCACACCGTGTGTGTGTGTGTGTGCGGGGGTGGGGGTGTCCAATTGGGGTGAAACTGTGAAAATGTTGAACCGGCGCTGACGAGACAAAACGCGTGTGTGCTTGTGCTTTGGATGCAGGAACGACTTCGCGAACGATTGGGCGACATTGCACAGCAAGTCGATGCGAGCTTCCCGTGGGCAGAGCGCCTTGACTTGGTGTCCACTGTCCCGATTGTGCTGGACGATGCCCAAGACGATTTCAAACGCGAGATGAGCTTGTAAGATCGGAGGGGCTGAGGCCAAAAACACATGCTATTCGCTCAGCATCGTTCATCCATTGCATGCCATGCTCACCCGCCATATCGTTGCTTGCTCTTGCAACTCTTTTTTTGTCAACAGCTACAACCAAGCGTTGGAGGCAGTCAAGCTCGCCCGGCCGCGACTTGCAGCAGCCAACATCAAGTTTACACGCCCAGACGACTATTTTGCGGAAATGGTCAAGACAGACGATCACATGCGCAAGGTGCGCGAGGCGCTTCTCAGCGAGCACCAAGCAGTTGAGCGCTCCGAGCAGGCAAAGAAGTCTCGGCAGATGAAGCAGTTTGGCAAGAAGGTGCAACAGCAAGTTCTTGAGGATCGGCAAAAGCAAAAGACCTCAGACTTGGAGGCAATCAAGAAGTTTAAGAAGGGTAACGATTGCTGCTCGGTTTTTGTTTTGCTTCATGTGTTTTTTTGTTGGGAGTATTGACGAATGGATGGTTTTGATCTGATTTTCTCCTTGTCCTGAAAAACAGACCGATCTGCCAAGCCCGATTTCTTGGACGATGGCGACGACCAATTCAACATTGGTGTGGACAAGGAGGAGTCCCACTCGCAAAAGACGTATGTTTCGATTGACAGTGTGATGAGGTCGCATCTGGGTTTTTTTTTTTTTTTTTTTTTTTTGTTTGTTTGTCTTTTTTGCAGCACCCTTGGCTCAATTTTCTCTTCCTTCCCCCCCCCCTTTTTTTTTCGTCCCACTCCCCATCGATGATGGATTCGCAACGAGACAGAAACTCCAAGCGCTCGTACAAGAACGACAAATATGGCAACGGTGGCAAGAAGCGAGGGTCCAAGCGTAACACTCGCGACTCTGCGTCGGACGATTCATCCTTCAACTTTGCTCGTAACAAGGCTCTGCCTAAGGGCTTCAAATCTGCTGGCGTTGCCAAGAAGTTTGGCGGCGGTGCTGGTGGCAAATCCAAGGCGCCGCGACCAGGCAAATCCCGTCGCCGCTCGGCCAAGTCCCGTCAGTAATTGCACTCTGCCACCCGCCATCAGGTTGAAAATCGGATTGCTTTTTTTGTTTCTTTGTGTTCGGCGATCAACTGAACGATGCAGAGGCCAATTTTTATTGATAAAAATACACTGTTACAAAACAAAGTGTGCTTTGTCGGCGAAAATACTGCACGAGTATGTGTTTGTCTAGTCACCCTTCGCACTTCCAGTCGCCATCGAAGCCTTGCACACCGCCTGGACTGCACGAATGGCCGCCGCTCGCGCACGCCTGGTCTGGTTTCCGTCCTGCTGTCGCTTTTCATCGGCGTCCTCCGCTGCCATTCCGCTACCCGCCACCACCGGAGGTCCAGCGACTGAGGGTTGCTGCTGCATGGCATTCAGTAGCTGATTGGCAAAAGAAGAGGCAAATAGCAAGCGCAAGAGTCGAGAAAAGACAGCAAGGAGTGAGTGACATGAAAACTTCTTGTTTTCGTTGTTGCACAAATCTCTCTCTCTCTCTCTCTCTTGATACCCTCTCCCTTGAGACCATGCATGAACGACAACACATACCGATGTATTCAACTGGTCAAACGCCTGGTAGAGCCACGGTGCTGCCGAGCGAGAGAGCAAATCTGTGGCAAACTCGGCAGCAGCCACCTGCTCGGCATAGCTCCCGATTGTTTGGTAGTAGGCATCGTGAAGTTTGCGCGGCAGACGAGCGGCGTTCGCGAGTCCGGCTGTTAGCCATCCCAGCACTTGCGTGTTCGCAACGAGAGAAGCAGTCTCGTCCGACGCGGCTCTGTGAGCGGCGCACCACACTGCAAGATGCCAAATGGCAACGTTGCCGGCGACTTGAATGGCAGCAACAAGGCGGCCGGCGTGCTGCGGGGCGTCGGCATCGCTCTGTTCGGGTGCTGCGTGCCACAACGTGGCCAACACGCGCGCGGTGTGGTTGGCAAACAAGGCAGGCGCCATCGCGTCAAAGGCAACCGCCTCTTCGCACAGAGAACGACTCTGGGACACACACAGCGCCATCATTGTGTCGAGGCTGTGCTGCCAGGAGGGTCGCAACAGCAGCCAATCGGGGTTGGAGGCGTCGCCTTGAGAGTGGGCGAGCGCTGCAAATTGGAGGAGGTTTCGCCACGCAAACGTCGCTTGGAGACGGGCGGTGAGCTGCGTAAACGGGGCACCGCGCTCCGTGTGATCCACGAGGAATCGAACGATCGTCAACGTGTCATTCAATGCATGAAGATCGTTGCGCGTGGCTGGCGTGGGACTTTGCAGGACGCTCACCGTATGCTCGAATTGCGCCGCGCAAGAGGGCAGCACGCAGTCCAACCCACTCAACAGCGAGTTGGTAATGGCTCGGCGCAGCTGTTTCGTCTGCTTTTGCAAGACGGCGCGCTGCTCTTGTTTCTCGTCGTGCTGTTGTGACTGCTCGGCGCCTTCGTTCGCTTCGGTGGCCATTTTCGAGGCATGGCTCAAATCTCGTTGCAACGAGCTGATTCCGACCGTGTGAGCTGCGCACAAACTGCCGCAGAGTTCGAGGCGGTGCACGCGCTCGTTGGCTGCTTCGGCCGCCGATGTGAGAGTGATGTTGCCCGCGGAGACGAGCTTGACCACAGCCGAAGACAGGTAGGCGGCACTCTGAATAAAGTCTGCAACACGCTCGAGTACGGCGGAATGCGTGGTGGCTGGATCGAGTGACAAGGCAAATGTTATGTACGTTGAGAGCAGCTCGCGAATCACGTTCGAGAGCAACGGCGCTAGGGAAGATTGCATCACGGCAATAATAGGTGTGTCGGACGTGGAAGGTGCAGGTGAAGAAATCGAAGAAGGCTGTGAGGGAAGTGCTCGAATCATCTCCAGGCTTTGCAGGAGCGGTTGGATTGTGTCGAACAGCGAGAGCTGGCCAGTCAGCAAAGCAGGAGCCAAACACGCCGGAGAAATTGCATCCAACAGGCCCATTATTGAAGAAAGACAGTGTTGCCACGGTTGTTGATGGCTTGCAGCACCTTGGGAAAGAGCGCCGAAAAGCGGCGTGCTGGTGGTGTTGGGTGAATCGTCCATGGACTCCCACTCAAAGTCGTCGTCATCTTCTGCCGCGGCATCAATGTCGACAAACTCGGGCTGTTGCAAGGCTGCATCTAGATGATTGAACAAAGCAACACGTTCAGAGCTCCATTTTTTGAATCTCAACCCCAAAGCCAACGTTGTCAATGTGCTGTGTGCGCAACCTACCACCAGAATCACTCGGCAAATCGTCTTGTAATGCTGAATCCTCCGAGCCTGGGGCATTTTCGTGAAGCCCGCCATGCTTTAGCAGCGGTAGAAACTCGGCATGCCCGATTGTTGTATGAGCTGGCGAAACAAAGTTGACAAAGTTGGCATTCAGCGTCGAGCATGTTTGCTCGATTGCATCAGAACGCAATGCTAGTGCGTCGACGAGTTTGGCGCTCAGCTTGACCAGCACGGCGTGGCAGGTCAGCGCAAACTGAGTACTGAGCGGCGTTGGCTGAGTTGGCGAACTCGATCTGCGCGAAGAGTTGTCAGAATTGCTGGCTGCCGGTTGGCTCGCAGGCGGCGCACTCCCAGAGCCCTCCGATTCGGTGACCTTCTTGGCAAACTGAAGACCCTCCGAGGTGTTCCCGGCATGGTGCGTGGACCCGGACGCGACCCGATGCGTTGCTCCATGGACCAGCCCTGCGACCATGCGTGCGGTGAGCCATCCGCTCCCAACGGCGATGCCAGTCGATGCAGACGGCGTGAGTGGCTTGTACTGCAGCAAGAAGCGTCGGAACAGCTGCAGATCGGCCTCCGACACGAGCGGGTAGTGGAAATCGAGCTCGGCAAGCACGGCCGGAAGCGCGCGCCGATCCTCCTCCGTCATCGTCTGCTGCTGCTGCTGGCTCAGACCCAGTCCCGGCAGCATGGCCACGAGCTTGGTGCCAGACTTGCCGGCAGATCCAGCAGATCCAGTGGGTCCCGCGGCGGTCGTCACTTCAGTGGTCTGCTGTTGAAGAGCAGCGCGGATTTGCGCGCGAAACTCGGCTTCGTCCATTTTGTGTTTGCTCTGAGCGGCTGCGAATGAAGGAGTGGCACAAAGCGAAAACAAAACAAAAAATGCATTCATGTACAAAACACAGAAAAAAACCAACTTATTCAGGTACCAATACAAAAATCAAAAATCAAAACTCAAACAGCAAGAAATCAAAAAAGTTATTCAACAGTCGTAATACAATCTGCAAATGTTTGTGTGTGTGTGTGTGCGTTCAAAATTCGTCTGAGAGTGCTTCGGCCAAGCGCTTGGACTTGGCAATACGAGTGACTCGTCTTGGTTGCGTTTGGGGAGTAGAGGCTTGGATGTCACTCTGGCCGTCGCCAGATGCTTGCCGACCAATGTCGGTCCGCCTTGCAGCCCTCGCAGCGTTCTGCTCCAATTGAGCGCGTCGCTCTTCAGCATGGAGCTGGGCTTCGTAGGTGTTGATTTTGTCCTGCCAGAACGCAGCTTTTGCAAGACTTGGCGTTGTCCCCTGAGCGCAACAACAACCCCAAAACCACAACGTGAGCACACATTCTGCGAACAAAAAAAAAACCAACAAGTATTCTCCATCATTCAAACTCACCATTCCTCGCTGGTAGAATGCCACAAGAATTGGATAGGCCTGCGGATTGCCAGACTCGCCGGATTTCTTGTAATAGTCCAAAGCAAGCGCAAGGTCGGATGGGATGGGGCGGTGCGGCACGACTGGGGGGCGGTTGTTTCGCTGAGCGAGGAAGCGCGCTCGATCCTGCTCACTCAGCCCCTGCAGCTGGTCGTCGGATGGAGGTGGTGGGTTGAAAATCGCCTCGCTTCCGTAGTGATGGAGGGTGGCCAGCTCGAGCAGTGCGTCCGTCACGTTCAGCTCGACAGCAGCATGCAGGTAATCGAGGTACTTTTGCGGGTTGCGGCGAACCACCTTGTCCTGCTCGGCAACGGGCGGAGATATGGCAAGGGGAAGCGCTGACAGGCCTCGCGGCAGGCGCTCTGACGATGCAGCTGACGTGAGGGATGCTGGAGCCGGAGTGCGGTAGACGAGTTCGTACACGTCGCGCTCGAAAATTCGCTTCAATTCGCCAGTGTCGGGCTTCTTGATGGGAATACCGGACGGCTGCCGGAACTCGGCTCGTGGGCGGAATGGTTGCATTGCACGGATGCCGTTCTTGTGCAGCGACACGAGCTCGCTCACCGCTGGAGGATAGTTGGTGCGTGCAGCCAGCTCCAGCAACTCCAGTGCCCGCGTGGCATTGCGCTCAAGCACAGACAGCACCGCCGAGGCGGGCCGGATGTGTTGCATGGCGAGCGCATGCTGCGCAAACGGCAGGCCACCGTCGGCATCGCCATCCAGCTCGTCTGCCGCAAATTGGAGCCAGGCTAATCCACGGGACATGTCGTCCAAGCCCGTGTTGCCTATCTTTTCCTCAATCTCCTTCTCCATGGCGAGGGTTGGACGAAACTGCGGTGGAGGCGCGGCCTCGTTGTCATCTGCGTTGTCGTCGCCATCGCGTTGGTAGGCGGTGAGATGGCGGTCCATCTGCTCTTGCATCACCTGATGTGCTGCGTTTGTTCGCTCTCGAGTTCCACGCTCAATGAGCAACAGCCCACCTTGAGCTTGCGCCATGGGCACGCCGTCGAGCGCGGCCATCATAAACCACTTGAGCGCTTCCGTGCTGTTCGCAACGCCTACACCGCAAGAGCCAGCGAGGTAGCACATGCCCAGGTTGGTTCGCGCCTCCCGCAGGCCGATCTCGGCCGCCTCCCGGTACCAGCGCACGCCTTCCTCCTCGTTCTTGGACACGGCCACCCCATTCATGTAGCACCAGCCGAGGTCGTTCATGGCCACGGCCAGCCCTTGGTGCGCCGCCTCCGTGTACAGCTCGACAGCGCGCACTCGATCACGGCGCGTGCCATGCCCAAGAAAGTACATGAGGCCCAAGTTGTAGGTGACCAAGTCGCGAGTGTCGTCCTGAACGGCCTCGTCGAGGTCTTTGTACCTTTTGAGCATATCGAGAAAGTCCTTCCGCTCCTCGGAATCGGATGCAAACCCGCCGAGTGGATCTGCCGGGTCGGGCTCTGGTCTCGGAGCGAGCTGGGCTGAGCGATGGTGGACATTCCGCTCAAACTGGTAGCGCTTTGTCTTGCTGGTTGTTTGGAATGGATTGACGGGCTTTTTGACATCGCTGCTGCTGCTGCTGCTGCCGCGTCGCCCCGAGGATGCCTTGTCGTGCTTGGTGCCAGAGGATGCTGTCGCTGGTTGCTCCTGGTCCTCGTCTTGAACGAGACCATCCACTACTTGCTCGTCGACGTGCTTGAAGTGCTCGATGGACGCCTCGTAGGCATCCTCGTCAAGCGCCTTCTTCTTCTTCTTCTTCGGCTTCTTGCTGCTGTTCTCGTCGGTTTGGCCTGCAGCAGCAGCAGCTGCCGCCTCCTTGGCTGCGCGCTCGGCGGCAAAGTATGCCTCCGTGCCGTACAGCGGTGGCGGGTCTTTGAGCAGCGCTGGGTCGGGCAGTGGCATCCGAGCAGCCCACTCCTCGGCCGACACGCGCATCACTGGCGGCGGCAGTCGGCCGTGCACATCACGCAGGACGATCTTGGGCTGGCCCTGGTGGGACGAGGGCGAGGATCGGGCGCCGCTGGAGGCTTCGTCTGCGAACGCCAGTCCCACTACCGCCGCCATCAGCATCGCCGCCACCGCCACTGCCACCGCCACTGCCAGCGCGAGGGTGCTTCGCAGTCGCCGCGGCGGTTGCACAGACGGCTTCAGTCCCAGTCGGACGGCGGCCATGGCTGAACGAGCGAACGTCGAACTTGACAAACGAATTGGCTCAAAAGGTCAAATGCAGGGTGCAAAGTTCAAATCTAACAACAAACCAGGATGGCAGAGAATGTTGGAGTGTGATCTCGAGTGTAGAGCGATATATCGGACTGGAAGTATCTCCTGCAAGTGGGAGGAGGGGGGCGAACCATCAGAAACCAGCAAAGGGCGGCTGGGATCCAAGTTGTAGTCCACTTCCTCCAGTGAACATGTTGCTGTTGCATTTGTCTTTGAAACACACACCATGAGATTCCGACTGTTGAGCCTGAGCCTTGTGTGTGTGTGTGGTTCAGTCTCGCTTTTTTTTCTCATCGTCGCTCAGAATCCCCTGCACAAATGTCGGCAGTCAAGGCGACTCCAAAGACCATCGCCCAGGTGGGATACAAAAACTCTAGTTGAATCAAGACCGGCCTCACTGTTCGGATGTGGTGGCTCAGGGGATGCAGGCTTGAATGGAGATTCAATGCAATGGAGATTCAATGCAACTCACTGCTCTACCCCCTTTCCCCCCTTTCCATCGCGGTTGCCCGCCCGCACGAGCAGCTTCAGTCGGACATTGAGCGAGTGCGCCTCGCTGGCCATTGGACGGCCATTCCCGAGCTGGTCGAGCGCCACGAGCGAACGCTTCCAAACGATGTTGGTCAGTATCAAACAATGGGCGACAGCTACTCTCTCGCTCTCTCGCTCTCCCTCAGTCTGGCAGCACAGGCAGCATGGGTTGCGTTTGGTGGACCCGTGGTTGTGCGGGCGGTCGGGTGATTGGGACGGCAGCGTCAGGACTTGCATTCGAAATGGACTTTCTGCGAGATCTCATCCTCCCAAGCATGAGCCCCGTCCACCCCCGTTTTCAACAGCGGAGGAGTCATCTTGTGGATGTACAGACATGATGGAGAAGAGTTCAGGGAAAGCGGGGGGGGGAGAGAAAAAAACTCAACCAAACACACTCAATACAAGCCAGATTGCAGATTCGCATTCACCTGCACCTGCACTCGACGGTACTCTTTCCTCACTGAATCTCCCACATTTGTTGGCCCGTCGACTTGTTGGTTGCCCACTGGATTTGTTGATAGAGCCGCGCGAACTGCTCATCGGCGAGCGATTCTTGGTGCAACACCGCCAGGCCTTCTTCCAGAATCTGCTGGCCGCGCACGGCTCTGTGGTGAGCTGGGCAACGTCTGGACTCACTCCCGGCATGCAACTCACAACCGCTGGAAGTGGTGCCGACGCGGCTGCGGCTGCCACGCCGAAGGCATCGGTGCTCAGCTCGTCCTACTCTCCGCTGCGTGCCAGCCTCGCCGAGGCAATTCCGCATCTGGAACGCGCCGCGTCGCAGCAACGGAAGGAAGATAGCTCAGTTATGGTAGAGGCGCAACTTGTGCTTGCCCAGGTGTATTACAGCCTTGGCGATTCGACGAGCTGTGAGCGCGTCTTTGGTCGGTTGGACTTGGAAGAGATTTTCAGCGATCTGGATGCACTCAACCGGAGAACCGCCATGCTGGGTGCCGAAGCACTCGTTTGTCGAGGTCTCGTGAAAGAGCGCCTTGCCAGCGCCGGCACTGCGTCGCCCGCAGAAGCGGCAGAATTGCAGCGCGAGGCGCTCAAGTACTTTAATCGCGCCGTGCTGATTGCCACCAAAAAGTTCCCCGCATCGCCAGGCAACATTGGATTTGAGGGTGTCATGACCACCGCGCTCTTCCGCGTCCCGGCACTCTATCTCGAGGCGGACAACGTCTCCAAGTGCATCGAGACGCTGCGTCGCATCATTCGGTTACCCTTGGTCTCGCAGACGTCCACGCGCCAGCTGGCCATGCGCCGGTTGTCGGACGTGCTGCTCTACACGACCTGTGAAACAACCTACACGCGGGCTCAAACGCTGGCCACTAACGCTAGCCTCGCCCCGGCAACAACCGGCAAGGGCCACTCGCGGTCGCTGTCGACCGGCAACCGATCCATCTCGCAAGACTCCACTGCTGTTCCCGGAGACGAAGTGGAGGATGCCCTGTTGCTGCTACTGCTAGAAGAAGTCGCCTTGCAGCAAGCCATCGAGGTGGCCAGCGCGACCGCCGCCGCCGCTGCCGAAGCCGAGGACGCGAGAAAAAAGGCCGAAGCCGCCGCAGCTGCATTGGCTGCCAGCAACCAAGCCATTGCCGCCGCGTCGGATGCCAACGGTGGCAGCAGCAACCGCAGCAGCTCGAGTCAGACTGCTCCCGCGACGCCAAACTCAAAGGACGCCAAAGGCAAAGGCAAGCAGTCGACAAAGGCCAACCGCAAGTCGGCATCCGTAGCTCCAGAGCAACTCCCAATGCAGCCCCTCGGCACACAGCCTCCATCTGCCACCTCGTCGGCGATTGGAGCTCCATCGTCCGAGGCTCCTGCCAGCTCTTCTGCAACGGTGCCCCAAGCGTCAGAATCCACCACGGCCACCACGGATGCATCATCGGCGGCTGGCGTTGCTGCAGCCTCGGCCACTGGCGCAACATCCTCGTCCACGACAGAATTTCCGCTCGAAAACAGGGGCTCGTCTCTGGAATCGATTCCCATGCTCACAGTCACTGCAACGAACGGCGAGACAGACATGGCTCACCAGCCAACTCTGCTCGAGGTCGCCGAGGTGAAGGCCGGCGACGCTACCACAGTCTCGACCACGGGACCTGTCGACCACCACCAGCACGTGTCGGTGGTTGCACACCAGCTCGAGCCTCCAAAGCATACGGCGTTGACGCGGTTGGACCATCCAATGCTCCCCAAGCTGTACGAGGCCATTGTTTCGGTCTACGACCGCATTGCCATCTTGTGTTCGCGTCGAAAGCTGTTTGGCGTCCTGGTGGGCATCTACGAGCGCTCGCTCAAGTTCTCCTACCGCAATTCGCACCTGTGGTTGCAGTTTGCACTTGTCTTGTTATCTGCCGGCCACTACCGACGGGCTTCTCACGTGCTCTGTGAGGCCTGCCAGCTCCATCCGGGCGCCGATGCCTCGCACATGCACCGTACCCCCGCTGATGTGGTTCCGCTGTTGCTGGGCGCATCGGTGTGCTTTAACAGTCTGGACGACACCACGACAGCGCTGGAATTTGCCTTTGCCGCCTCCTCCGTTGTCACTCGCAAACAACAGCCGCTGGATGTCAAGACCTACCAAGTGATTGGTCTGTCGTACCGTGCCAAAGCCAGTCACGGTATGAAACTTGAGTTGTTGGGTTTCGGTCGTTGAAGGGTTTTTGTTGTTTTTTGGTTTTGTGTATTGGTTTGCTGACTTGTATTTTTGTTTTCCTATTTTCTCAATTCTCGTTTTCCCCGCCCCCACCAACCAGCTCGTTTTGCTGCAGACAGGAAGGGGTTTCAAACTGCAGCACTGCAAGCCTTGCACAAGGCGCATTTGCTCGACAAAGGCGATGCGAACATTGCACGGCATTTGGCTCTCGCCTACGCAGACATTCGCGAGATGCCGCTTGCCATTCGTTACTGCCAACTGGCCATCCAGCTCAATCCGGGCGATCACGACGCGCTGCATCTCATGGCGCTGATTCTGTCGTCGCAGCGCGAGTACGGCAAGGCCATTCAGATCTGCGACGCAGTGCTCGCCACCCAGCCCGCTGCCTTTGCCGTGTTGTTAACAAAGGCCTCGCTCCAGCTGGAGCACTTGGGCGCCCTTGTCGCCCTCGACACGTACGCGCACATGCTCAAGCAATGGCGCGATCTTTACCTGACTTTGGTGACGAGCGGGACCAGCGGCGCACTGCCCCGATCTTCTTCACGACTGCTCCACAAGCTCGTGGCGGATGGTCGCTCCACTGTGCACAAGCTTGGTGGCCTGTCTGCCACCGACCAGGACGGCGAGGCGAGCACCGCCCAAGGCGCCGCCTCCAGCAGTGCTGGTGGCAACGAAGCGGCGTCCAGTCGTGCCGGGGACGACGGTAGCACTGTCGGCGGTGCCAACAGTGTCAACACTGCCGCTGCTCTCCACCAAGGCTGGCTCATCTTGATCTGGGTGCACATTGCCAAGACATTTATCACTCTGGAAAAGTACGCCGATGCGGCCGCGTGTCTCAAGGAGGCCAAGTCGCTCTACCCGCTGCTCGAGTCGTATTATTTTATAGTAAGCACGCGAATTGCGTTTGTGATTGGAGTAGCGATAGCTGTTTGTTTGTTTGGTTGGTTGTTTGTTGATTGGTTGTTGGTTGATTGGTACTGATTGAGTTTTTTTTTCTCATCTGCGTTTTTTTTTCTCTCTTGCAGACTGGTTTGGTTGCCGAAAAGAAGCGCTTGTACGCCGACGCTGCTCTCGAGTTTGAGCGAGCTCTTGCCATCAAGCCGGATCATCTCGAGGCGCTGATTCACATGGGCATTGTTGCTCGCGAGCAGGGTGATCTCGTGGTCGCGGAAAAGTTCTTGACAGAGGCAACGCTTGTTGACACGAGCTCGCATGTTGCGTGGTAAGAGTCATGAAGGAGCTTTGTGTTTTTGGTTCACGCGCCAGTTGTGCTCATCCACATGCGATGGCTATGGCTGAACTCTTGGTAGGCACAACCTTGGCACTGTGTTGCAGCTGCAGCAGCAGCACGATCGAGCTGTTGAGTGCTTCCTGCTTGCGGTGGATCTCGAATCAACCGCGCCGATCGTTCCGTTCTCCAATATTTCGTCCTATTTGTGAAGCTTCCCCTCCGTTCCCCTCCTCCCTCTCTGTCTTCCTTGAAGAGACGGGGAGGTTTTCATTGACGGGTTGCCCCGTGTGTTGTGTTGGTGTGCAGCTGTTTAATATGCAATTGAAAACACACAAAAAGAGACACAAAATTTCTCGCAACTCCACTCATGCCCCCCAGTAAGTAGCAATATTCAAACGAGCGTTTTGTTCAGGTGTTCTTCTTGTTTCAAAGGGGGCTAACAAGACTGCCAGAATGATTCAAACATGAACGGCATCAAAAGTCAGCGCCAATGCGGATTGCAGCCAAATTTTCATTCAAAACGCAACAAGTTCGACTCACGTCAGCAAGGATGGCCGCGGCTCGCCAGTGGTCATGCCTGTCGTTGAATCCAAGATGACAGCAAAAAAGTGCCAACACCAAACAAAACAGCATCAGCCAACGAGTCCAAGCCGGAAAGGCGACTTAAAGAAAGGAGAAATGATTGAAGCTGAATGCGCTGCTCAATGCGCTGATCCGCCTCCCCTGTCTGGCCACTGACAATCCGTCCTGATCTAGCGCAATACCATTCACACCCGTTTGGTCGAGGGCGGTTGGAGCAGCAGCGCCGCAGGATCCGGAGCTGCTTCCAGTCCCACGCGGCCAAGACTCGGCTCTCTCCCTCTCCTCCCACTCGCTCTCTCCCGCCTCTTTCTCCCGCTCTTTGGTGATGGTCGATTGTTGTGCTGGTTTATTGAGGGTGGTGGTTGTTTTGTACCGAGGTAGATGACGAGGGGCAGGAAACCCCAGTGCACGACCGTCTTGGCGACGTCGGTGGCCTTGCGCAGCTTGTCCTTGGTCTCCTCGCTCACGGGCAGCATTGTGTGTAATAAGTGTGAAATGTAAAAAAGCACAAATAAATGACTAGACATCCTAACACAATACACCACCCAATCTCGAACAATCTTTCCGCTTTGGAAGAGACGCGATCAAGCGACAATGCAACTTTGGGAAAATTTGTTACGAACAAGAAGGAGAGGAGGAGGTGCCAACAAAGGGTGATGGCACTTGCACGCATGACCGGAGCGCATCGTCCACGTCAGTTTAGTCATCATCATCATCATCATCATCATCATCATCATCATCATCATCATCATCATCATCATCATCATCATCATCATCATCATCATCATCATCATCATCATCATCATCATCAGCAGCAGCAGCAGCAGCAGCAGCAGCAGCAGCAGCAGCAGCATCGGGTCGTTCGCTCAGTGAAGGCGAGCCAAGCCGTCTACAGCACAACAAGTCTGTGAGCGTGCAAAGCCCAATACGCCATCCATTCTGCAACCAACAAGCTCGGCGAACACACCGAAGATCGGCCAAAGCATCACCGGGAAGTAATCGCGATAGTTCTCCAGGGAGACGACGTAAACATGTGGCCGAATTTTCAAGTCTTGCGAGACGGCACTGTCAACGAAAAAGCCGTGCGCGAATGCTGTGTTGGGCGGCCATTGCGTCTTCAAGACTTTCAATGCGTTCTTTGTGTGCTTTCTCTGCACGGAGGTGGTGAAGCTGGCGGATCGAAAAAGCTTGGCATCCGCCCCTTCAACCACCTGCGGGTTGCCGTTTGGATGACGGTCATATGCATCAGTCCATTCATCCCTTCTACTAGCAAACCAACGATGCAATGATTTGAGCGCACCTTCACTTGGTTGGGCGCAGTACCTGCCGGTTGCTTCCCCTTCCCCGGGTCCTATCAGTCCAGCAGCAAGTCCATCAGCGAGAAGATGCGTGAGCCATGTCGGCAAGCAACCAAGAAGACATCCAAAGCAGTCTACCAAATCTGTTATTGATGTACCTGGGTGAGCGTGTCGTGAACCGTCCAAAAGTCCACGCACGCGGTGTGGAGCTGGTCGTAGCAAATGTGGCCAACGTTTGCGTCCGCGCGCTGAAGCGCCTGGTTTTTCCCCGTGAAATCCACCAATCTGATCGACTCTGGCGCAGGAAGCTTGATTTTCATGTCGGTGAGTTTTGACACTGTGGCAAATGCAGCTCCGGCGTGCAGATCTGAGAGACGCGTTTCTCCCGAGGGAGGCCGGTACTTGGCGAAGGTGCAAAGACGAAGAGCGTAGGCGGCAGCACAGGCCGTCTCAAAGCTCTTTGAGCTCTTGCCGTAGCTGGACTTGAGGACAGTGCGCAAAATCTCACACCAGTGAGGAGCCTGCCCGTTCCCGACGAAGTTTGCTTCCAAGCGCAGGAGTAACGCGTCCACCACAGGCAGAGACATGAGAACCAAATTACCAGAGTTTTCGAACGAGCCGATGTACAGCTGTTCCAACTCCTCAGGAGTGACGCTGTAGTTCAACGGCGCTGCGAGACGCACACTCGGCATTGATCGCAAGCCGCACCACAGCAGCTTTTCGATGTTTTCGAGCGGTAAATCTTGGAGTCTGTCGCGTAGGGGTTGCAGAATTGTGCTCCGAATGGAGTCGAGTGCAGTGGCCAAGATGCCTGCTTGTTGACCGGCGCGCGAAGTGACGGATACTTGCTTGAGAGCGTCAAACAGAGCATGCAGACTCCTCGCGTGCCCAGAAACATAGATGAGCAGTCGAAGAACGCCTTCATCGGTCCCAGGATTGTAATCAGCAGGCCAAAGCTCTGGCCAGGTTGTTTCACGGGCTTGGGCCACTGCGCCTGCCAGCCATGATCTCGATTGCTCGAACGACAAAGGAGGCAGTGACACTCTGGTGCTTTCAAATGACGACTTGATGACGACTTCAGCGAAGGGCTTGTAGAGGAGTCCGGCAAACAACGACGCGCAATGGTAGAACGACTGCTCAGGAATCGCGGCCGACGCTAACGCAATGAAGACATTCTGGAAGAATGGATTGGGCGAGGGCCGTAAAACAGTGTCAGGAACACCAAAAGACTGCTGGACCTCGTCTAGACCAAGCACAAACATGACTGGGCGACGAGGGACTTGGCTCGCAGCAGCTGCGGGATCAACAACGGGTGCTTCCCCCAGTGCTCTGCAATCAGGCGGGTACCTCTGTGCGTGAAGTGCAATGATCGCAAGGACCTCGGAAAGCGTCACAGCGCCGATAACTTGGCGAAGATTGTTCACATTGTCGACGGACCAGTCTGGCTCACGAACAAAAAACCGAAGAAGCGCACGATAGGCGATGCTCAGCGCACCACCGAGTGCGACATCAAGCGGAGAGAACTGCGTTGAGCTGTTGTAGGTCACGTATAGCGGCACGAAAATCTCCGCGCCCTGCCGCCGCGTGAAGGCGAACTTGAAGTACTCGTACATGGCGCGGGTCTTGCCGATGCCTGGAATGCCTGCAAACACCATGCTTGGAAAGGAACGCGGGTCCACGTTGCTGTCAATGCGTGATGTCACATCGATGTAGTGTTGTCTCAGATTTGGCAAGACAAGCCCCTGCGGATCTTGGTAAGAGAGCTCTGCGATGTTGAAGCTCTGCTCACATATCGGTAAGGGACCAATCATCATTGAATACGGTGGTAGTGCAACAAAACTCACTTCGAAGGTAAAGACGTGGTTAGATGGGAACAATCCCGCAGTCATGAGCGCGTTATAGAGTGTCGTGATTCGTTTATCTGATTGAATGATGCCTGAAAAGCAATCGCGTCAACATCGACTGTACACTCGAAATGCAGGCTCTAAAAATCGACAACTCACCAAATTTCTTCAGAGGCGCAAGCTCTGGAAGTGGCGTTGTCTGCATATCAGTTGAAGCAGTCGGTTGAGGAGGGGATTGGGATGCATCGTCGTTCTCCTAGTTTTGAGAAAATAAAAAGAGATGATGTGTTAGCTGGCGACATGATCGCGGTGTGGCAGTTCTACAACAAAGACTGTTCACGCTTTGCACAAGGAACGAAGACGAGTGGACGAGGTCCACAAAAAATGGCGCGCAACTGCCAAGACGCCGATAGACAGACAATGACAGACAATGACAGGCAGGTCTCGGTCCACTTACGGTTCTGGCACGCTTGGATTGACCTCCGGAAGGATCCTCTGCTGAACGCTTGGCAGAAGTCACGGGAGGAGCCACGGGAGAAGTCCCGGAAGAGGGCACCGATGCGGTCTCGGGAGAGGCGTGTGATTCCATGAAAAAGACTGATTGAACACGTCAAAGTGATTTTTGTTTTCGACATCGTGTCGTTTATGGTGAGCTTGGTTCTTTTATGAAGCCTCATCATGGCAGAAGACTGTGATGAGATGCTATCTGGCTGATGTCTTCGTTTTTCTTTTGTTTTTCTTTCAGTCGTGAGTTTTGGTTTTGACTTCAAACTGCAAGCTGAAATCGAGCTCCCAGGCTGCGCTCTGTGCTCTCCTACTTTCTCGATAAATCACGCAATGACCTCGCATCAATAACCATGGTGGTATTGGTGGGTAGGGGGTGAAAGGGGCGCCCAGTGCTGAACACGCTGAACGCAGCAGCAGTTGCAATGTGGTCGTCTTTTTTTCCCTTTTTTGCGTTACTGTGCTGCTTATGGTCATGCTTTTTACAGAAGGAAAATAAAAATCAATCGAGAAAAAGAAAATCATTCAACCCACCAGGGAAAAAAGGAAAGAAGAAAAACAGCAAGCAACAGAAGAAACGCCGTGTCACGCACGAGTCCCTCTCCGCTCCCTCTCCCTTCAATAAGCATGACAGATGGATGAAGCGCATTGCACCACACGCAAAACGCGAACGCCGACGCCAGAATACGACGATCAGGTGGCGAGATTGGAGTTGAAAAAAAAAAAAACATCAAAGACACCCATCCACAGTGCGATCGCACCATGCACTCTCAAACACGCATACACGTACGCACATGACGATCGTGCGTGCTGGTCTGCGGCATGGGGCTGAGCGACGGCGGCGTCGTTTGAAGCGGCTTTGACATTTCAACCAATAACATTGCTCTTGATTTTTTTTTTATTGTTTTGACAGCTCCTCCATTTAAGCACTCTGTTGAGGAGGGCGGCATGAAATTCCGTCAAAAGCCGCTCCTGTAGCACCGATTGGACCTTGCTGTGCCCATCAAATCGATGGCGATGAACGTTGGTGCTGAGGAGGGATATCGATCAAATGCCAGCCATTCGTCCGCCAAAAGACATTCACCTTTGCCCTCGAGCTCCACGATGCCACGTCGTCAGAGTCGTGCACAAGGGCCTGATTCAACAACAAGGGCACTGCTCTGAAGTGTGCAAGCAAGGACTCTTTCCACTCGTCTCCCCTTGCGTGGGTGCAACTGCTGAGCATTGTTGAAATCCGTCAAATCTGGTCTTTCGCTCAATGATCCTTTGATTGATGGTTTGCAGTTGTTCTTCGCTCCTTCGATTTAGATCTACTCTTCATTCTTCTTTTCTTTTACTCTCTTCATTCCTCGCAATGGCACTGCAGCAGCGCAGTTTCGCGTTCGCAGCAGTCGCAAAACGGCGTTTTTAGGGATTGCAGTAACCGCTCCACTCTCAAAGCCTCCTCGCTTCAGCACCAACTCCTCAATTCATTCATTTTCTCTTCTTTATAAAAATATATTTTTGTTTTGTTTTTTGTTTGGAAATCCAAAAGCATAACCCACTCCCATAAAACTCACGATGCGCGCTGCCACGCTGGTCGCAGTGCTCGTGGTGATTGCGCTCGCGTCCATCAGCGCCGTTCCCGCGTCGCTCTCCAACAACCACCACGGCTCGATCACCACCACCACCACCACCACCCTCTTCGGCAGTCAATCCAACACTCTCTCCGTGCAGCAGCTGCACCCCGCACTCGCTGCTGCTGCCGGCCCCGTCCTCTTTGCCAGCGCACAGGTAACAGCAGAGCTGCGATCTCGGTCCCTTTGAGAACGCCGCTTCAAGCACTCGACACGTCCCAACGCTCACTGCTGGGGTGGCTGGGGCTCATGTCATCATCATCATTCATCATTCATCATCTTGTTGTTGTTGTTGTTGTTTGCAGGAAGAAGACTCGTTCGGCGATGAAGAAGACGAGGTCGTAGCCACGGACGACGACGGCGATGACGAGGAAGTCGAGGTCGTTGTTCCAGCCAAGTCCGCAAAGTCCAAGACCACCACTGCGACCACGACGACGACGACTACGACTGGTGATGACGATGAGGAGGCTGTCGAGCAGGAGGTCGAGACGGCGCCCGCTGGCGAGTCGGATGCCGAGGCCAAGCCACGCAAGGCAAAGAAGGCGCCCAAAGTTGCCCCTGTGCCGCGCGTTCAGAAGGTGAGTCCTGCCCAGCGCTTCATGTGTGCAGAACAAGGCATTGAACGCGTTCATGTCAAGAAAGGCGATCTCTACCATCTCGGAGGAAGCTCCGTACTTTGTTTGTTGACAAATCACTCACTTCTTCAATCACTCGCTCTCCTTTCCCCCCCCCACCCCACCCCACCCTCCCACACTCTAATCCTCTCACAGGTTCGCGGCCTGCCCGAATTCACCTTCTCCAACTGGTACCCGGAACTGTTCAGCTTGCTCGGCATGGTCGTGTACGTCCTGAACTACTTTACCGGTCGCTCCAAGAACACGACGCTCGCCACTGCTTGGGCTCGCGAGAACGGCGCCATCTTGCAAAAGAACTTTGCCCAAACCACGGATCCCGAGTCTCGCGCCATGCTCTACCCGGAAAATGCCAGCATGTTCTACAACTGGTCCACCGGCCGCGTCAACTGCGCAGGCATGCTGACCACGCTCGACTTCCTCCGTCGCCCCGATCTCCTTTCGATGGTGTTTGCCACCACTCTGCAGCCCGCCACCGACAAGATTACCTACGCTGTTGAGATGAACAACGACGCCATGGACACGTTTGTGGTGGCGTTCGGTCCCAAGGCCAAGCTGACCAAGCTTCGTTCAGAGATGCACGATCTTGTACGTAGTAATGATGATGGGAGGAGGAGGAGATTGGCGCGTTGTTTTGTACTGTACTACTGCTGGAGAGAGAATTGATCGCGTTGTGGCAGAGTTTCAGTGCTTTTTGTCATGTCCCCGACTGACTTGCTCATTTTGGTTGATTGTGTCTCTTGTGTAGAGCTTCTTTACGACCGGCTACTCTGGAGAATCGTACGGCCTGCCTGCGTCCTTTGCTGTTCATACCGACTGCCCCGAGGTCGCTCGCGAGCTCATCACACCCGAACTTGCCGAACGCATCCGTGCCAACCCCAAGACATTCGATGTTTTCCACTTCTCTGACAAGTTCCAAGGCACGATCGACAACGAGTACGTTTATTTTTGGTGTGGCCCAGGGGTTTGCGTGCTCTGCTTTTTTTTGCTTTTTTTTTTTCCGAGGGGGGAGAGGTTTGGGAATTTCCTGTGCTAAGTTTGCAATCCATCTTGCTTGCTTGCTTTTTTTTCAGAGTTCCGGCTGACCAGCGACCCACCCCTCGTCCCATGCTCTTCATGACGTTCAATCTGGTTGGATCGGCGCGAGGCATGGTCCAGTCTGTCGAATACACGCAGTTGGTCATTGATCTGCTTGACAAGGTTGCCCGCACCCGACTAACATCTCAGGCACGCACGACATCTCGCTTTTTGTTGTGTTGCTGAACTCTTTTTGTTTTGCAATCAATGCTGACTTTTGTTGTTTTTGGTTTGCTCCTTCGCAGTCCAAGCAGCGAGCAGACAAGAAGCGCGCTCAGATGCAAGACGAATTGAACAAGATTGCGCACCAGAAACTGCAAGAGGTACAGCCCGAATTGACACCTCTCCCTTTTGCCCGATCCTGCATCGCGCTCACAATTTTTTTGGTCCGCTCTTGCTCTTTTGCTGCAGGCCGCGCAACTCAAACGCGAAGAAAAGCTCCGCCTGGAGCGCCAGCAGGCCATGAACTCGAGCGATCCAGATGCTCGTGCCAAGTGGGAAGAGAAGCAGCGAAAGGACGAGATGAAGAAGCGGATGGCCAAGGGCAAGATTGCCGTCATGCGTTAAATCTCCTCTTAACCCTAAGGCGTGCCCATACTAGAGTAGAGTTTCTCCTCCATTCTGTGTGTGTGTCCTATGATTTCACAATTACATGTTTCATGATTGCAAGCGAAAAGTATGTATTTCATCGCCCGTCGACAGTAAGTACAAAACACTGGCGTAGCTATCGGCCACCCTTCTTCTTCTTCTTGTTGTGTTGTTGTTGCTGAGGCTTTTTGGCGCTGAAAATCGAAAAACACAAGCCAAAATGAGCAATCACGATTCGACAAAAAACACACACACACAAACAATGGGACTTACGGTTCAGCGGTGGCAGCAGGCGCGGCGGCGGGTGCGGCGGCAGCAGGGGTTGCGCTCGGGGCAGCGGTCTTGGCGCGGCCATCGAATGCCGCAGAGCCAGTCATCCCAGAGCCGGAAGCAGCATCGGGCGTGCTGGAGGCGGCACCTTGCGAACCGCCCTTGCCCAGATCGCGCTTCTTCTTTCCCTTGCGATATGTCGAGCGCTCACGCTTGGGCAGCCAGCGCTCCGGATCGGGTGTGAACTTCGGATCAAAGTTCTTGGGCATGCGCTTGGGGTTGAGCTTGCGCTTCTTTTTCTTTTTGAGAGCAGCCTTCTGGCCGCTGGCAGCAGGGTTGCTTGTGGCGTCAGCAGATCTGGTCGCGCAAAAAAAAAAAAAGGGAAGAATAACAACAGCAGCACGAAAACCAGGTCAATTTTTGCAGCACTGCAACTCGAGCAAGAATATCCACAAACACAAACTCACGCAGAAGCAGCGACGGCGTTCTTGTCCTTGGCACGCTGGGAGATGCGCCCGACCACGAGATTCTCGAGAGCATCCACATCGATGGGCTCGCCGCTGGCGATAGCGGGCAAGCTGGCAGCATATTGCTCTGCCTGGGCTGCATCGACGTGCGAAGTGGCGAGTACCAATCCGGCAAGAGCCGCGCGATCCTTCTTGTTGGCCCGGAAAAGACGCTCGTACAGGACGGCGGCTTGTGCTGGTTGCTTGTGACGCAGGTAGAACTGCGCCGCATGTCGCATCAGCGTCAGCAGCTGCTTGGAGGGTGCACCAGAGGTCTGGGTCGCAGCGATGGCCTCTTCGAAAACCTGCGCTGCAGCCGCAACATCACCCATGCGCTCATACACAGACACCAGCGTGGCAACCATGCCAGGTCGGTGCTGCAGCGAGCGGGCAGCGCGCAGCGAGGCCGCGGCTTGGCCAGGGTTGTTCGCCACCAAGTGGTTTTGGGCGAGCGTGAGGTTGACGTAAACGGCATGGCTGTGAGTGTCGGCGTACGACTGGCAAGCAAGGCAGAAGTGAAGGCAGAAGAGAGAGTGAGTAAGGTTTTGGGGTTTGGTTTGTTTGTTTGTTTGTTTTTGTGCATGATCAAGCCGCGCGGTGATTTGTTGAGCAACGACAAATTCCGAGTCGCTTCTCTGCGCAACTGACCTGCAAAAGCTCAAAGGCCTTTGTGGCCTTCTTATCCTTGAACAAGAGCGAAGCAGAGATGAGGATGAGGACGTCGTGGTCTGGGTATTGCTTTGACAGGGACTCGAAGAGTTGGCGGCATTGCTCGTTCTGCATGGAAAAAAAAAAGATGGAGATGCAATAGATAATCATAAAAAGTGAGCCTCAAGGCGAAGGGAGACAAGCAAAGACAAAGCACATGGACCCATCGTACCTGATTCATGTGCAAAGCAAGGAGGCATCGGTTCACAGCCATCACGCGACGCTGATGAGAGTTGAGCTTCTTGTCAAGGCCCTCAGCAAGCGTGGCCTGAATACGCTTCTTGGAATCGAAGGTCTCGCGGTCCTTGTTGATGGCAACAATGTTGTTGGAGGCGATTGCCGCGACCACAACATCGCTGGGTCGAGACTTGAGAATCAGGTTATAGATGGCCATTGCCTCTTCGATACGGTCTTGCAGGTGCAACACGACGGCGAGCTGGACTTGAATGACGCCGAGCTCGGCAAGAATCTCGCTCTCGTCAAAGCCCTCAGCCTCAAGCGTTTTCTTGCAGAGGTCTGGAGACAGAGGGCAAGGAGGCACACAAGACCGAGAGGAGGGGCGACGAGGATGAGGATTGCTCGAGACGACCAGAACAGCAAAAAAAAAACCAAGGAAAAAACAAAAAACAATAAAAAGCAGCCTCCTACTCACCCTCGGCTTGCTCGAGCTTGGTGGCTGCAGAAGTCAGGTTTGTGCGCGCAATGTCGATGCATGCCGAGTTGTAGCAGAGTTCAAACGTCGACAGATTGGCAGGGACCTCGTTCTACAATCGCCAATGTGTCAGAAAAACACACAAAAGAGAAAGTCGAAACAAAAAAAAACATTCGGAACGTTCGACATACCAACAAAGCAGCGCTGGTCTCGGGAGACAAAACCACAGCGCCAGCAATTGCAGACAGATAGTTGGTCAAGTGCTCGGCGTCGCCAGAGAGCTGCACACGGAAGAAGAAAACGCGTCAGAATGAAAACAAGCACGGCCAGAATGCCATGTCAATGCAACCCACCTTGTGCTCGGCCATAATCTTCTTGTACAGTGCGACGCACTCTTGGAACGCCGCGACACGACGACAAGCAACGACGAAACGTGCATGGTGAGTGCTCGGCAAACGGCCGTCCCAACGCCCAAACCACCACCACCACGCCCAAACCACCACCACCACCACCCCGACAATGGCCCAGCTGGAACATTGCTGCACATGGTACAGCATTGGGGGGGGCGGGTGGAGAGCAGTGAAGCGCTCGCTGTTCCCCTTGCTTCCGCCCTCCCTTCTCCTGCTCTCTAAAGTCAAGCCTTCCTCTCCCCCACTCCCCAATGACTGTGCGTTGACACTCGCTGTCTTGCTCTGCGTGCTTTTGGTTGCGGTGGTCCTGTTGTATGGACGTACAATTTGCGCATGGAGCTCCTTGACTTTGAGATCTTGGCTTGAGCACTGCTCGATGGCCGCCAGCGCCTCGCTCAGCTGGTGCAGGCGGTAGTGGCAGCAAACGCAGCACCAGACGACGATGACGACGAGGTGCCAGCAGCAGCAGCAGCAGCAGCAGCAGCAGCAGCAGCAGCAGCAGCAATGGCGGCGAGCGCGTCCTCAAAGCGCGACAGGTGGATGAGCGCGACCAGCTTGCAGCTCAGCGCGTCCACTGCAGACGAAGGGTCGGCCGCAAGTGCGCTGTCGGCCAGCTGGAGCACTCGAGTGTAGTCCGTCGAGCCCTCAGCAGACATCCGCTGCAGCTCGGCGAGCGCGTCGTCTGCCATGTCGTGATAGGAAGAGAGAGAGAAAAAAAAGAGTGAGCTTATAACCCCAATAGCGAAAAGCACTCTCTTCAACATAAGACGATGCACGACCGATGTCGGGATCAAGATCGAGAGCAAGAGCAAGACAAGTAGGACAAGGGGGATCAACTTTGGGTGTATTGGTTGGATTGTGAGGAATCAGTTTGATAGCCACACAAACCAAACACACACAAAAAAAAAAAACGAAAGCAACAACACTGGCAAACAAAAAAAAAAAAAAAAAAACTCAGAACACAGACACAGAAAAAGCGAAAACAAAAAGCATAGAGGACAAGCTCATGCTCCTCAAGACGCGCTAAAGTGAAGCCGCTTGCGAGGAGACCCGCTTGGCTTGCCGGTGTCCAATGCACCTTGTGCAAGCGCAGGAGTTCCGGCAACCTGCGACGACAACGCGTCTTCGGTATCGGCATACCGGCGCTTGGTCGCTTGGCGGGTTTCGGGTCCGGGGCTCGCCGGATCGGGGAAGTTGGCAGGGGACGAGCTTTGCAAGAGCATTTGGCGACGAGTGGCTGGACGCATCCGCGAAGGCGATGCTGCCAGGACAGCTGCTCGGCCTGCTGGCGACTTATCCGAAAGCACGCCTGAGGCGCCGCTGGAATAGCTTGAAGAGTCGTCGGGATGCGTGCCGGGCTTGGCGGGAGAAGCCAGCAACTGGGACAGGAAATCAGCGCCAGAGGGCGAACCGGCCTCGAACGACGGCGCAGCCTCCGCACTTGCTGCTGCTGCTGCTGCTTCGGCTGCGGCAGCGGCAGCAGCGGTAACAGCAAGCTGTGCTGTGGCCTTTTGGCGGGCGAGCTCGTTGTAAGACGGCACAGGAGCAGCAGCAGCAGATGCTGGTGCGTTGGCTCCGAACTGCGCGGCTCGTTCGGCTTGCATCATGTCTACCAGGCACGGATTCAACATCAGCAATCGCTCAAGTGAGAAAGACGAGAAAAAAAGTGGCTGGCCAACACACCGAGCCAACCAAGCAAACGCCGTACCAATAAACTCATCGCTTTTGGTGAGCGCCTTTTGCAACCGCTCCACCTCCAGCTCAAGCGATGCGACTTTAGATTGTAACGCCATCGTATTGTAGTTGGTGGCTGGTTTGTGCACAGACAGGCGTTGGTTGTCGTCTTTCAAGGCCAGATTTTCGCGCTTGGCCCTGGTGAGGCGAAAAAAAAAATCAATAAACGAGCTTGTGAGTACTTCAGAATCATTTTGGCTACTGCGCCCCCCCCCCCTTGCACTGGACACTTACTGAACGAGCAGGCGGCGAATGTTGCGATTATCACGCTCCAAATCAGCATTGGCTGCCCAGAGCCACTCGCTATCGCCGTCGGCCTCCATCCGAGAATGGGCCTGGTGGTCGTCATCAATATCGAGTTTGCGCACAGCAGTCGAGGAGGATGCAGAGGCCGGAGTGGGTGCGGGGGTGACTGTCGCTGCAGCAGCTACGACTGCTGCCGAAATCGCGGGCAACGACGATTGAATCTGACGCAAGAGTTGAAGCTGCTCCTTTTCGTTGGCCGTCACCGCACCAGTGGCATTGGGTGTGGCAGTGTTGACGAGCGTTACCAAGCGCAGCGCGGAGGTGGCTGTGGTTCCAGCAGACACGGCGCTCGCCTTGGCGTCTTGCAGCTGTTGAATAAGCTTGATCCGGGCGCGGCGCTCTTGCTTGAGCAAACCCAACAAGATTTGAAAATCGCGATCGTATTCTGTATGAAGTTGTGACATTCGTGTTCGTCGCAGCAACTGAAACAGGGAGAAGAAAGAGACACCAACCCAAGAAAAACCGGTCGTAAGTCAAACAACAAAACAAATGGCATTTGCATTCAAAAAAAAAATCCTCCAAGAAAAACCAACTCATACCATGCGGTCTTCCAATTGACTGGGCTGGGAAGTCGAGGGATGTGTTAGCCCGTCGCGCACTTGCAAGTCGGTCGAACTGGTGGATTGTATTTCTCCCAACCAACTCAGGACGGAGGCGGACAGGCTCGTGTTTCCAGCACTGCCTTTGGCGCGCTTGTCGCGCAACAATAGAGCAGTCGGGAGGGTACCCAGCTGCTCATTCATGAGCAGCTCATCTAACTCTTCGTCATCGGGGAGCGGCAGGTCGCTCGACGAGCCGCCTTCGGCCAGGTGCTGGTCGGCTTCAGTTTGCCAGTCGGTGGCGTTCGCACCGTGCAGGGTGCGGAAGGGCTGCGTTTCGCTGATGGGTGTCCGGCACATGGGGCAGGCCTGCTTGACTGCCAGCCACAGATCGAGACAGTCGCCGCAAAAGACGTGCAGGTTTGGGCAGACGGAAGGCCGTCGCACTTTGCTCAAGCAAATGTTGCATTGAATTGGCAATGTGAGCGCAATGTGACTGTGCGACTTGCGCGACGCCATGGCCTGCCGCAGCTCGCCAATCGCCGTAGTAGGGGGCTTGACGGGAGTGGACTGCGGTTGCGGGTAGGGGCCGTCTTCGCCCGGGAAGCCGCTATCTGTCGCGTCCAGGTCCGGGGCACTGTGCAACGACGCCTGGGATGGAGTGCCCATGCTCGATCTGCTGCTGCCAAGGAAGCCCGCGTCGATCGTGCGGCCCGTGGATCCCGTGAAGGAAATTGGCTGCGGGCGACTCGGGGACGGCGACGCCAGCGACGCGATTGTCGCGCTGTTTGAGTGCGGTGATGCCGCTGCTGATGCAGCAGACGGTCTCAGCTTGATTGTGAGCGAGCGCGAGGACGAGCTCAGCTGGCTGCTGTTGCTGTCCTCCGCAGACAAGAGCGAGGACGACAACGGGAAGCCCATTCCGCCGCCGATGAGCATTGTGCTTGACAAGCCAGTTCCTGATGATGCTCCTGCGCTCGGATTGCCATTTGACGATGGTCTTGAGCCAGACGACGACGACGATGATGAGGATGAGGATGAAGAAGCATGGGACGAGAGCGCAGATCCGAGCACTCCGCCAAAGTTGCGCAGGACCGTCCCCGACCCAGATCCAGCAGCAGCAGCAACAGCAGCAGCAGTCGAAGCAGAAGTCGTGGTAGTCGTGGAAGTCGTGGAAGTCGTGGAAGTCGGGGTTGTGGACAGCGTGCCAAGCGACAATCCAAGCACGGACGACGAGGAGGACGGGCTTGAAGCACGGTGCAGCGAGAGCAGCGACGAGGACGAGGACGAGGACGAGGACGGGGCAAGTCCTGAAGAGGTCAGTGATGCAGATGATACTGACGATGGAGTCGATGATGCAGAGGCAGCAGAAGCAGAAGCAGAAGCAGAAGCAGCAGCGGACGAGGATCGCGTTGTAATGTTCAGCAAGCCACCAAACAGCCGCTTGACTGGCTGCTGCTGTTGTTGCTGTGCATCGAACGAGGACATTGTCAAAAAGCAAAGGGAAGAAAAAAAAAAAAAAAAAAAGAAGAAAAAAAAATGAATGGACTTGAATGAATGAATGAATGAATGAATGGACTTGAATGAATGAATGGGGCAAACAGCTCGAACTCGTCATGCAGGACCACCAACACCCCCCCCCCCTCACACCTTCCATCCAATTGCTCCAGTCATGACAAATTCATTTCTACTTTCATAACGGGAGAGACAAGGGGGACTGTAAGAGCATAGTTTTTTTGGATTCCAAGTTTGAGCTGAGCATTGTGTTGAATAGGTTGCTTGGGTGTTCATTGTTCACTCTTATTATTATTTTTTTGAACTCACTTTTCATCACTCTCTGAGAAAGTCACAAAGCCATGGAAGACGTAGACATTGCTCCGATTGCAACGTCGGCAGCAGCAGTGGTTCAGCTGGACGAAGAAGCCGAAAGCACACTCGACGAGCCCATCTCGGTCACTCTGAAACGCGATCTGCTCATGGTACCAAGCAAAAAAAAGCAAACACTCTGCTGGGGATGTGGGGTGGTTGTGTGTGTGTGTGTGTGCATGGGACAGGCGGCCGTGAAGCAATGGAGCTGGCTCTGCACTACGCCCTGAACCATGCCCCTGGCACTCATGCTGCACTGGGCCTCTTGTATCAACACCAGGTGTTTGAAAAGTTCTTCATGGTGCTCATCCCGCGGTTAAACAACAAGCGCATCCTACACGATTGTAAGTTCTCTCCTCTCGCAACGTCACTCACTCACTTCTTTGCGCCTCTTCAGACCTCGTCAGATGCTTTGTATCGAAAAAAGACACTTACAGTAATGTTTGTTTGGTCTTATTTGGGTTTTCTTTTGTTGGGTGACACCGCCAGGGGACTTGTGGGGTCCGTTAATCCTCTGCGTCACTTTGGCCATGATGCTCCGCGACACGGCACGCGACGATCAGAAGAGCCTTGTCTTCAGTGGCGTCTTTGTCATTGTCTGGTGCGGTGCTGCCGTCGTCACGCTCAATTCAAAGCTCCTCGGTGGGACGCTCTCGTTCTTCCAGGTAACTCGTTGAACTTGCTTGTTTTCAACTTCTGAGATTCCCTGCTATGTGCAAAGGGGCGAGGAGAGAGATTGCGTTTGTCAAAACTATAATTGCTCAATGGTATGGCAAACCCCCCCCCCTTTTTTTTTCTTTGATCGAGCAGAGTGTATGCGTGCTTGGTTATTGCTTGCTGCCTCTGGTCGCCGGCACTCTCATCATCCGAACCCTCGCGCTGATGAGCCTTGCCTCGGTGCCGGTGCGCAGCGTGGTTGTTCTTCTAGGCTTGGCATGGGCACTATTTGCGTATGTCACTTTCGGATGCATCTATGTGTAACATTTTGATTTTGAAAACTCGTGAAGGATTCGTTTCTGACATTCTCCAACTTCCCTTCTGTTGTTGTCTGCTTGTTTGTTTTTGTTGCTGTTGTTATTTGGGCGTCTGTCCATGCCAGCTCCATGGGATTCCTCGGAGATAGTCAGCCCGTCAATCGAAAAGCATTGGCCGTCTACCCAATGTTTCTCTTTTATTTTGTAATCAGCTGGCTTATCTTTGTCCAGCCTGTCAGCGACTGAACACATTCTAGAATAAATACGAAACAATGCCCGTCTGAAACCCCAATTGAGGCGAGTTTGATGATCCTTTACTTCAGTTCAAACCCAGTTCAAGAAGAAAAGTTATCAACCAACAACAAGGGACACAAGGAAACGAGAAAAATCTCCCTCTCCCCCAACAAACAAAACCAAACAAAAAAATAAAGACATTGGAAGGGGCTTCACCACACTGGTGGCGGCGGCGGCGGTTCGTCATCGTCATCCACATACAATGGAGGAACAACAACGTGCACCGCAGGTGCAGCAAACGACGCAGGAGGCGGAGGAGTGGCATGATTAGTCGAACCGAACGCGGGGATGGGTGGAATACGACCAAATGAAGTCGTGCTAAAGACCTCGGTCGAAGGCGGCGGAGGTGGCAAGGCTCCAAACCCATCATCGTCCATCTCCTCCATCAACGGATCCAAGTTGTGGTCGAGCATTTGCGGATCCGGCAACGGCAGCGAGTCGAGCGAGGGCGGCGGAGGCAGCGAGTCCAAATCGAGCGACTGAGCCGTCATGGCGTTAAACCGCGCCATATTCGCCGCATACTTGGCACTCACAACCGGTGCCATGGCAGGCTGCAAGTCGTCGTCAAAGATTGGGGGCGGAGGCACGGGGGCTTCCTCATAGACGGGTTGCTGGGGGTAAATTGGTTTTGGTGGCAGATATTGCTGCTGCTGCTGCTGCTGCTGCTGCTGCTGCTGCTGCTGTTGCTGCTGTTGCTGCTGTTGGAGTTGAAGTTGCTGTTGTTGGAGTTGAAGTTGCTGTTGCTGTTGAAGCTGCTCTTGTTGCTGCTGGTACTGATTCATTGCCTCCTGGGCAAAATCTGGCATCTGCAGCGCAGGCACAGGCTTGCCTGCACGAGCAAGTTCTTCTTGGTGCTCCAGGTGAGAGCGAACGCTCGAGTGAACATAATCTTGAATGGACTGTTGAGCTGAGGGTTCGGATTGGGCAGCAATTGCCACAGGGGCGGGAACAGGCACGGGAGTAGGTTTGGCCGCCTGTTCTGGCAACGCTGCAGGCTGCTGGGGCGCGGCTGGTTGTTGCGGTGCTGCTGGCTGTTGAGGCGCGGCTGGGGTCTTGATAGGAACTGTCGCGGGCTTGGTGGGCTGTTTGAGCGTTCCAGAAGCCGAGCTCTTAGCTTGAAGTGCCCCTTTGATCTTGGCAACGAAACACTCGATAAGAGAGGTCTGAAAAAACAAGAGCAAAGTTGCAAAAAAAAAATGAGGCGCTGCAAGCAAAACGACAGATTCTGAATCGCCTGGAACTGAAAGAGAAACAAAAAAAAACATACCGGTGCGTCAGATTGCAGCACCAAACAATCGTGACGGGTGCCTCGCTTCTTTGCAATGAAAACAACCACATTCTTCAGCGGAGACTGTGGCGTATCACCGATGCGGGAGCCAAAGGAAACGCCAGAATAATTGTAGCTCACCAAGGCATCCTGCAAAATCAATGTATTCATCAAAAAAATATCAGTTCAATGGTGGTGAGTATTTCGAAAGCCCTGCAAGCAGCACAAGCACGCCAAGCCATGGTTATTGCAAGCGCATAGTGGCGTACCGAAGAACCCTCATGATGCAACTCAATCGAAGTGGCAGAGAAGACGAGCGACATTGACACCAGCGAGGCATCGTCCGCCACCTGTGCCAGGGCCTGCTTGGCGGTGGTCAATCCGCTTGGCTGAGTAACTTCAACCGAACCGATAAACTGCAAAATCGCAAGACAAACAAAAGCCCAATCAATGGCAAAAAGCACTCCAAGTGAGGGCGAGGAGGAGCACAGATGGAAAAAAAAAACCACGGAAACAGTCGCAGCGAATAACACACCTTCACTGCGAACGTTTGGTTGCCAGCCCATGACGCGGGCGGGTCGGAGCGGGTGCGAACAGATCCTGCAGGAATGTGCATCTTGGCGGCCGCCGCAGCAGATGCTGCACCTGGCGTGGTGCCCGCAGCCTTCTCGCTGGATGATACTCGCTCGACGGGGCGAGTCGAGGATGAGGCGGTGTCGTCAAGCTGAATCGAGACGTGAGCGGCATCCGCGGCGACTGGGCGTGGAGCCGCAGTTTCCTCTTCTTCATCGCTGCTTTCCATGGCCGCAACGTTGGCGAGGTCTTCTGCAATTCGCTTGTTCACCTCTGACCCAAAAAAAAAGCAAAACCCCCTCACACATGAGCTTAAACACAGTGGTTTTTCCTCTCACAAAAGCCCCGCACTCAAACTCATTTACCTTCCAGCTTGTGCTTGTTCTCTTGCTGCATTTGAGCATAATGCTCAGGTTCGAACATTTCCTCAATGCCTCGTCGCGACTTGCGCTTGTTTTCATTCGACTTGAGATTTGCTTGCAAGTTTTCCAAGAATGCCTTCTCCTCGTCGTTCATGGCGGGTCCCGTTTGGTCGATTTGCGTGACATCGGTGAGCCGCGGCTGGTTGTTGGTCGCAATGGACAAACCACCTTTGCTGCGCACAAACTCCATGATGAACTGGGCAGTGCGCTCGTCCTTGACATTGTCGGCATTCACGCCAGCAAGCTCAAACAGCTTCTTCCATTCGGGTGTCAGATTGTCAAAGCTAAACTTGGACAAGTCCATCACCGCCGAGCCGGGCGACGATGAGAGTTGGGACGGCGAGCGGTTATCGGCGCTGGTGCTGCCAGAATCACCCCCGTTGAGTGCTGGAATTGTGAGCGAAATAGAAGGAACAGCGGGAGGGGGCGTCGACGCCGCAGAATGAGCACTGGCATGATGCGATTGGACCCCGTTCGAGTCGATCGACGCAGAGACACTTGGAGAAGGCTGGCTGGCTGGCGGTGGGGTCTGCGAGATCGCTGACGACGGTGCAGCGTTGGCTGCCCCATCAGTCGGGGGTGAGAAAAAGTCGCTGCCGAGCGACATGATCGACGGCGTGGACGAGGTGCTACTACTGGAAGCACCGGCGGCGACTGCGGAAGCGTTTGCCTTGAGGTACTGCCGTGCAGCCTCGCCATCGGCAACAATGGAGGGCTTTTCGTAGCCCGCATTGGCCGATGGGTCTGGGCCGGGGCTGGACACCGAGGCGGTCAGCGGTGCATTCTTTCCGCGCAATCGGCGCCAAGTGCCCGACAAAGAGAAGGTATTGCTCTTCTTGCCACCGGCGTACTTGCCAGCGCCTGCGAGAGACTGTGTGTCGGCCTTGTCCACGCTGGGTTGGTTGGGTGATGACTTTGACTTGCTCAGAGGTGACGGCTCGACACTGACAGATGCGCGGCGCTGCTGCTTGGACGATGATGTGGATGAAGGAGAATCAAACGTACCGCTCACAGACCCTCGCTCCTTCTTGCTGCCGCCGGCCGAGAACAGTCCCCGCAAGCTGCCTGAAATGGTGTTGCGCTTGGCCGACTCTTTCCGCCGAACAAGACGAATCTCGCGCGCATCCAACGAGCCAATGGTCACATTGGTCGGCAGCGATCGACCAGGATCGCTCACCAGCTGGAAGGCGTGCTTTTTGGGATCAACATATCGTCGAGAGCAGACGTAGTTGAGCAAATCCTCCAAAGGCATGTCGGGCGAGACCTGCACGACGGTGGATTGGTCGGCAGGCAGATGGACAAACAACACGAGCTGGCGGCCCTTGGCGGCCTCCTTTTGCTCGTCGCGCTTCAAGGCAAGAACTTGCTGCTCTGCCGTGGGGTTGAGGATGGCCTCAATCTCAGACAACGGGGTCGGCTTGCCAGAGGACACGCCGAGGATGGCCTTCTCAATCACTTTGGCAAACTTGGCAGCATCCTCCAGCACGAGAAACCGCGCGCCATAGAGCTGCTTTGAGTCCGAAGCGAAAAACTGCACAAACGTTTCGCTTCGCAGCAGCTTGCAGGCCTCCTTGATGGTAAAGTCGAGCAGAATCTGCCCTTCGTGGCGTGCAAAGATCTGGTACACTTCGTTTTCGAGCTGTCGGAACAAAATCCGCAGAGGTTCGGAGCGAATTGGGGCCCATGCGCGCGTCGTTGCATTTCCCGCGTAGGCAATTCCCGTGAAGGCTTGCAGTGTTTTGGCCGTCTCTTCCGACTCGGAAACCAGCGAGTGTCGCTGGTTGGATGTGTTGCTGCTGGGCGCGGCAGGTGGTGCTGAAGTCGCTTGATTGGCAGTGGTTGTTGTCGGTGCGACGACCGCTTGTTGCTGTGCAGCCACAGAAGCGTTGCGATGAAGCGGTGACTCGGCCGGCTGCTGTGCTGCAGCTGCTGCGCCTGCCGCGGCAATCGCAGTCCCGTTTGTTGTAGTAGTTGTAGCAGCAGTCGCAGCAGCAGCAGCAGCCCCGTCGAGTGGCACGGGCGACGTCCAGTGCGTCGTGTTGGCGACCTTGTCGTGATAGTAGAGCTTGCCATCGCTCGAGCGCAGCACGCTCCAGCCAGCAGGCATCCGCGCCTGCACAGCTGCGCGTTCCGGGTCCTCCATCAGTGACAGAGCTTGGCAGCACAACAGTGGCAAAAGCGGGGTGGGCCTTGACCTGTTAAAAAAAAAAAAAAAAAAAAAAAAGGATTTGAATGAAGAAAAGAAAAAAGAATCAAAATGAATGAAGTGAGGTTGCCAAGTGTGTACAGCGTGCGGACGGTCCGAAGATCGATGGGAGGGGATGTGGAAAAGTGGAGTGCTTGAGAGAGATCGCAGAGTCAGAGAGTCAGAGAGAGAGAGAGAGAGAGAGAGAGTCAGAGAGAGAGCGGGAGGGAGGAAGAAACCGCTCAGACAGAAGCGAGACACCGCTGCGCATCGGGCGCTTCAGCCCGCATGGACAAGACATGCAGACTCAGCAGTGTCTGTCTTTGAGAGATGGTGGTGCGAGCAAAAGGACGGACGAGGAAGGCAGGGAGGGAGCGGGGTGATGAAAACGCGAGTACGAAACCGCACACAGAAACACACAGGCACATTGGACCGATCCAGCTCACACAGACTCAGAACAGACAGACACATACACACATAGAAGTAACAATCAACGATGCGAGACGAACTGGTCGACTCGCTCCAGACTGAGACATCGTTGACGCTTGTTGCTTTTCGAACGAGAGAACGAGAGAGCATCGGACCGCGCGTGGATCAGGCGCTCAAGCGCTTGCGCCATCTTCTCAATCACGCATGCATCAACGCAGCCAGCTTCGTCCCGGTTTGTACTTTGCCGTAGTGCAGAGACGGTCTTCCCCTACCCCCCTTCCCCATTCATGGAGCTCGATTCCAAAAGACAAGCAGGTGGCTTGGGTTTTTTTTTTTTTTTGCTTGTTTTTTGGCTTTGTTTTTGTTTTTGTTTTTGTGTTTGAGCGAGGGCAAGTCGGAGTGAGATCGCGTGGGGAGGGGGAAGGTGAAAGTCGAATGAAAGGATCGTCTTGCAAGCAAGGATCCGGCGCACGGTGGAGGGAGTGGGTGATGGAGGGGGAAAGCTCACAAGTGCGCTGCTCGACCAGCAATAACAAACAAAAAAAAAAGAAAAAAAAAAACAGAACGGAGAAAAAATTGACTGGAAACTGCTTTTTATTCTGCTTTTGTGCTTTTGCACTTTGAATCGACACAAACAATGGCAACAACGAGCATTGGATGCGTTGGTGCATTGCCAACACACAGCAAAAAAACAAAGACATTCAAGATAGCACACGCCGCGGCACAGCGCGATTTCAGTCCAGCGGTTGCGACAAGGTCCTGCTTGTTTCAGCAACTCTTCTGGCTTTTGCTGCCCCCTGACCAAGCCATTTGACAAACGCACAAACCAGATAGAAACAACACCTCGTCAACCACGGTCACACTCTCACTCGAAATGCCCGGGCTTGTTGTTCGGAGCTCCGACCAGGTTGTTGCGAAGGGCGTGAAATTTAACTGACACTGTTTTTCGTCGTTGGTGTCAAATTTCTGCTCCCATCGCATGCACCGTCACACAGTTCACCCGCCCCGCCCCTCTGCTGCTGTTTCGCGCAAGCGCGGACGAGTCCCACTTGTGCTGCAAAACGACAGCGGAAACAACAAGCGCACAAGTGCGGTGGGAGACGAGACCAAATGGGCAGTTCGTTTAATTGTTGTGGAAACCGCACCGCCGACAAAAACATGCAACCAAGCAACGGGCGTGTCAGTTGGCGGCAATGGTCTTTTTGCGCTTGCCCGCGTGAAGCCGCGCAATCAGCTCGCTGAGGTTGTAGTCGCCGAACAAGGTCGTCAGGAAACTCTCAAACAGAGTGTAGAAAAGCCGCCGGTTTAAGCTCGCGTGCTGCAGCATCTCAAAGATTCGCGCGCTCCCTCGGCGACAATTTTCAGACCCAACAATGCGCTTAAGGTCGTCTGTCAAAACGATTAAAAAAACCAAATAGGCACAGTTCCGTTCAAAAGTCAGTCAGGATGTTGCAAAATGCTCCAAAAAACTACAACATCTATTGCATCCGCTGCGACGAACCGGTCAGGACACTTAGTAGCTTGGTGCGCGCCTCAATTTTAGCATGAAGACGCTCCTCGGGTGTTCGGGGTGGGTAAGCCGATGCTAGCACACCATCCGGCCACCAGGCGTCCTGGTACATTTGCAAGTACTCGGCCACCTTGTCTGCCGAAGTCATGAGATCGATTTGATCGACGATAATTCTGATTGTCAATCAGCCCGGCGAAAGTCAAGTCAGACAATGACATGAAAACCGACCAAACAGAAAAACCGAGAGCTTTCCAAAACAGCAAAATGCAAAACGCAAAAGAAAAGAGAGAAGAAAAAACACACAGAAGCCCTCACCGATTGATCGTATCTCCAAAGGTCTGGGAAATAATCTGACGCAATAGGGCCATGACGCGGCGACGAAGCCACTTGTTGCGATGCTTCAGCTCAAAGACTTCGTCGAGCAATGCGAGAAGAATCCGGAAGGGAATGTTGTCGTCGTCACCATCGCCTGCCGCAGTCTTCCATTCTTCGACAGAGGGTGCACGGCCGCGCCCATCCTTGGATTCTTTGGGTGGGGCTGCAGCAGCAGCAGCACCTTGCTTTCGCATGGCTGGTAGTTCGTGTGGAACCCACGTCCCGTCTTCATCAAACTCGCCGCCGCCATCACCAAGACCTCCATCGCCGCTGCCAATGCCGCCGCCACCACCGCTACCACCGCCTGTGCCATCAAGACCGACTCCAGTCGATGACTTGGTCGGGTTGGCGGAGAAGAGCGTTTCCATTTCGTCCTTGAGTTTGGTTTTCACCGTCTTGACGGTCGACTTGATGGGGTTGACGAACGTGTCCATCTTGCGGGCAATCCCACCAGCGGTCTTTTCGTACGCACCGTCGCTCAAAAAAGAGCTGACAAAGTCCTCCGCCACCGCATTGCGCAACGCTTCGGGCGAGACGAGAATGTGCAGGTAGGTGGCAAGCGCCTGCTTTCGGGTCTCGAGAAACTGCGTCTCCAGATTGCGGAAGGTTTTCTTCGGCGGGAGTTCCAGCTTTTGGGCAACTTCCGGAGCGTTCGCTCTCAGCTGCATGTGCAGGTCGTGGAAATCGCTGTAGCGACGGACCACTTCCCACCGCAGCACGCCAAACTCGTCCTTGCGCATCACGTCAATAATGAAGACTGCAACTTTATCGCCGTCTTCCTTTCGAATTTCAAAGTCGCGCATCGTCGCGTTCCAAGACGCTCGCTCGCTGCTATGGAGCGCACTGAGCGACGGACGAGGCGGTGCAGCCACGGGCGCATTGTTCATCATGGACATGCTGCGCGACTGGGCGCCACGCGCAAAGCCGTCGTGGTCGGCGCCAACGCCAGCGCCAGCGCCGTCCCGGTCGTCATCAGCCAAGCTGGACATGGATGGGGACCGAGTCATCTGGGAGCTGGAGGTGAGACTCGACGAAAGCGGCGGGACAAGCGAGGAGGAGGGCGAGGAAGTGTCCGATGCAAAGTCGCCTCGGGACGCCGCCGCCGCCGCTCCAGGCACCGGACGTGCTGCTGATGCTGCCACAGTGGGGAGGTGAGAGGCCGCAGTCGAGGAGCCAGACTCGAGCGACGCGCCGTCACCCGTCGTCGACGGTCCAAGCATTTCCATATCGCCCAAGCAGCGCACGTAGCCGTCGCTGAGCTGAAAGCGAGGGCAATAGTCACGCTCGATGAGCTTGAAGGCAAACTGCTGAGCTTCATCAAAACAGGTCGCGTAGTGCCCGTGCGCAATCTCCCGGCCAATGTTGTTGATGATTCTGTCGTCTGTCGGGACGCGGGGAGAAGCTGTCGTGGCAAGGTACTGCTCAAACACCACGTTCGCTTCGTCCTGCAGCATGGACTTGAGTGCGTCGTGGGTGCGCCGCGTTGAGTTGCTGGTCGAATCATCAATCTCTTCGCCGGCGCTTTGCGATTGCAACGCGCTCTGGTTGGTGGCAACGCGGAACGAGGGTTTGGCGCCCAGGTCGTCATCGTCAAAGTCAAAGTCGTCATGGTTCATGTGACTCATCTGGCTGGACTGGGAATCGCTGCGAGGCCGCATGACCTGGCGATGCGTGTCGTCGCTACCCAGCTGGTCAGCGAGCGCATGCAGTCGCTCGCTTCGCTGCTCGGCGGACGCACGATAGCCCTCCACGGTGAGCCAAAAGTCGAGCAAGACGGTGGCCGACGCGCCCTCGGGTTCGACAAAGGCCATAAAGTAGCTGAGCGCCACGTTACTCGAAAGAATGTCGGCCAGCGACAACAGGCGCATCGGCGTCTTGTCGCGCATGCTACTCTGCACGTAAAATCCAGACGAGCGGGAAAGCTCCCGCAAGCGCTTTTCGCACTCCGAGCGAGCCACCACAAGCCGATTAATGTGCCGCCGGTTTGACTGCGCATCAAACTCGCCGTCGGAGCTGGGCGTGGCAAAGATGGTGCCAACAACAGATCCCGTGTTCTCGACTGGTGACGTTGATGCCTTGGTAGCGACGGCGCTCGCAGCAGCCAATGTGCCACTCGGCTCTGCCGCTGAAATGCCGGAGGAGGACAAAAAGGACGACGAGTCGCTGCCATCGCCATACGCATCCACAGCATAGTCCCCCGACATGGGAAAGACGGGCATAAAGAGGGACACAAAGCCGATTGGGGCGCCTGACGGCTCGGCTGCTCGGATTGCCTCTGCGCGAGCCGCAGCGCCCTGATAGCGACTCAGCTCGCCGTCCACCTGGTACAGCATGACTTCAACGTCTTCAACCGTTTCTGCAGACCGGATGGCATTCAGAAAAGACTCGTACGACACGGTCGATGTCTTGAGCGCAGACACAATCGTCTGATTGATGTAGTCGGGATCAGAGATGCTGTCAATGAACGGCAAAAAGATGACATTGACGCACATTTCGCGCAGCAAGATGCGAAGAGGCTTGTTGGCAAAGTCGGCTGGTGACAGGAGGATGTAGAGCAGCAGCTCGGACAAGTCGCGCAGGTAAGCCTGCTCGGCCTCGCGCGACTTGCAGATGGCGGTATGGCGCTTTTCAGACTCGAAAAAGAAGCGATCAATCAGATCGGCGGCAATCACCTCGTCGCCGCCAGCGTCGCTCGCTCCGGGCGACCCGCCTGCCACAGTCAGCTCGCGCGCCTTTTCCTGTGCGCGTGTAAAGTACCGCAGATGCAGCACAAACTCATCCACAACGTTCACCGTCGCGAAATTGACAAAGTCGACCGCTTTCGCGCGGTTGGCAAACTTGACCGTCGCCGTTGACGCCATTGCTTTCAGAGCCAGCAAGAAGCTCGGGTCGTCCGAAACGTCCTTGTACCACCAGTCGACGTAATCGCGCAGGTGCAAGTCGATTAGCTGGAAGGTCAGGTCAACAAGCACAACAACAAGAGCGAGTGTTTGTTAGTATGGGCCAATGCAAAAGCCGACCTCCGTTCACTTTTGTTTTGAAAGGGGGGCAAGCTTACATTGTGCAAGACATCGTCCACAACACTGGATCCGGTCATGCGCCGGTCGACCTTTGCTTGCTGCTGCTGCTGCCGAGAGCTCGTGTTGAGATTCGAAAGTGAATTAGTGGCAGCTGTCGCATTCGACACGGTGCTGCTGCTTGCTCCCACCACGCCAGTCGCCGCGCCAGGCACTGAAGCAGTGGATGCGTGAGCAGCCGCCCCGTGCAGGCGCGCCGAGCCTGTGCTCGCTGCTGCGTCGACAACGCAATCGGCTTGAACGGCGTCGAGAATGGAGGCAATGCCGTTCGCCGTACGAACAGTCAGCTGGCCTCGCATCGTCGCGCCAGGCACGTTGTACTTGGAGACAGAGGTAGAGTGGCGGGAGAGTGGCGGATGGGAAGGGAGGGGGAAACGGGGAGTGAGTCAGTCAACGCGACTTAGTAAACAACGAGAAGCGAAGACGAGACGAGACGAGACGAGGCGAGGCGAGCGTACCGTGTGAATAGCGCCAAAGACGACACAAAGGCAACAACAAAGACCACGATGCGTAAAAGCAGGGACAGGGGACCGAGCCAGGCGCAGAGCAGCGCCAGAATCACGCCAGCCGGGCTCAGCGCATGTCGCTGCAGCCACGCTGCAACCTCGCCAGGCATTGTGAGTAGCTCTGCTTTTGTTGTTTCTGTTGTCAATGACTGGACTACACACTATTTTAAGCTATTTGAATTTGTGTACGGAGCGAGTCTTGTCGTTTTCTCCTCTCGCTACGCTTCACCCATGCCTGCACCCAACCAACAAATCAATACAGTAATTTGAAAACAAAACAGACAGAGATATTGCTCGCATGTGGTGCACAACGATAATACATTTTCTGTTTGGCTCATTCGAGCTCTCTACAACGCTGCAATCAGCTCCTCCAACTGGGCCTTGTTGTAAACGTGATATCCACGCTCGGCAGTAACACAGGCCAATTCGACGTTGGTTGCAGTCAGCTTTTCCTCCATGACTTGCTTAAGAGTTGAGAGAGCAAGAATGGCGGCTTCCCGCAGCGAAAGGGTCTGCACAACGAGAGAGCGCAAATGTAAACGTGAGTTTGATGGCGAAAAGAAGAGAGAAACAAAAACATGCTCAGTCCTCCCACATCCTCTCAACGAGGACAAAAATCGAAACGTACAGCGTGGTAAGCATCCTGCAAAGCTGTCTGTGCGCCTTCCGAGCCAGATCCAATGGCTTTGGCATCGAATTGAGTGAAAGTTCCGGACGGATCCGTGTGGAAGAGCTGTGGGCCATTCTCGTCGACGCCTGCAATCAAGAGCGCGACGCCGAATGGTCGGGACTGTCGATGGAACACAAGTCGACGGAGTTGGTGCAAATGCACAGTCAAAGACCGAACAAACAAAAAAAAAAAAATGAGGGCAAGACCACTTCCAGCAACAAGAACAACAGCAACAACACGTTCGAAAAAAAGACCAACGGGAGCAAAAAAAAAAAGTGCTGGCGTACCATTGTTGACTCGTCGTCATCGTCTTGATCCTCTCCGAAACGAAGAGCGAGATCGCACAACGCCTGCGTGACGCTCTCCACCTTAATGCTTTCATTGTAGGTGAACCAGTGGTTCTATCGAACACGTAGAACGCAGTGAGTCAGTACTCTGGGGCAGCCCCTTGGTTTGTGCTTTGCGTGAGCGTTTGCGGACGACAAACAAACCTGTGCTTCGAGGCGGCCAAAGTCAATCATGGTGCGGGCGTCGGCAGTGAGGCCGCTCATGGCGCAGCCAATGTGCCTGTCGACCTCGACAATCTTCTCGATGCTTGTTGGCACCAGCAGCGGCGACGTGATGCGCTTCTCGACGGCCAGCACGACGCCTTCGGTTGTCTGGATGCCAATGGCAGTGGAGCCCAACTATCAAACGGTGGGCAAAGAGCAGCAGTTTTGTTTGGCATTGTGAGTCATTTGCGCCATCAGTCTCTCGCATCGTAACATCAACAAGTATGCTTGTATCGGGGTTTGGTTGGGAAGTTGGTAGGCCGACCGAGGCAGAGCGTTGGAGAAGGCCGAGATCGCGAAACTAGCACCATCTCCGCATCACTGCAGCTCCACCCCTCCCTTCATCCCCACTCGACCTCCGCCCAAAAAGCCAAAAAAGACAGTACACTCTGCGTTGAGTGAACGCAATCATCGAAGGGGAAGGGGGAATGGCAACAAAACACCAAAAGAACCAATTGCAAAAAACGAAAAGGAAGGGCAAATTTTCCAGCCAAAAACGTATGGATTTGCATTGGAGATCGCGAAAAAAAAAAAAAAAAAAAAAGCGGGAGCATTGAGTTTTGCATCAAGGCGAAAGGAGGGGGAAGGGTCACCTTGATGGCTTCGATTGCGTACTCGACTTGGAACAATCGACCCTCAGGCGAGAACGTGTTGACACCGCGGTCGTACTCGGAACGCGTCAGAAACATGATGGAAGAGGGGGAAAGAAAAAAAATAAGAGACTGAGCGTTTGGATTGGATTGGATTGGACATGCAAGTGAACGTCATGCTGTAGTGTGCTGGGCAAAGTTCAATTGGGCGACATGTAGTTCAATCCGAGATACTACTGTACTGTTGACAAGAAACGAAACAAAAAACAAAACCCCCACCTGAAGTCAAACACAAACCCAAGCCTCACGTTCGCAAATCCCACGAATTGCCTACTCGATGCAGCAGGGTCGTCATGCGCAGGTAGCACTCGTACAGCGTAAACTTGACATTGTCCAGCAGCACGTGGAACTGGACGCGAAGGACGGGGAACCAATGATACCGCTTCTGCCGTGCCTCCTCGAGCTCGTTCGCCCGAATTGCGCGCATGCAGCTTCTGGCCGCCTCTGAAAAGGAGCTCGCCACTGCTGACGTGCGCAAGGAGCGATCTACAGACCGAAGGAGGTCGTTTGTCTTGAGCAGCAGCAGCATCTGCCGCGGGACGCGGTTGAGGATGCCAACAATGTCAATCGCGTAAAAGGCCGCGTTGGCGCGGACGTGGTCCTGCTCCTCAAGCGTGACTGGACGCGCGAGGTCGGATATGACGCTATCCCAGGCGCGTGCAGTCACGATGCATGCAAACAACTGGTAGAGATCGCCCACCCCGAGCTGCTCCGAGTAGTGCTTGATTTTGGGCTCGTCGCTCTCAATCAAGGCCTTCCATAGGTGGCAGTAGTCCATGCGGAAGCTCGGGGAGAGCTGCTGGTACAACCCGTGGTCCAACAACACAATCTCCACGTCGGATGTCTTGGGGAGTGGCTTGATGTCGGTGTGCGTCTCTGACTGGCTGTCTTCCTTCTCCTTGGACAGTGCGATTCGTTGAGCCTCAAAAGCCGTGCGCGTCTTGACAGCCTCCTTGCCGTCTCGTCGTCGCACAAGTACATTTCCTGATTGCGAATAGTTGTTGTTGTTTGAGTCAGAACGACATTTCACCTCCAGCGCCCCCCCCTCCCGAACCCTGCTGCAACAAAAGGAACGACCCAAAACAGAATCGCAAGCCTTACCGGGATGTGGATCACAATGGACCCAGCCGTGCAAATAAGTCATGTCGGAAAAGATGCGCTTCAACTGGCGCGAGACTTCATCCACGCTGATGCCGTTCTTGGCAATGTACTCTCGGTCGTCGACCTTGCCTCCGCTGCAAAACTCCATGACAAGAACGCGGGGACTGGTCAAAAACCAGTAAATCTTTGGCACGCGCAAAAACGTGCAGGAATCGCGAAAGAGTTCTGTCAGGCCTTCAGCATTGTGGCCTTCTTGCTCAAAGTTGAGTTCGCGCGGTAGATTGCGACGAGTTTCCTCGGCGAGCCAGACAAACTTGAAGGCAGGGAAGATCCACGCCACCAAGCGCGCCAAAATGTCAATCGTGTCCATGTCGCCGCGCGAGTTTTCCAGCACGTCCGGATGCTGGATTTTCACAGCCACAATGTCGCCAGTTTGCTTGAGCTTGGCCTTGTGTACCTGCAGTCGAGAAACAGAAAAAGCGGTCAGTTTTCTCGATTCTCCCTCAAAAAGTTTTTCTTCAACAAAGAAAACGGGCAGTTCACCTGGGCAAGCGACGCGGCGCCAACGGGATTCGGATCCACCCACTCAAATACATCGTCAAAACGCAATCCAAAGTCCTCAATAAACGTGTGCTCGAGCGCGTCCAAGGAGCTGAAAGGAGCGGCGTCGTGAAGGATTCGCAACGTCTTGACGTACTCTATCGGAACGAGGTAGTCCAGAGCCCCGATATGCTGACCTGCCTTAATGTACACTCCGCCGTTCACTTGTGCGAGGGACAAGAGTTGTCGTGCAGCCCGAAAATGAACCTGAAGATTGTACGAGTTGTTCGAGTTGTGCGAGACCGATTGTCAGTCAGTACCCAACCTCTGATGCCAAGACAACAATGCAACTCAACAGTCGAGAAAGCAAATCACCAACCTTCGACCATGCAGCACAGCGGACGGGGTCGTCTTCGTCCATCTCGCCAAGCTTCCAGTAGTGAAATTTGTAATCTGCCGAAATGGCCAGGACCTGTGCATCCAATTCAACGTCGGTCAGTTCCGCCAATCACTCATCGCCGCAAAACTCGCGACACCAAGCGAGATAACAGCTGTGGGAAGGGGAGAACAACATTGGCAACGTACTGCCCAACAGGCTCGAGCAAATCGGCATAGGCCTCGGATGCTTGCACGCGCCCGATCTCGCCATTCTTTCACTCCAATGATCGGAGTGATGATTGCCAGGAGCACCAACGTGCCAATTTTCGACCACTTGAGCACGACCGTCCTGAACGCCAGCAATTGCTGAGTGAGATTGTCGGTGCCATCTTGTCCTCGGTCATTCTGGTTCTGGTTCTGGTTCTGGTTCTGGTTTTGATTATGGTCCTGGTTCTGGTTCTGGTTGGACTGTTGGTGGGTCTTGCTTGTCGGCACAGACGTCGACAACAGTCGAACGCAAGCTTGCGCAGTATCTTGGCGGCATTGGAGGGCGGCGAAATGCGGCGATTGGCAGCGACGACCCGGCGAGATCGCGCTCGAATGCAGGCTCAAATGAGGGCGAGCGAGTAGCGGGTGAGACATTGACATTGACATCATCAGCACTGGAGACCAAGCCAATGGCGGCTGGCTGAGGCGTGGAAGGAAGGCCGGCCTGCTGTGAACACTGCGCGCAACCAAGCGTCCTGCCACTGCCTCTGCCGCTGCCGCTGCTACTCCTGCCACTGCAGCTGATGGTGATGGCGGTAGCAGCGGTGACATTGACCATCCAGCGCATAATCCAGGAGCGAGCAGTCGCGTCATCACTCCAGCTGCACTGGCTGGCACGCGATGCATCTCTTTGGAGAAAACAAAAAAAAGCCGAACACTCTCCAAATCTCAGACTGAGTCGTGTTTTGTTTTTTTGTCCTAAAATTGCTCACAAACAAAAAATGACAAGGCAGAATCAAGAAAGACCTCGCAATCACCTTGACCTGCTTCAGTCTCCAATTCATCGCATTCACCATCGTCTGTCTGCATTCATGACGCTGAGCCCGATTGAGCGTCGCAGGCGATGGACGCGCGCGCTCGCTCGCATTCAAACTCCACTCGCGTAATAACAGTCATTCATGAGTTCTGACCTGACATCTGATTTGTCCGAGTCTCAGGGGTTTTTGAAGAGCTGTGAACTGACCAGAGCTGCTGGTGACTGAACTGCTCTCGTTCAGGTTGCTCCTGTGGCTCGGTGGCATTGCGTGGCTCGTCGCGCTGCCCTTCCTGCACGTCCCGCGAACATACATGTCCGAAAGTGCACTGGCAGTCGACCATGTAACAATGCTCAGTGCTCAATGCCCAGTGCTCAGTGCTCAGTTTGGTCTCAATCTCACTCACTCACTCGTTGTCATCACGATCAACTCCAACAACAGCCAAAGATGTCGTTCGGCAACGCATTGGAGCGAGATATGGAAGCACTCGATGAAAAGCTCCTGAACGCTGCCGCAACTGGTGGCAAAGAGTAAACTGGAAACCGGTGCAGGACGTTTTGGTCTAACAACAGTCCTGATTCTCACCTTGCCACAATACAACATGCAACGATCAGCTTGGTGCGTCAGATCATTGCAGACCATCTCATCGACAAGACGGGTGCTGAAACTTTCATGCAGCCATTTCAGGTGAGACTTACGGAGAATCTGTTTTGAAGTGAATTGCTCGCTGCAACTCACGCTCTATTTGGTCTACAGAATGGAACCAACGTTGTAGCCATCACAAGAGTGCCTCGTTCGGATGGCAAGGAAGCCATGGGTCTCTCGGTGCGGCTGGATATTGGGGTCAAAGGTTGGCAATATAGCGTCTCGTTGGCGTTGGTGTTGCACCAGTTGATCAGCCGTAAGTACAAGGAGCGTTTGTTATTTCGGCATACACAACACAACAGGGGTTTTCAGGTGCATGAGGGACTGCAAAACGCGTCGAACCGTGAACGATTCAACCGTCTCCTAATTATCATTGCTCATTTTGACTGACTGACTTTTGTTTGGTTTGGTTTGTTTGTTTGGTTTGTTTGTTTGCTTGTTTGCTTGTTTGGGAGCAGAACAGCACTATCTCTCCAAGGATGTCGTCTTTCTGGCAGCAGACAACGGTCTGTCGGGCGCATTGGCTTTTGTCGAAGAGTACCATAGCCATCTGGTGCCTCTGCATGATTTTCCGCGGGCTGGCATCTTGCACGTCATGCTAAACGTTGAATGCAACCAAGCACGATTCTCCTCCCTTGAAGTACAAATTGGTACGAGCAACGCTTGGGTTTGTATTGCGATTATTAGGTGTTGCTTTGACCTGCTGAAACCTCCTCCCTCATATTTGCGATACTTTCCCCCAACCCGATGGATGCCCGCTTTTGTGTTTGCCCCCGCCCCACCGCCCCTACCGCAGAGGGTGCAAATGGTCTTCTTCCCAATCTTGACTTGGTCAACGTGCTTATTCGCTATGGCGAGTTGCAAAACGTCCCAGTCCGTCTGCCTCGCTCGCAAGTCCGGGTTCCATCGACCTTTTCCAGCGACAGCCGATTGAACTGGCTGACACAAATGCTTGGCATGATGGCACGCCAGGCAACTGGGCAACCCACAAATCTGCACGGAGCCTTCCTCGAATACCGGATTGAGGCAGCGACTCTTTCGTGTCGTGGCTCGTCGACTGGCGCCAACTCCCGCGTCATTGCGGGTCGGCTTTTGGAAGGCACATTCAAGGCTATCAGTTTCATTCACGAACGATTTCACCAGTCCTTTTTCTTCTACCTCCTTGCGCACGAGCACGGCTACATTTCGATTGCCATGTACTTGCCGCCGCTCGGACTTATGGTTGCTGGCGCCGTTGTGGGTGCCATCTCGTTGTGGCTTTCCAGCACCCACGTCGAGCACGCAGCCTCCGAGGCATCGGGCTCCTCGTCTTCCGGTGCCCGACTTGTTGCGTTTGACTCTTCTCTGCGAGGCTGCGGTCGCGCCGTGGCTGTGCTTGTCGTTGCCCTTCTGTCGTCGGTGCTCATACTCCTCATTCCCAGCAGTCTTGTTGTCGGGGCTATTGAAGCTGCTGCTCCGTTTCTCTCGAGTTGGGTAAGGTGTTGAGCGCAAAAACACACAGGAAAGGGAGGGGAAAAGACGGAAGGTTCAGTTGTCTGATCACTGACTCTGTGCCCTGCTCCTCAGTCCTACCTGGTGAGCTTTGCCACGTTCTGCACTGCGAGCGGCCGCGCTTTGGTACCACGCAAGTCAACACTCTCGCATGGCTGCACTGAATCCTCAAGCGGAGCCCAACGTGATTCCGCTGCAACTGACTGTCAAGTCCTTCACGCTCATTGTTTTGAGCGCAGCACTTGTCGCGGTGGGATGTCTCAACTTTTCTTTTCTCTTGCAATGGTGCTGGCAATTCCCATCTTCCTGTTGGCTGCGCTCGCGCACACACCCGGTACCTCGCCCAAATTGATTTACCGGATTGGGCGACTGCTCCGGCGTGTTGTAGACATCACGGCCGTCGTGCTGACTTCCCCAGTAGCACTCCTCCTTGTGGTTGGGTTGACGGCCTGTCTGCACAAACAGCCCACCATCTTTCATGCCAACGTTGCGACGAACGAAGGCGAGCTGCGGAGGCAGTCCCTGCCAGCACCTCTCGCCACCGTCTTTGCCTATGGGTGGTCTGTGGCGACCAGTCCCGACCTGCACGTCCAAGTGCTTGATGCGTCAAACGTGATTTTGCATTCCGCCATTGACGATTGGCAAGCCCGCGGTCTGGCCTGGACTTGGCCGATTGTTTGCCTGGTCTATGTACCACTCCATGCAACGCTGAGTGCCATTGCTCTTGCATGATGATGCTTCCGTCCTGTTCAAGGACTTTGTTGGGTTTTGCGCCATCGTAGCCTGCGAGAAACCACCCAATTTTTGTTAAGAAAACGCTGAATGTTGAGTTGTTTGTTTTTGTTTTTTTTTTTTTTTTCTTTTCCTCCGATCCATTGTGATATCGCGCGATGATTGACCGTGCTCCAAAATCGCACGCTTGATTTCTAAGAGCAGCTCAGTTCTCTTCTTCCATATTCTGGGTCTCAGCGCGATGGAAGAGGCAACCATTGCTCCTGTGGTGCCGTCCGAGCCGTCCGATCCGCACCAGCTCATGCACGCGCTGCTTGCTGAGGCACTGCGACTGGATGCTGCACCGTCAGACACCCTGGGCGATGCTGCAGGAGGCGGAGGAGGATCAGCAGGAGCCGCTGAGGATCGTTCGCAGAGCGTTCTGCTGCCGCCGTTGGCCGCCATGTCGCTCCGACAGCAGTCTAGCAACATTGCACAGCAGCTGGAGATTGCGTTCAGCAACCGGTCTGACCGTCTGCTGGTCGTGACGGATCTCGCCCTGTTCGTTCTGGTACGGTCTCCCCAGAGTTCTGTCCCCCCCCCCCTACCCGACCCCTGTCGCCCTCTCTTTCCCCGCTTTGGCGCTCGGTTTGAAAGCGTCAGGAGCAAAGAAGCGACTCTTGTTGTTGCTTGCAACACGAAACGCGATCGGTCGAGATTTTGAACTTTCGTCAACCTGTCATTTCTGAATCTCTGAGAAACTCACGCGCAGTTTTGGTCTTGGTTGATCACCATGATGACATTAATTGTATTGACAGACATTAGGTGCTCCGGGACTGTCAACCGATGTCGCAGGTCGCACCACGCGCAGACAGTTTGGGGTGTTTGATCACGTCGAGACGATCGGATCCGAAGTGTGGATGACGCTGAACGCGCGCACGCCAAATCCCGGCCAAGTTGCATTGGGCGACGAGATTCCGGACTGGCCTGCACCGCCGAACTGCCCCGAGCCGAATCCTGCTGTGGCCCAGGCACGCTTGTCGGAGATTGCCGCTTGCAACGCGCTCATGTTGGATCAAGCCTATCTCAAGCAGACTGCGACGTCGACTTCCAAGAGCGCTGCGTTTGTCGAGCCGGTCGCGCCGACTCGGGCAGCACGGAACGATTCCAACGCGCCGCTCGAGTCGGAACGGGCATTCGCCTCTGCAACTGCCCGAACGTGTGATGTGCACGGCTTTGGATTCCGCTCCGCGTGCTGGAGTCCGGACGACACCAAGATTGCCGCGCTGTCCACGTCCTTCAAGTTGGCATTGTTTGGGGAGGTCGGATTGCAAGCAGGGGGTGTTCGAAAGGCAGCCAGCAGTGCTACCTCTGGCGTTTCGCCATCATGGGTGCCGTTGCTCGTGCTGTCCGATCTCATGCTGCAAGCGTGCTGGCATGTCGACTTTGGCTTGCCGCTCACTCCATCCGCTGCAATGTTCAGCGTACTGGTGACCTCCAACCTGCAGCAGCAGCAACAACAACATTCACAACAACGACAAGATGCTTCAATGCAAGTGGACGATACCAGCCCATCCAGCACTTCAGTTGTCGGATTTGACGTTCGAGTGCAGGGGCCGCGCAATGCCACCCGGGCCGAGCTCATTTCAGACAAAACCAACCCGATTCCATTGCAGCACAACATGTTTGTCGCCAACACGTGCACTGCCCTCTGCATGGCGTTCACCCAAGCGGTCGTTAGTATCAAGGTGGAGAACTTGAACGCAAACGCGTTTGTGCGAGCAAGCCCGCTCCATCCGGACACCATTCGAGGGGGTCCTCTCATTTCGACGACCAGCTCGACGGATTCAAGCTCGACTGCTGTGGCACCAAATGCCCCAGTCTTGCCGCCGACCCCGGTGCTTGGCACTGCGACAAAACGACAATCCACGCCGATGGCTGCCTCGCGCGTCCAGCCTACTTTCGAGTTTGTGCCAAGCGGTTCGTCTGCACGACGAGGGCGGCCCCGTAAGCCAGTTTTGGAAGCAACCCCACCGCCCAAGCGAGGCCGTCCGCCAAAGTCAAGTTCCGCTGCATCTACCCCGACGAGTTCGGCCAAGGCTTCGCCCACCATCAAGGATTTGCTCATGGGTCAAGCTGCATCCCGGAAGCGACCGTCAAAGCCCGCGTTGCCGGAATCGCCGACCGTTGGTCGCGCCTCGAAAAGACCGCGCTTAGACGTTGAAGACGATGACAATGACAGCAACGCTAATGATAGTGATGAGAATGGCAGCGGCGACGACAATGACGACAAGGACAACGATGCTGATATCACTCAGGTAGATCAGAGTCAAGACGACGAAACTGCCAGCGGTCGCGATCAAAGCGCTGGCGAGACACCCGGCGATCAGGCAAACCACGCCACCAACGGCAACCCGGCCAATGGATCAATTGACAGCTATGCAGGCGAGGTATCGGCTGTTGCTGAATCCCAGCCAGAGGTGGTTGAAATGGTCAGCGATTGCAATCTCCTTCCGACGTCTGTTTCCTACAAGGAGCTTGACTGCAGTTTGCTGTGCGTCGGAACTAGAAGTGGTCATGTAAACTTGTGGCGGATTCCGCCGGCGTTGGATGAGGTGGATTTGCGCCGGGCAGCGTCAGATGCCGACGCTCCACCCCAGTCTTCTCCTCCTCCACCTCCTCCTTCGCTGGACGCCATGGCAATGCCGGTCTTAACCTTTCTCGCTTCAGACTCGTGGGTGAATTGTCTTTCTTGGTGCCCTGGAAATCGCCTGTCCGAGCTTGGGCAACCAGACAGCTCTCCGCGGCTTGCGGTTGCGTCAAGCAATGGGCGGGTTGTGGTTTGGGATTTGGAGTTGCAGCGTCGGCCGGATGCCGACCCCGCTGCTGACTGGTCCCCGGCCACGATTTGCGGTGCCGATAACGACCCTGTAGTTAGCATGAGCTGGCAGCTACGAGGCGAGGGGCCTGTGCTCTCCGTCGTCCTCTCCGTCGTCAAGCAGCATCGCATCCATTATTTTACCTGTGGCAAAAGCTGGTCCACAGCCGCCCCGCACTCTGGCAGTCCGGAACTCGCCGAGTGTCTGGATGTGTTTCTTTTTTTTTTTTCGTTTTTTTTTTTCAACAAAATTGGTTGTACTCACTCATTCACACCAAATTTCGCACCCCACAAAGTCGCTGCTTCCAGCGTGTCCCCGGTTATCTACTCTGTGGATACCACGGATCAAATCTGTGCCACAAGTTTGGCTGGAAGCTGTCGCCTGGCACCTCTTTTTGAGCCGGGGGTGTCTTGTCTTGGCACCGCCCTTTCCGCCAACGGGCTTGTGTTGGCGAGCGTGACTTCGTATGTGACTATGTGGTCGATTGTGTTCCCTGTCTGTATCTGTCGCATCTCACAAGCCACCTTTCCCCGTGTCCAGGAGCTATGCCAACAAGGCAAGTCTGACTGGAGTGCTTCGTGTGCAGCTGCACATGGTTCCGGTTGCCACAAGCGACTTTCGCGCGTTTTTGTGGGCATGCCTTCCGGTTGCTTTGGGTGAGTTGTGATCAGTTTGGGTATTTTCGTCGTGTTGAATGGTATTGAGCAAATTGTTGACATGACGCTGTCTTCCCCGCTTTTGCTGCACATCAGCCCCAAGAGCATCACCGCATGGTATCGCAGATATGGTGCTGCTCGCACGATTGCACGTTCTAACGAGTCCGGCCATTGCCTCCGACCATTTCGCTGTTCTGGGTTTGCTGCTTCAAACGACCCAACCTTCGTACGAAAGAGTCTTGATAAGAGTCTTGATGGGGGTTTTTTTGTTTGTTTGTTTGTTTGTTTGCTTTTGGTTGCTGTTGCACGGTTTTGCTTGGCAGCGAAGGACGTGACTGACAGATGGTGGGGGTGATGTTCTCTCGCACCAATCTTCATGCAGAGTCACGCAGCTCAACGAGTACGGCATCAAACTCATCCAGTGTGGAAATGCCCTGCAGGCGCAAGGCTTTGATACACCACTGGTAGGGTGGAATCTTGCTTGGAATTTGCGCAGTCTTGTGCTTCTTGTCACTGACGTCGCACCTCACATTTCGTGAATGCATAGGGTGATGCAAACTTGCTCGCTTCTGCGATCAACCGGCCCCTCCTCCAAGCTGTGCATTGCATTCGCGTTATTGAGCAACTTGAAGATTATCATGAGCTACTTTCCGCTGGTACGTCGCATGGAGAACGCGCGCGTTTTTGATCTTTCGTCGCGTTGTTTGGTAACTTGTACTTTGGATCGATCACAGATCTGGTTTGCGTTCGGTTGATGGTGCACATTGTACACGCGACACTCGCCATCCATGCATCACAACTGGCCAAGCTTGCCAATGTGGAGAGTACTTGCGCTGTCCTGCGCGCGGCTTATTTGAAGCTGAGCGCGGTGCTGCCTGAATCAGCGCAAGCCAGCTTGAGAGCGCAGGCGGATTTAGTGTCGCAAAACGCGAGTCTTGTCGTCAAGTCTGAATTGGACGAGGGCTCGATCAATGTTCCCGTCTGCGAAAGTGTTGAACAGTGTCCAATCTGCCACTCTGGTAACGCGTGCTTGTTATTCGCGTGGTTGGATTTGTTTTGGGCTGGATTCTTGGGGAGGAAGGAGAACAAATCTGGTCTTGTACTGTGTTGACGCTTGTTTCTCGTTGCAGATTTGCGCTGCACTGTATATCTGGAAGGTGTTTGTGCGAAAGGACACTCGTTCGGTAGGTGGCGACATGGTCTATTCGTGAATGTCCTCTTGTGTTGGTCGCTGACTTGCTGACTCGACTATTTGCTGTATTGCTTCACACAGCCCGCTGCCCTGTTACTTTGGTCCCGCTGGCCAAGCCAGGCGCAGTGTGCGCACAATGCGGGGTGGAGCGCAGTGCTCTGTTCACTGGAGATGTGCCCGACGCACAAAGCCCTTGGCTCGCCCAGTTGCTTCGGGACGCGAGCAGCTGTCTGTTTTGTGGCGGCTCCTGGAGCTGCAGAATTTAACACCCAGCAGCTTGACGAATTGCAAGGGGCACGAGTTATGGATGTGCAGTTTTGTGGGCTGTATTTTGTTTGTTTGTTTTTTTTTTGTTTTATTCGCTTTGAACCAATCTGAACATGTTGAATCTTCACGACCCAAGCATCACTGGCCGTGTTGCGGCGGGGTGAATGCGCCTCCTGGAACGCTCGGCACTTGACGACGAAGGAAGCGCTCGCGCACAGTTGCTACCAGGCCTGACAAGACGAAATGTATCACGGGCAGGCCGATCAACAAGACCAGGCACAGGTACATGGCAGCCTTGCCTGGGGTGGCATCGTAATCTAAAACCTTGTAAATGTATCTAACCAAAAAAAGAGAGGGGGGGGGGAAAGTGGGGAAGACCAAGAAACAACGTGAGAAACTCGGGTGATTGCGGGGCGCGCAAGCAACAACTCCACTCCAAAACTTACGTGGTGCCATTATCGGTAACACCGTCGGCACCCCACCAAATGAGGGTGAGAATCATGTACGCAATGCCGTAGGTGAACAGAAAGTAAAGGTGCGCCAATCGGTGCGGCATGTCAGCAACCAGCATCTCAATGACGGCTTGGACTCCGTTGATGGCATGCTCGCTGATGTTGTACTCGGAGACATCCGTCGTGGCGCTGTCAAACACCAGACCCCAGTACAGGATGACGACAGTGACAGCCGCGTCTGTGGCGAGCAAGTAGAGCACCCACAGCAGCCGTTGAGCGACGGTCGGGCGTGTGCCGGTGGGCGCGGCCAAGTTTGGCTCGGACATGCGCATTTGGTTGCTCTTTTCGCTGTCCGGGGAGAGCTGAGAGGTCGATGTGTGCAACTGGTCCGTTGCAGTGGGCCAACCGTGAAACCAGTGCAAGGCGGCGCCGATGAACGCCAGGGCAAAGTAGGTCGCGAGGAGCAGGTACGACCAGTTTGTCAGATAGATGAGCCATCGATTGTCGTCGGAGTGGACGATGAGGGACACAAGCCAGCCGAACGAGTATCCTGCCTGAAGAAAGCGGTACAGCACAAACGCCCACTGTGGCAGGTACGTGCTGGATGTGAAGACGGCGTGATTGGTTGCGTGCAGCCCCCAAACGTAGCGGGAAGGACCAAAGTGGGTCTTGAAGAAGGACATCTTCTGATGGAAAGGGGCTTTGGGTTTGATGAAGATGCTTGTTTTGTTGGCTGTCCTAGGGCGTGATACCTTGAGCGCTTCGTTTGAGTGCTTGAGTGGCTGAGAGACGAAATTGGAAGGCCAAGCGAGGGGCGATTTTGCGGTTTTTGAGGATGAAATTGGCAGAGATTGGGTTGGTTGTGCCTGTCGTCGCTCGAGCAAGGAAGAGAGCAGTGAGTTTTGAGATGAGATCAGAGCATACTGTATGCAGAGCAGCAGCGGAAGCGGAAGCGAGGGAGGCGTCTGAAATGAACGAGTCGAAATGGAGAACATGCGGTATCCAAGGCGAGGGCCATTTAGCAGCAGCCAATTTGCCCGCCGACGTTGACCAGCCACACATGCACGCGAGGGAGACACACGGACTGAGCCACTGCGCAGAGTGGTGTTTGCCGTGTTTGTTGTGTTTGTACGGCCCGAACATCGGAGGAAGTTGCATTGGGGAGAAGAAAGGCGGAGCGAACCTGGGAGAAGGATTGAGAAAGCGCACCTACCTCTTGAAGGTAGAGACAGACTGGAGACAACTAGTAAGTAGAATTGAGAGACTGAGCAAGTGATTATGATGTGGGCTTTTGGAGGCAAACAATGGAAAGAGTGGAAGGATTTGTTGGCTGGTCGGAATTGACGAGACGTTCGTTGAGGAGATGCGATTTTGCTGCATTGATGGTACGTTTGCATGGGAATTACTCAAAGTCCTTCCTTTGCTCGCAAGACTCTCACCAAGGTATCAACAAGACACTCTGTCAACCAAATCAGCCTGTACAACCAACCTGCACAATCAAAAAACTAAAACTGCAACGAAACACAAATCGACGAAATCAAAAAAAAACTTCTGTGAAAAGTCAAGGGTTGGTGTTGAATAAACACCAGGTATTGTTGTAGTAGTTTTAAGGATTTTGAATAGATAGATAGAAGAGGGAAGAAAGAAGAGCAAAAAGTTACTCGCGTACAGAAGAGCACGCTTAGTACTCCTGGGACTGCGAGCCACCCTTCTTGCCGCTGGCAGCCTTCTTGACGGGGGCAGCGTCAGCTTCAGACTCGCCCTTGGGGAGGAGGACGGTGTGGATGTTGGGGAGGACACCACCCTGGGCGATGGTGACGCCGGCGAGCAGCTTGTTGAGCTCCTCATCGTTGCGGATGGCGAGCTGGAGGTGACGGGGGTTGATGCGCGTCTTCTTGTTGTCGCGGGCAGCGTTGCCGGCAAGCTCGAGGATTTCGGCAGCGAGGTACTCGAGGACGGCAGCGAGGTACACGGGGGCACCAGCGCCGACGCGCTCAGCGTACGAGCCCTTGCGGAGCATGCGGTGGATGCGACCGACGGGGAACTGCAGGCCCGCGCGCGTCGAGCGCGTCTTCTGCTTCTTGTTGGCGGCGGCGGACGAAGCCGTCTCGGCGCCCTTCTTGCCACGACCGGACATTGTGTTTGTTGGTTGGAGTGAGGAGTGTGAAAGTGAGGAGTGACCCCGTTCCAAAACGGGGAGCGCTTTTAAGAACGGGAAAAGCGCGGCGTTTCCAAAAGCGGGACGTGAATTTGGATTGAGTTTGCGCGGCGGCCGGCGTTCGTCGATTTTCCTGGAGACGTGGGTGGGTCTGTCGGCCCCGCTTCTTCACTGCCTCGCTTCACGCATGTCGTGTGTGCTGTGGACCCAGGGCGTGGGGGACTCGGACGAGCAGGGGTCGAGCTGTGGCGCAAAAACCATCCGCGCAACTCAATCTCAATCCCAAACCAGCTTCCTATTTTGGCCACGACCTTTTTTTTTTTTTTCGCGCCATTTTCGTTCGTGTTAAAAAGCGAGCTCCCGCATTTGGAACCGAGCTCACTCCTACATTTTCACTTTCTGAAAAACCAACAAACTCAATGCCACCGAAGGTCGCAAAGAAGGGCGAGAAGCGCGCCGGCAAGGCCGCTGCCAAGGCTGCCTCTGGCGCCGACAAGGACAAGAAGAAGAAGAAGCGCCGCAAGGAATCGTACGGCATCTACATCTACAAGGTCCTCCGCCAGGTCCACGCCGACACTGGCATCTCCAACCGCGCCATGAACATCATGAACTCGTTCGTCAACGACATCTTCGAGCGCATTGCTGGCGAGGCGTCCCGTCTGGCCCACTTCAACAACCGCTCGACCATCTCGTCTCGCGAGATCCAGACTGCCGTCCGTCTCCTCCTCCCCGGCGAACTTGCCAAGCACGCCGTCTCTGAGGGCACCAAGGCCGTCACCAAGTACACTTCCGGCGCCAAGTAAAAACAACAACTTGCTTGTGCTTCGGGAGCCGTGGCGCTCTTCTTTTCTCTTTTTACTTTACCAAAAAAAATTATCAATTCGGTGTTTATTCAACACCAACCCCTGTACTTTTCGAAAGAGGTTTTTTTGCTGTTGTAGTTGTTTGTGTATTTGTGTGTGTTGTTGTTGTTGTGGTAGATTGGTAATTGGGGACAGGAGGGAGCTGCAAAGTGCAAAGAACGAATGCTGATTTGGCGCCGAAAAAGAAATGGGTTTTGATGCTGCCTCTCGCTCTTTGCTGGTGCGCGTCTCATTGTTCGTGTGTGTCATTGAAGTGAAGTTGCAGTGTCATTCGCTGCTGTGGTGGCTTGCGGCTTGGCTTGTGCTGGCAAGGAGAGGGAACAAGAAAAGAGCTTTTTTTTTTTTTTTTTTTTTTTTGCTGCTTTTTTTTTTTTTGTTTTTTCCTCGTTGTCCTTTTCATCATGGCATCTGCCCGTGCTCGTTCTGTGCTTCAAGTGCAGCTTCATGGCAGTGCAATGATTTGGACCACCACCTTGACAAAAGCACCAGTCGTGGAGCCGAGCATGGTTTGGCTCAAAAACCCGCAAAACTCTCGCCCATTGTCAATCTCGAAGCGTTCTTTCCGTGTTCGAGGCAAGTCATCTTCTCGGCAGGGCAGGGGGAGGGTTCGCAATACTCGATCATACTCGCACTGTATTCTGGATCAGTCTGGGCAAGTTTCGGAATGGGAGGAAACTGATTGATTTTCCAACTCCCAACTCTTTTTGCCTCTCGCATCTTTCTTTGCCTCTTTGCCTCATTGTCATCTTGCACAAGCTGAAACAAGTATTCACCAAATAAAGTTTATATTGGTAGCAGTTGGTTCGAACCATCCATGAAAAAAAAAACACTAGACAACACACAAAAAAGAGAAGCAAACAAAGGCTTCCATTCACAACAGATCAAGCGCGTACAATGCAACTTTGCCTGCGTGCGAAAAAAAGGACATGTACACACACGCGTGCTCGTCACAGGGAAGATCCAAGAGGCCTGAAACGGGGACGATGGAAACAGGCGTCTTTGATTTTTTTTTTTTTTGTAAATTTTGTTTTTCCTTGCTCAGGTGCAAAAAGGAAACTTAGAGGACGAGGCAGCCGCCCTTCTTCTTGTCTGCCTTGCCAGAGTTGGGGTGTTGACGGTTGATCTGGCGAACAAGGTCGTAGAAAGTCTCGTTGACCATGATCTTGGCCTTGGCCGACGACTCGAGGAAGGCGCACGACCAGCCCTTGGCGAGGCCCTGACCTTGCTCCTTGCCAACCATACGCTCGTCCTCGAGATCGCACTTGTTGCCAACAAGAACCATGGGGACGACGTCAGTGTCCTTGACGCGGAGGATTTGCTCTCGCAAGTCGGTCAAGTCGTTGAAGGTCGACTGGGCAGTGATAGAGTAGACGAGGACGAAGCCCTGGCCGTTCTTCATGTACAAGTCACGCATGGCAGTGAACTGCTCAGTGCCGGCAGTATCGAGGATCTCAAGCATGCATTGTGCGCCATCGACCTCGACTTGCTTGCGGTAAGAGTCCTCAATGGTGGGATCGTACTTTTCGACGAAGATGCCCTGGACGAATTGGACGGTCTGTTTGGAACAAGAGACAGAGAGAGGGAAATCGAGGATGGCAGAGGGTGAGTCAGGGTGCAACAGCTTGAGAAAAAAACTCAACGAAAAAAGAAGGGAAATGGAGAAAAGAAAAAAAAAAGCAATGAAAAAGAACAAGAGAAAAAAAACAAGATCTTTTGGAAAGAACAGAAAAAAAAAACGGAAAGAAAAAAAAAGGACGAGGCGCAGGACGAACGCAAACTCGCGCTCTGCTGCCCTCCGCGAGAGACAAGCAAAGAAGCATAGCGCGGCGACAGTCACGAGTGGCGCACCTCACGCAGAGCAAAGGAGAAGGAATGGAACGAAGGCGACAAAAAGAAACCACAAAAAAATTCAAACAAAAAAATAGAGAAAAATAATAAAATAAAAAAACAGCCATAACAGTCCGACCGCAAAAAAAAAAAAAAACACAAAGCTGGATGCGAGCAAGGAGTGACTATGGAGCGATGCGCGCGGCAGTCGAGCAGCGGATGACGCTCAAGGAGCAAGCTGGAGGCAAGATCCGAGCACAGCACCGAGGACGAAGCCCGGGAAAGAGGGTCAAAGCGGTTCAAAAAAAGAAGGCCCAAAATAACTCGTTTTGAATTGTTTGGGTCAAAAAAAAAAGAAAAAAAAAGGCAGGAATGAAGCAACGGCCAGCGAGCGCAAGCAGCCACTCTCCGGTGATGGGCTATGAGAGAGCCAAGTCGAGAGACTCGACAGCAGAGTGAAGAAGGGGGAAGGCAAGGCTGCTGGAAGAGCCAGCTCAGCCAAAGACATCAAAACAAAAAAAAAAAAAAGGCAAAAGTGTTTTTTTTTTGTTTTTTCAAAAAAAAGTCGTTTTGGCTTTTTTGTTTTTGTTTGGTTTTGGCTGCGCTGACGACCAGCGAGCTGGGAGGCTCGACAAAGCGATGCTGGACACGTTCGCGGGTCTGACTTCCGAAAGGGAGCGCGGGGGAGCCCGTAGCGTGTGCGCAGCAAGCCCCGGACAGCCAACAAGCCCGCATGGCGTTGGTTCTTTTTTTTTTTCTTTTTTTTTTCTTTGTTTTTCGTTGTTTTGTTTGTTCGTTCTTTTGCTTTCCAAGCAGACGGAGGTAGAAAGGAAAGAGACAGAGGAGAGCGCATGGAACGAGGCTAGAAACGTACCAAAGCAGACTTGCCGACACCACCGGAGCCGAGAACGACGAGCTTGTATTCACGCATTGTAACTAGAGGTTTCTATTAAACAAAAAAATAAAAAAGAGTGAGCATCATTGAACCCTAAAAACGGTTTTTTGGTATTTTTTCTTTGTTTTTTCCTGGGACTCCATTCGGACTTCATGTCGACGGTGGAGAGGAAGGGGGGTTAAAGACAACGAATGATGAGAACGAGATGGAATAGCGGTACAACTGGGATTGGTTTGAAAAGGAACACAGCCCTGCGTCATTGTTTAATGGAAAAAAAACTTTCAACCCGAAAAAAAAAAAAAAAAAAAAAAAGTACGCACAACAACGCACAAAAACACTCACGTTGCCACACGAATGATCACGCAAAGCAAGCATGAATCATCAAGAAAACTCAAGACATGAAACAGCCGTAAAGCAACTCAATGCTGCTGATGAAGGGAGGAAAAAGCAGCAAAAAACTCGCAATCCGAAACAAACCAACGAGAAACTTCTGTAACCAAAATGATACCAAAATGATTACCTCCTTCTTGTCTTCGCTCACAGGTCCAGCCACACACAGGCAATGACACCCCGCCGCGACGCATCACGCATCACGCATCACAACCACCACCACCACCACAGCCACCACCACCACCATCGCGATAGACAGACTGGAACAACAGCTCACAACTGACCCCAAGAACCGCAGGTAATCGAAAACAGGAAAAAGCCGAGCTTAAAATAAAACAATCACCAATGTTTTTTTTTTTTTTTTTTTTTTTTGATTTTGCATGGATCTTGATAGATCTACTTTGGTCGGATGACCGCTGTTCGCGCAGCGCAACTGCGACTGGTACGAACACCCCCCATTGTGTGCTACCTTCTACTCTTGTAACTCTTGCTCATTTGTAGCAATACAGCGAGAAAATCCCGCTTACTCGGGTGAGTTGGAAGGCGGTGCGGGTTTGTAGCAACAACTCCCTCATCGCACAACACGCTCAATCCACCACGCACAGCTGAGGGCTGGCACTTGCATCATGAAGCAGAAGAAGAACAGAGCAATAGAAAATGCCGACAAGCGGGACAACTGCCGCAGAGCTGAACGACTAGTTTGACTGCTCGCTTGACGACCGTTGAAAAAGAGTTTGAGAAAGCTCGACAACACCTCAAAAGAGCGCTGCAAATGAATGCGATGAGGCTGAGGATGGGATGACGTTGGGATTGTGCTGGGATGGTGCGTCGCTTACAAGAAAGAGCGAAGCTGGAAGAGGCGGTGCGTTGAGTTGCGAAGGGAGAAAGTGTCTGAGAGAGTGTTCTCGACAAAAAAATAATACAAGGAGTGAATAGCAAATTCGCTTTGGGAGGCTGCTTTTTAAATGCTGCAGTGAGGAAAGAGTAGCAAAAAATAGAACGGAAAAAAACCGCCAAGTGAACAGAACCGCAAGGAACGCCGAAATCGAACCGCGCGGCCATTCCAGATGCGAGTTGTACTGTATCTCGATACCAAAAAATGCACCGCTTCGAGATGATCAAAACGATACAAGAATGGTGGAGGAGAGGGCGGTGAATCAGACCGAAATGCCCGTCCGCAAGTGCAGCACAAGATTGATTGCGCCGAATCGTGGTAACGGTGACATACTTTTCTTGCTATTATGCTGCATACCATTGCTCTTCTTGGACGCAAACTGAGCTCAGCCATGACAACAGCGCTCCTTTGAACGCGGACGTGACAAATCAGAGCGTGCGCTTAGACCGACGTGAGCATTCCATTCCTAACGCGCTCTCAGCATTGCCAAATACCTTCCGAGCTCAAAGAGATTCAAGCACGATGGCACATGGTGCGCGATCGCATTGGAGAAAATGTCCAAAGTGCACAGAAGCGGGAGATTGCAAAAGGACTTCTCATCTGGATATTATCTAAAATTAAAACAATCTTTCCTCAGTACTCTAATGGGTGGCGGCATTAGGGCATAGCAACCTGCTTGGTACAGTATGATACTGTAGAAGCATTTGTATTGATTCATCGAGGATCTAGAGAGGAGCAGGAACGCCGCCGTCGAAATGCCAAATGGAGCGTCCCAACCAGATTTTACCGTTAGCCGTGAGCACGCACAACACCTTCTACCCACGTAGGCTCGCCTTCCAGCTTGTCCAACGTTCTCATGGTGCGTCCGATGCTTGCGGAGCGGTGATCTAGATTCTTCCAACCGGCTTAGACGTTTTGATTGTGTTTGTGTTTGACAGTAGAAAGAGGGGCGGGAGAAGACTCGGGTCATGGTTGCGCTTTCGAGGTGGGGACGTGGGGACGTGGGGGCGGGGGAAGAAAACCTGTGCAATACTTGCGCGTTGGAGACTCGACGAACGTGAGTGAGAGGAAGTGTGCGAAGGAAGTTTTACTTTTCTTTGATTTTATTATGGACCGCAGTCCACGTCGGGGGGTTGAATCAACCATCACCATCATTGTCATCAACAACATCTATCATCACCATCACTATCAACAACGTCATAATCTGGGGTTGGGCTTGGCCTCAGCAGAGCGAGCGAACCAGGTCTTTGTTTGTTTCTGGTTGCTTTCTT